CCTGCCCAAATAAAAATTGAAGGGATCGGAACTCTTTGTTCGTGTGTTTTAATTAAATCGTGATAGTTTCCAATATATAGTTTTAATATTAACATTCGTTTCAATTTCATTATTTTTTCTTACAAGCAATTTGCGACCGGAGGATTCTGCTTGTTGATTAATTCATTAGTAGTCATTTTAAATGTTTGTTAGCGGCCGCCCGATTACCGACCGAGCTATTAAAACATTTTTTTTTTTTTGGTGAAATTTACCGTCGTATTCGAATAATATTTTTCATTCCCTGAAAACTGGGATAAAACGACATTTTCTAAAAATGAGACCTAGTCAGACCGATTTTTCGCCCCCGAATCTACGCACATACTAAATTTCAATTTCGGCGCAAAAAAAAAATGAAATTATAATAGCTCGGTCGGTAATTGAGCGGCCCCAAAACAGACGGCCGCGGTTCGTATCACGATCATTTACACACTTATTTTTTTTTTTTTCTATACCAGATCATTTTCTTTATTTTTTTAATAAAGTAATACTGGCCCTGAGGCGCGTTGCTAGATGGATCTATGCCGCTCGTCCTCCGTTCACCGTTACGAAATATGTTCCTTATTTATTTAATTTTATTAGATCTTTCGAAAAAATGTATATTCACATATTTTGTATTTTTTATTATTTGTATGTATTAACAACTAAAGCGTAATTTCAATTGATAAAGTTTATCAGTCCTATACATACAGTGGACCATAATATAGGGATCGGGTTCAAATCCCTAAATTTCTTTGTTATATTTTTTTGTGATTTTCTTTTTTGTAAATATTTTTTTATTTACCATTTAATTTTTGTTGATTTTTTATTTCTATAAACAATTACAACAGAATATTATTGTATTTTTTGAACGTAGAATGCAACAGTTGTAGAACAATCTATAAGAATTTGATCTGATAATAAACAAACTTTTCATTATTTCAAATTTTTAGCATGTCTTATATATATTGTACCTTGTTTGTAATGTTTTTTATTAAAATAATTAATTTTTCACCCTAAAACGAAAATTAACCTTTTATGAACACGATTCATAAAAGATTCATTTCATTGTACTTCATTGATTTCATTTCATTGTACTCACTATTATTCCCGAGTTATTCCCCATAGGACAGGCTGCGCCTAGTGTGGGGGTTAGTATTGTATCAATTATAAACCTATATATATACATATATATACATATATATAACTATATATAGTTATATATATATATATATATATACATATATATAACTATATATAGTTATATATATATATATATATATATATATATATATATATATATATATAGTTATATATATATATATATATATACATATATATAACTATATAGACGCTCAGACCAATAGGCTACACGATCATTTACACATTTATTTTTTTACTTTTTTTTCGATTCCAGATCATTGCTTTCTTTATTTTAAATTTTTTGTCGATTTGTTATTTTGTTATTTTTTTCCCTTTTTTTTTTTAAAGTTCTTTCTTTTGTGAAAAACATCAGTTCATATTTTCTTATTATTACGTCGGTAAGATCTAAAAATATTATGTATATTTCATTACTCAGTAATTTGTATCTAAATGTAATTTCCAAAATACACGATTTACCAAAAAAAAGCCAAACCGAGCAAAGCTCGGTCCTCCGGGTACTTATATCTTTAAAACTACACAACGGATCTCGATGCGGTTTTTTTTAATAGATAGAGTGATTCAAGAGGAAGGTTCATATGTATAATATAATACATTGCACCCGTGCGAAGCCGGGGAGGGTCTCTAGTTTAAAATAATTAATAGAACACATGAATTATTAGATAGGTAGGATGATTACCACTGTGATAATGTCTTCAATTAGGACAACTTTGTTCCCCAGAGGTTACACTAGAACACCTGTTTTCATGCCCAAACACCCACCTCTATGATAATCTTCCTCACAACTTTCCTAGGCCTGTTAATATCCCATTTCTTCTAATATCGATGATTTTGTACTATCAATAGCCTTTTACTGGCTATCGATAGTACAAACCTATTGATAGTATCGATAGTTTTTGTCAAAAATCGATACCATCGATACTACCGCATGCATTACTATCGATAGTATTTCTGTTATCATTAGTATTGGCACTTGGAGAGCCATCGTTACTATCGATAGAATCCTGTCTGTTAATATCGATAGTATTGACTTAGACGATATTATCGATATCCTGAATAGTTTTCGAGGTCAACTGTCGATAGTCAAACTATCGATGGTTGTGCAACACTAGCGATGGGCGCGTCGACTTGCGTAAGTCGACTGAATTGATGTGACGTTTTTAAGTCGTCGAATCGATCAGACTGTTTAATAAGTCGAACTAAGTCGGTTCGAGTTTGAGTCGCCTCGCGATTCGGGCTCGCGTTACGATCTCACGTCGGAGTCACGGCAATTCGCTATTACAATCGATTCGAAGTCAGCTCAGAGTCGAGCGAGCTAGCGAGATACTTAATGAACGAGTCAGAATGAGAAAGTAACAATGATTTGAAGTCGATTGCAAGTCAAGTAAGCTAGCGAGATGCCTAATGAACGAGTCAGAGTGAAAAAGAAACAACGATTCGATCTTGCCTCTATATCGCTGAAGACCTCACGTCGGCTTCGCGGCAATGCGCTGCTACTAACGATTCTACGTCAACTCCGAGTCGAGCGAGCTGGCGAGATACTTAATGAACGAGTCAAAGTGAGAAAGAGTCCGTACCATGGGTGAACAAAGTCAAATATTTAGGTGTCGTCCTCGACTCCCAACTTAAATTCAACCAGCACGTGACTCGGGTCAAGAACCGGGCGGCCTTCGTACTCGGTCGCCTCCATCCGCTCCTCAACAAAACGTCAAAAATGTCCCTTCGGAACAAGGTGACCTTATATAAGGCAGTAGTTCGTCCTATTATGACGTACGCGAGTCCGGTTTTCGCACACACTGCTCCGAAGCAAATACACCGGCTTCAGGTCATCCATCCGCAGTCCGCCGCCGCACATCATAAAATAAAAGTATTATTGTAAATAAAACATTTTTTGTTCAGAAAATGTGCGTCATTTTTCATTTATAGTATTAAAACCTAAACAGTTTTTAAAGCGAAGTCGCGATTGGAGCTTGAGTTGTAATGAAACATATCCCGATTTCGTGATCCATGATTATTAACCGATTTCAAAGGAGGGATAAAAAAGTTTCTCAATTCGACCGTATATTTTTTTTGTGTGATCGTGGATAACTTCGTGGTTTGATCCGATTTTGATGATTCTTTTTTTTTGGTGGAAAAGAGATATCCCAAAGGTACATATATGTATATGTACCATAATAAGGAAACCCTGATCTGAGGATGTAAGGATCTGATGATGGCATCCCATAAAAATCGAGGGTAATCCTTAAATGTTATAGGTATTAACAATATATTTTTTTTTTAATTTTCGGTTAGAAGTCGTTTTTTTTTGGTAAAAATTATACTTGTTAGACGCCAAGTCGACTCAAATCGATTTGTAAGTCGATTTCATGATCATTTCAAGTCGATTTGATCGACTTGGGAAAAAAAGCAAATCGTCCCATCGCTATGCAACACTAGCTCTTACTACAATCACCAACATCTCTTACTGAATCCCTATTGTTAAAGTTTTATACATACTCTTTTATATCAATAATATTAATCTTTAACCTCTATTACTCCACTCTTTTCCTTTGTTAATATTGTTTTTTTTTTAACTTTCTTCCCAGAATATTGTCCTTAAATACTTATTTATATGTAGTATACGTTTCGTTTTGAAACGATAAGGCCGCCAAATTGTACATTACATAAAATTTATTGATTGATTCATTATTTTTTTAATTTATTACATATCAACTTTACTTTACTGTATAAGTCAATATTACTGGCTAATTATATTACTAATACTATGTTTTATTCATAAATAAAACTAAAATTGAAATTGGGACAATTAAATGTCCATAAGTCACAAACTAAATTGTGTATAACGGTACGTCTGCATTACAGCATCTCTTGAAATACGATGTTTTAGTTTATTAAGATTTATGCAGATTGTGGTACACAATCTTTCTGAGACAAAAAGATGTCATTTCCTTACTTCTATTTCATTTAGGCAGTTTTTACCTTGAGAATTAAAATATTGCATATTTATAATTTGCGATTGTCCTTTTCGTTGTTTAGCATTATATATGGCATTACGTATGCGTGCAAGGTGAGGGTAGGGGAGGAAGGGTAAGAAAGAATTAGTGTTCTCTTGTGTTGGATTAGGATAAACTTGTATTTTTTTGCGAAACAGCGCTAAAAATACAAATAAATTTTTATAAATAATAAAGTTCCTAAACAATTTATATTAGAGTATATTTTATTATCATCCATGCGGTTGCTATCATATTACCTTGATTTTGAATTTTCCATATTAGTTAATTTCTAGATACCAGGGGCTACAATTTATTTAAATTATTTTATTTTATCATCCAATGCAGAAAGAAATATATTTTCAATTGAACCGTTTTTTTTGTGATAACATTGCAAGCCAACTCGTGATTCACTTGATGGTAAGTGATAACCACCACCCATTGACTTTTGCTACACCCATAGGGTTGCAAAGGCTTTGCCACCTTTTAATGAGGTGAGCCCCGAGGTTGTGGTACTTCCTTGATCTGCACCTGTTCATTCTTGAACAAGTGTGAACAACATCTTCATTATTTACAAAACTTGAAAAAATGTATGCAACTTAGATATGTCATAGGTCAACATAAGTGAAGGCTTGGCTCGTCCACTAATTTATACATGTATATAGTGAACCATCATACCACAGCAGGTTATTCTATTTACTATGTTTTCACTTTTTTCTCATCACTGTGTGTATGTTTAATACTATAGAGCCAGACTCGGACTATAGTTTTGTAAAACTTTACTTGCAATTAGACGGTAAAATACTAAGAATTATTCCTAAAATTATTAAATTACTTTGACTTTTGTGCTTCTTTTGTCAATTTGTCATATTCTTCCTTAATTTTTTTGCATTCACTCTGTAGATCTTCAAACTGGCTCTAAAACACAATATTTGTTTATATTAATAAAACATGTCTATTTCAAGTATTAAGGGGATAATCAAAAGATCTATAACATATTTAATAATATATGTTTCTTCCCAAAACAATTCTAACATGGGCCCACTTTTTTTAATTGTGGGAAAAATAGAAATCATCTTTATAACAAGCAGTTATAAGAACAACTATGCAAGTCAAAATGTGCAAATGAAACATATATTTTGTTTTTTTTTTTTAATTTTTTAACTTATATATATTCTGACTAATTCATTTTGAAAATTTTAATAATTGGTTACCATTATATCATAATCTTCCATATGGTAATTGCAATAAATAAAATCAATTGCCATTTATCAGAAAAATAATACAGCAATTATTTATAAAACTATAACAATATTAAGAAATTTAGTTTTCTATTTACTAAAATAGTCAACATGGGAAAAAGTAAACTTTGAATATCCCTAACATGAAAAATATTAAAACAATCTGTGTTTTTAAGGAAATTTGTAAGTTTTATAAGATTTTACCTGGCAAATTGCAGTGTGTTGTTTCATTGCACCACAAGTTTCCATAATATCTTTAAACCTCTCTTTATCAGCCTCATGAGCTTTTTGTGTTTCTGTTAACAGTAAATCAATGCGATTTTTGTATTCTGTAACCACTGAAATAACATAAAAATTATTTGTTAACAAGGCCACACTAGTACTTGCATATTTGGAAGAACTTTATAAAACTTATGAACACAAACATTCCTATTTAGACATCTGCTACACCTCTGCCACATTTACATTATAAAAATATATTTTTTTGTTTTGAAAATTGATATCTATTGTCAATCTTGCAATGTTCTAAAACAAATTAGCCCCACATTTAAATAACATAAATTCTTTATCTATACTTATTTATCTACCAAAACCTACAACTTCCTTTCCACACCCATTTCACTATTACCACTTCTTTTCATTTTCAATTATAGTACCTATATGCTATTCAATTACACTCACATTTAGCAACTTCTATAAAAAAAAGTCGGATTGATTTTACTATCAATTTTAACTGCTCTAATTTTTACCTCCACCTATATGAAAATGTACTGCAGCAGATTAATTTTAAAGAAATCCTTTAAAGGGTTGATAAATTTAATTGAACATAATCAAACTACTCATTTACCATTTAATTGATATCGTATAGACGTCAGTTCAGCAATACAACGATCACCATATTGCGTACTTTCATAACTATGTAAACTTCGGGAATATAAATATATTAAACAGACTAGGAATGCAGTTATAAACAACAAAATTATAAATCTTCCTTTTGACACCGACCTTAATATCATTTTAGATTCTAAATACCTTTAAATCAGTTATATCTTTGAACAATATGACAATATTACGCCGCTCAAACTAGGTGAGCTCTTGAAAAAAATTTAAAGAATAATATATTGCTATGATCATAATTATACTTGTCTTTATGACCGTGACACATTAACGTAACCAAAACAGCACAAATACAGCCTGAGTTACTGAGCCACGGTCTTTTCAGTCCGTACATTTGATATCGGTATGGAGCTTGCTCATTCCGTTTAGTTCCATCCGTCGAAAACAGATGGCGTCGTTTTAAATGCAAAACCATTTTAGCCTTGGTACCATTACAATAAAGACAACATTTTATTTTAAGTTAAAATAAATTAAAAATAAAATTATGTATGGTTCTTATTTTGGAGAAAATTGTATTTTATTAAACAAAAGTTATTAATTTGAAAAAAAAAAAAAACACAAAATATAATGTAATAGTATTGGCAGCATTGGCCTATGTAGTACGTTAAACTGTTCCGCCATAAACTCTTATTGTGAATATACGGATACTCATAATATATTGAGCGTATTGAGTTTTAAATTTTATATAATACTAGCTGACCCGGCAAACGTTGTTTATTTGTAGGACAGAAAAAAATGTTTGGGGTGGACCACCCCTAACATTTAGGGGGATGAAAAGTAGATGTTTTCCGATTCTCCACCTTGGCTGATATGCACACAAAATTTCACGAAAATCGGTCGAGCCGTTTCGGAGGAGTTCAATTACAAACACCGTTAACGAGAATTTTATATATTAGACACACGTTTTACATTCTTTGTTATTAATTAAGAAGCAAATTTACTTTTGACTTTATTTTGTTCAAAATTTTGTTTTTTTTTTTTCTTTTGAAAAATTACACTATAAATGACAAAGCACATTAGCAGATTCACCGTAATTTTGTCCTATATACACCGTATTTTTACACTTGCAACACGGTAATTTTTGATTTACTGGAGACGCTGCTTTAAGACCAGGGTAGAATTTTGTACTATAATTATAGTATTTGTACTATAATTTCATGCTTCATGCTATTTACTATTCATATCTAAAGATAGTATTGAAATGTACTATAATTTCGTTAATTCACATAAATGACCAATATAAAAAATGCCAATCCAACATTAGAAAAGATTTATTGGGCTGTAAGAACTTTGTAATGTTTTAAACAATACAAAGTGAATAATACCACGTGTCTTTGTTTATTACCACAGATTATAAATAATTTATTCAATGAAATATTTACATGGACTTACGGTTAAATAAATTTTTTCTATACTTAGCTTGTTCAAGAGTTACTTTACATTGCACTATAAGGTAGTTAATAGAATTCATTGATATATAATAGTACGATTAATGAATTATTTCCTAAACTATGTTATGTAATAAACATAATCCATAGACGCTATTTCATTGTGTTGTGATGCTGTCAAAGCAGGTAAAAACGCATAGAATTTGTACTGAATTTATTCCTACTGAGGATATGTTAAAAAAATAAATTCTAAGGATGAAACTAATATGAAGAATTGATAAACTTGGAAGAGGAGAAAATTAATACCCGTTAAAATCAAAACTATAAAGAGTACTATATTTTTTTTTACAAATACTATCCCTTTAAATTTTTGTACTATCTTTTTCATCATACCTAAACCCAGCCCTGCTTAGAGCTAAAGAAAGAGACAGTACATTTATATACCTGCCTCGCTCTGCCTCCAAAGAGTACTTTTATTTAGCTGCTGCCTCGGTCTCTCTCTCGTTAGTTGGTACTTATATCGTACGGTGTGGTTTTGTTTTCACGATTCGTCGTTCTGTACGAGTTCGGAATTATATATTTTTTTTAATTATATATCCTTCGTTGTTAGCTTCATTAAAACTTAAATACAATTAAAATAGATATAACAATAAAACAAATATCATATGATGTCGGTAAAAATTGGTATATAAATAATAACCAACAAGGTACTGTTATAGGAAGCAGTACTACATAACTTCGTCACTATCAAAATTAATCGGTGCTATTCCTCTTTTTCCTCCCAATTGCGCGAAAGGTGAGATTTATTTGTTTCTTTTTATATGTTTAGTTTTGTTTTGTAAGTAAATTTTCATACTTTAAATTAATTTTTCAATACGTAAAAAATATATAACTTCCTTAAAAATTACATTGATTTTCATAACATTATTTTGTAAAGGCTTACTTTATTAAATTTTTTAAAATTTTAAAGTCCGTGTGGTGGGATATAAATAATAGGCTACAAATATTTTTAAAAAAATCCACGTATAACTGGTGAACGCTCCAACGTTCAATTTAGACTTTGACACCAGCTGAGCGTGTGTGCGTAAGCCAACGCAAAGTGCGAACGTGTTTAAATATTCATTCATCTCATTTTAAACGGATGTTTATGTAGTAGTAGCGATTTCTCTTAATTTGTCCTGTATTTTTGTTTTATGTATGTTCCATGTTCGCAGCTTTGAACCTTTTAAAATCCTTATACTTAATCCGTAGTATTAAAACTTATCAAGGGTAACTTTGTTCGATTTCTAATAGTATTAGTCTATTTTCAGTTATTCACAATATTATTGTCCCTATAAATATTTTAGGTTTCAATATGCTCAGTAACTTTTTAATTCAATATTTTTGAAATAGCAATGAATGTGTTAGCTCAATAATTTTTCAAACTTTGGTGAAATGTAAGTTAAACGAAAGAAATAGTTTAATTAAAAAAGGACATTTATAACATGGCCTATAAACATCACCAACAATTTTTATAGACACTCATAAATTCATAGTCTCATTGATTTATCTTTAAAGGAAGTCTATGTTATCTTATCCATATATCTTACTGTCCCAATAAATAGCTGATAACATCAATATCTTAATTTTGTTCTCATTGATTTTACTGATCTAATTTTACATTAATTTCAGTAAAGTTTTACTTTTATTTTCTAATCATGCTAGTCGTATTATAAAACTGTTCTTTTTAATAATAAATTATTTATATAAGTAAGTTTGATTTTCATTACAATTTAATTTTTTATTAATTTATTTAATAGCTTTAAATTGAAACATGACATTTCTTTTTATTTGTAATGCCTTAAAACAAATTAAAAGGTGTTTGATCTATGTTCATAATAATATCATCACCACAAAATTTGGCTGGAACTGCTGATCCAATTCAATAAAGTTTTAAAAAAAATGTTGCAATGTAGGAAATGTTTTAACTGTGGTAGGACCACACAATGGTGTTCACTGTTGCATGAATGGGCAGGCCCATCCGGGTAAGTACCACAACCTCACAGAAAACTTAACAATCTCACTAAAGTAGAAGTGTTACATCACTGCATTTTGTCTGGGGCCCACTTTATTTAAAGATGGCAACACTTATACAATCCTATGGGTGTTGCAAATGTCCATGCTTGGCAGTTATCACTTAACATCAGGTGAGCCACCAGCTCATTTGCCACTTTGTCACATTAAAAAAAACAAATTTTTCTTTAAAGATATCACAAACATAATCAGTTCTAATTAAAAAAGCAATTTTTGTCTTTTGTTATGTGTGCATACCAAACACAATAAGTTGATTGCAATAGCAATTGGCTTCATGCCACTACCTAAATCATTGTGTCATGCAGTCAAATTCGGTGGTTACTTTAAAACCATCCATATTGGGAAAAACATCATTATTAAAAGTTTTAATATTCACATTTCTGAATATGAAATATTAAAAGGTAAAAAAACTATCATAACCTGCTTACTACCAAGAATGTTTTTTTTTTTATGCAGAACCTTGTAATCTGTCTTTGTATAATATACATCTTCATTTGAACTCCATATATCTTTTCTTGTGGCTTAGTGGATAGACTTACTCATTAATATTTGATATTGTTCCCGTTATGAAATGGACTATATTATAGCATTTTGAGTAAACAAATATTTTTTTAGATAGAATGTGTCGCTTTGTTCAAATATACATAACATTTTAATTGAGTCATTTGTGCAGCTTCACATAGTATATACTATGTATATACATGCTTGTAAAAAAATGTGCTGTAAAGAGTATATTTTTGTCATTTTCAATTTAAGATAATATGGCGGAATAATTTTCTTTATTTTAGTTTTTTGTGCAAATCAACTATTCCATTTGGCACCGATGCGCATAGTAATTATGGATTGGCAAATTTTAAAGATACTTTTTACTTTCATCAGCAGTAATTAATTAAAAAAAATAATGACAATGTATTGTATCATTATATTCAGTAGCGTCTAATGTAATTAATGAAGACTACAATTATTATATTGAAATAAGTTGTCTAGCAAGGTTAGATTACATAACTTTCATGACGGAAATAAATAAAATGCCCCTGATGAGCCATTTAGTATGATCCATAACCTCCTTCCCTATGACCATTGCCACAACCCGATTTTAGTCCTGATCCCCACATCAAGGAATTCCTTTTTTGCCGTAAGCATACGGCAATTGCGAAATCAAATACTAGTGCTGTAAAAAATCTGGGTGAACATAGGGTGAACATAGTACTTGATCACCAAGATTTGTACACCCTTGACTATAGTTGGTCTTTTGCGGTTTATTTTTAACTTAACCATGAGCATTAAGCAAAGTGAAAAATTTGCCAGAAAGTAAAAGACCAGTTTTCTTAATAAGAAATGTACGTACCGTAAATGTGGCATTAATTTATTGTCCAATGATACGCCTATGTTCGATATCTATTAGATTTAATTAGCAAGACTCATTGTAAAATATGTACGTACTTAATTTTTATTGTATATTAAACAGTTGACCGCTTGTTCTTCGATCTCATTTACTTATATAATAAATAGTAAAACAAAGAGTTATCTCTGCATAATTTATATCGTAATTGTGTAGTATAAACGTATATAATTGATTTCTTTTTGGTTTAAACGAAAAATAATTGAATCTTGATTTTTTACTTTTGCCGACATCGAAATTGAAGGCTAACTTTGAAGTTACCATATACAAATGCTGACATTTTGGTGTGAATTGCGCTAATGAAACTTGTGGACCTGCCTTTAGAAAGCTAAACTGCTTTGCGATAATTATTATTTTCTAACCACTTGTACTGCATACGCTATCTTTTATGTGCTATTTAATTCCTGCACGCGAATAAAATCTCTAAAAATGAATTCGATGTGTGTAGATTTCCAAATAACATTTTGGTATTCTTTTTCTTTTAAAACATAACCAATTATTAATAAATTTTTTGAACGAATATTCAATTGTTATTATTTTTATTGCGATTGTCGATTTGCGTGCTAGCGTAAAATTTAGTTTTTGCTGTGAAAAAAAAGTAAATGTTATGAACTGACTATTACAACACCACGCCGACCGCCACTAACCAACTAATTCGAGAGGCCAAGGTCTGGAATTATCTTTATCTTTGCAAGCGCCTCTACGATGTGATGTTGACACGTTTTGATATAAATCTATAGTCTGGCTGTCGGAAAGGGATGTCGTCAACATCAGTTTCTCGGGTTCGATTTGTCGGGCCACCAATTTTCAATATTTGGAACGTGAGCTCGATTCATTAGATAACATCGATTGATTATATCCTACGTGCTCCAAAACACTATTCATTTCAATAATATATACAAAGTACTTCGAATAACATTTTTTATTAACATGTCAACGTTAAATACAAAATATTTAGGTTGCGCCATGTGCGTGCGAGGGTAGGAGAATATCTAGGTCAGAAATATCACGTTGGCCGCTATAATCATGTTTAAACAAAATGTGTTTCGTGTAAATGTTGATAATTGTCATGAACGTTTGAATAACAAAGCAATATTGTTACGTTTGTTCACAGGTAGCGAAACAAGATGGCGGAAGCGCACTCGGCGGTTGCGTTCTCCTTTGCAATTACCCACGACGGATGGGATGTCAACTTCGACCGGGAGGTGCTTTATTTGGTGTGGGAGTCGGGGCTCAGGTCGTGGAAAAAACGCTTGGCGCGATTCCGGGTCAGTTATTTGCGCGAATGTCTAAAGGAAACGGCGCAGACGTCGACGTATTGAGTAGCAAACGCGGCATGGTATAGGACATATCTTCGGTTGTCGGGTGTTGCTCGAACTCGTGGTACTTAAAAAATGCTATTCACATTTTTTATACACACTTATTTTATACATTTTTATTACATTTCACGACCTTCCATCCCAAATCTTCGCTAACCATGACATTCCCAACTGAAGTTTTTAACATGATTAAATTCACATGTATTCAAGTCTGTTAGTGCGTCCGTAAAATATTCATACTCAGTTAGTACTTGAATTATAAATAAAAAGCAATAAGACAATAGACACAAAATTGGTGCCAAGTCAATCGATGCATTCTGCCGCGGGCTTAATTAAATATTAATTCTTTCATTGTTTGAAATCGGATTAGGGTGCAGAATTAGGATATTCCTATTTAATTGTCTACCACATTAAATGAAAACTAGGAAGTTTTTGAAATCATCCGTTGTGCGGGTCTCTTATTACATAATGGACTTTTGCCCCCACAGAAATTAACGGTGAACGGAATAACCAATCAAGGACCGCTCCTGAGTCGTTTTAGCTTTGAATGTAAGGTACACAATGACGTTGCACATTTTTTCTGTTATAAATACATACGTACTGATACTTATGAAATAAACCTCTCATAAGGAATTATAATATAACGCTGAACAGATTAGAAATGTTACGTCACGTATGTTATACGGTAGAGTGGCCTCGATTTAAAATTCACTCGTAGCACTATTACACGATTAAATTAATGTGTATGTAGTTGGTTTGTTTGTCTTTATATTAATGTCATTTTGCATAGAAGAACTAAACACCGAGCTAGATTAGAAAATAAGATAATTTAATGTATAAATTACCTTATCATCGACTCTAGTTCAGTGTTTACTTTGTTTAATGCTTCTACTATTACTTCTACTTTGATAGTATTCAATGTTAAGTACATTTAATACTATCGAAGTAGTATTAATTGAACACCTACAAAAATGTTTTTGTTATTTATGTAATTATTTATGACTTAAGTGCAATGTTACATCCGTAATATTTATCATCTTTCCGTGGAATAAGTTCTATATCATCTGTTACATTCACGTATATATACAGCGTGTCGTTACCATCGCGACAATAAATGAACACACGTCTAACGCTATTTGCCAATAATCATAAAAAAATGTTAACGTTAAACAAAATCCATAATTAAAAAATATTTTTTTTCAAACAAACTAATTAAGTAAAAAAGAAACAAAATTTGTAACATCCTATACAACTCGCGCCACAGCGTCGTGTTACAACCCTCTCCTTCTAACAGTATGTTTTGTCTCTTTTAAATTCATTCAACCCATTCATATGCTTTGTGACCTTTACAAATTAACTTTACGTTACGCTTTTATAGGTAAGGGTGTTCTAAAAGTCTTTGTTTTGGAAAATTTAATAACTCTGTAAATATTGATGATTAAAGAATTTAAATGTTTAATACAACTTTAAAAATTAATCCCCTAGATGTGTGTTCATTTATTGTCGCGATGGTAACGACACGCTGTATATATTTCATATAATGTAAAGCGGAACAATGTTTAAACGCCAAGAAGTATGGACATACGTCATCGTAATTAAAATGTCATTGTGTACATTGTCCAAACTCCCAAAGGGGTTGATAAGATGTAAAATATAACTAAAAACATTTTTTTCTTTGAATTTATAACTTCGTAACGCAGTTCGCAAGTCGTGGGTTCGATTACCACAGGAGCAACTATTTGTGAGAGATTTCGCATCTGAGCGTTTGTCCGCGTTAGAAATTTATGTTTCGTTCAAAACGTCCTTACAAAACAGGACAATTTTATCGTAAAGTAAGGGCTATTATAAAAAAAATTGAATCTAAAAAATTACTGCATAATTTACTCTAGTATTCTACAATTTTTCAGCTCAATGATCATCTTTGGCACCTGCTCAAGTAGCACATTAAGGCGCTGTATGTATTGTTCTAAGAAATAATGTTACCTTTTGTCCCCACACATTTAAATTTAATCACGTAGATACTTATGATATTATAAAAGTTTTGAATTCTTTTAATCTTAAGAATACAGGGGATTTATGGGGCATTTCCATAAAATTAATGACCACAATAATGCCATATATTGCACCACATTTAGCTAATATTTTTAACAACTGCATAGAATCTGGAATATTTCCAGATCTTATGAAATTTAGTAAGATAATCCCCGTCTTCAAAAGTGGGGATAAAAATGATCCAGGAAACTACAGACCTATCTCCATATTGCCATCTCTGAGTAAAATTTTTGAAAAACTAATTTTAAATCAGCTCTTAGTACATTTTAATATGAACAAAATTTTTCACAATGAGCAATATGGATTCACTAAAGGCAGATCGACAACAGATGCGGGTATCGCACTTGTCAAACATATTTATAACGCCTGGGAAGGGTCGCAAGATGCAATAGGTGTTTTTTGCGACCTTTCAAAAGCTTTCGACTGCGTGGATCACAAAACCCTCCTTCTAAAGCTTGATTATTATGGCATTCGTGACATCGCCCTCAATCTCATTGCTTCTTACCTTAATAATAGAATTCAAAAAGTATCTATAAATGATGTAAATTCCGCAGGATCGATCTTGGGCCCATTATTATTCTTAGTATATATAAATGATCTCCCCTTTTATGCCAGTGAGTTATGTGATGTTGTACTGTTTGCTGACGACACATCGCTTATTTTTAAGGTTGACCGAAATGTATCGAATTATGACGACGTGAATAGTGCACTTTCGCGTATCCTCCACTGGTTTACCATTAATAATATGGTGTTAAATGCTAAAAAAACTAAATGCCTTCTTTTTGCCCTTCCCAACGTAAGAAGGCAAAGTTTTAGCTTAAAATTGAATATCGTAACCCTTAATCCTGTTGAGTCCGCTGTATTCTTGGGAATCACAGTAGATTCAAAGCTCCAATGGATCTATCATCTCTTGCGAATAGGTTAAGCTCCGCTGTTTTTGCAATTAGGAAGGTTAGGCAGCTATCAGACATCGACACTGCCAGACTTGTTTACTACAGTTATTGTCACAGCATCTTGTCGTACGGCATTTTGTTGTGGGGTAGTGCATCTGATATAAATTCTATATTTATTCTTCAAAACAGAGCTGTCCGAGCAATCTATAACATAGGAGCCCGGAATACACTCAGAGACCTTTTTAAAGAGATTAATATACTCACTGTTGCGTCTCAATATATTTATTGTAATATTTTGTATGTTAAACATAATATTAATAGTTATCTAAAGAATAGTGACAGACATAAACTAAATACTAGAAATAAGGACAAACTAACTACGCCGTTGTTTCGTCTACAAAAAGTAAACAGGTCGTTCATGGGGCAAAGTGTGCGCATGTATAATAAAATCCCACAGTCGATGTTAAGTCTGCCACTTGACGAATTTAAACGAAAAATTAAAAGTAAACTTATGGCTAAAGCCTATTATTCTATTGCCGAATATCTTGACGACGGCAATGTGTGGGGTTAATACTGTTGATACTCACGTAGGCTAAAACAAGATTCTTGTACCTGTATATTGAAAACCGATTTTTTTAAAAAGAGCAACTGTTGAGTTTCTTGCCGGTTTCTTCTCAACAGAAACTGCTTTCCGAACCGGTGGTAACTTACGAACGTGTTAATTTCTTGTAAAATTTTGACGTTTCATAAGAACGCGCAAGCGTCTATGTGAATAAAGATATTTTATTATTATTATATTATTATTTATTATGCAGTAAAAATAGGTTTTTCAAAAGATTTTTTAACAAAATCTATACATTTTATAGACGCGAAAAAATATATGTTGATAATGTTGATCTTACATTCTAATGGACCATTGTTTTCAAAACATATTCTCGATATATTTTCTCGATAGAAAAAATAGATATAATAAATGAACAAATCTTAATGAAATTAATATCAGTGGTGTAGAATATATTAATAAAAAGGACTGATGTTTTAATTTGTTGATTGAAGTAAGATATTTGTAAATATTAATTTAATTCATTAAAATTAATTCGAACGCAATGGCCAAAACACCGCGCCACCACGGCGTTGTTTCGGTTCTCTTCCAACTCCACACGTTGAACAGAGAGCGCTGAGGCGCCTTGCTTGATGGACCTATGCCGCTCATCGCCCGCTCACCGTTACGAAATATGTTTAGTATTTATTTATTATTGAGAGTTTTAAGTTTATTAGACCTTCGAAAACACGAAACTAAAAAATATATATTCACATATTTCGTATTTATAAATTATTTGTATGTATTAACAGTTGTTAATTAATTTATTTAAAGCATAATTTCAATGTCTTATCTCGTGATTGAGTGGTCTATCAGTCCTATACATACAGTTTATAGGACCATCATTCTTTATGGATTGGGTTCAAATCCCTAAATTGATTTCCCAAATTGAGTCATTTTATATAATAAAAACAAAATACTTAATTAGTTGGTTAACAAATTAAAAGTGAAAATAATATAAAAAATACAACTCCACTCGATGAGTGGTTTGAACTTGGAACTACAGCAATAGTTTACCGTTGTGTATGACGCTCGGATCAACAGGCTACGCGAGGTCTGTGCAGTGACTAAATTTCGTTTCTAGTTATAATTGCTGTCGTTTATCGATACAAATAAGGATTTTATCGATAGTTTTTAAAATTTCATTTTAGTTGAAAAAGTAATATAACATAGTAAATCTTGAACATTTAAAGGATAAATTAAAATTCCTTATATATTTAAAAAAATTTAATAAATGTTGTATTCGTAATTTCTGCAAAAATTTTATGAGTTATTTCTATAAAATCACAATATAAACCATAAAAACAAAAAATAATAATTATAAGTAATTTGCCTTTATTAATTTATTTGACTTTAAGATGTATTTTTAATCAATTCCTTTTCCATTTAATTAAAAAAATAATAATAAACAGGAAGAAGATTTGCTAAAATTGTCGATTGCTTTCTCATACTTTACATTTGTTTGTTTATTATTATTCCTATTATAATATAAAAGTAAAATACCATCATGGTCTATAAAAGATATTATAGGGATCATCTGCGTACATTTTCGAAAGCCTTCCATGCTACTATCGATAGTATCCTACGGCCCATCACTACACACACACTAGGTAATGAATGACGCGGTCTAGCGGCGCGTCCACGAAACTCGCGCGCTGCGCTCCGCCAAGCGGCGTTACCCCTCCTCCACTACCTCATACTTCACCACTCAAATAGTTAAAAATTCACTGCATACAGCGCCTTAAAAAGGAAAATTATCCGTTCGACTATTTAAGAATAGATAAAATATTAAATCGTTTTCAACATCGAAGGTCGTTCGAGTTTCTATGTTTTTAATGCGTTTATATATTTTTGTACGATGTTACAAATAACGTTTTAGCACCTATTATTAAATTTCTATTAATCGACATCACTTCGCACAGTGTGAAAAATGGCACTGCTTGTAGCAAAAATGCAAAATAATATTATCTAAATTTATATATTAAATATTGTTTTTGAACATTTTATCTATATTTGTCTGGGTGTTTATATATCTGCAATATATAAGTTTTAGTATGTTTGTCGGTTAGTGTCTATATTACAAGCGTATGTATATAGTTTATTTTCAAAGGAACATGTTTTGCAATTACAGAACAGTGTAAGCAATGGTGTATACCCGGGACATCTCCAGTCGCTCTACTTTTTATGGGCACTCCTCGTGGCCGTACATTTCGGCGGGTTCAACGTGCCTTTTGGCCTAGTTCAGAAAGCGTTAGCCGTTTTACCAGGGTAAAATATACTTACAATTTAATGGTAATTTAAGACGTTTTAAAGTTAATTAGTTTGCGCGTCATATTCCGTTCGTTCCATATAATTATTCTGTCGTTCCAGTTAACATGTTGAAATGCATATTGGTCGCGCACAACTTAATTGCGCCCCAGTGTAGTCTGCTCCGCGGGTTATTCGTGACGTCACGTCACGCATGAAAATCAAAGTTAAAATAACACCTAACTTTATACAAAACTAGGTGATACCCGCGACTTCGTCCGCGTTGCTTATTATTTTGACAATGTATATTATGCGCAAAGGAAAAAGAAGACAACCCACTCGATTCGGCAAGAAATAAGTTTTATTTTTGTTTAATCGTTTAGTTACGAACACGTAGTGCTTATAAAAACTCTTGTTTCAATAAACTTCAATAACTTCAGATTAAATGAAGACATCACTATACTTTTGTTTAGATAAGTAAGACCCAAGTGTCTAAAACATAAAACTTTGAAGAATTAATTGAAATCTATTCAGTACATTTTCCGTGATGGTGACTTATTAATAGATAATATAATAGATAGACAATCAAATGCTCACCAAGCCTACTACACAGTTACCGGTAACAACACTAACGTTTGGGGGCAGGAAACAATTTAGTCAGCGACACAATCCAAAAGATAATATCTGAACTACACAGCGCTGACAAATTTAATGTGCTTTCAAGTTTAGCGTCATTCATAATCATTTATTTTTCTCTTTAGGAGTTCCCCGATGTGGCAAGTAATCGCTTGCCTATTGGCTGCTCTGACAATGTGGTTGTCAGTTATATTCCTGATGCGATATCTGCTCAAAGTCTTACTTATGTACAAGGTGATTTTATTGCTTTTTTTTGCTGTTGCTTTTTCGTGGAAGACTGCGACCATTACCTTACCTGTACCGCGATTCGTTTACAACCATGAGAGTTGGAAGGAGGTGTCGGAGGAAGGCCTCGGCTATCTCACAAACCTAACGAAATGCTGAAGTATTAATACTTGTATAGTTTATGCCAGTCTGCTATGCTACTCTTCCCGACGAGCCGTTACATACTTTCCTTTCATTGCGGACTGTCAAAAACCCAAACCACGCCGATGCGGGCTTTCTTCCCAATCGCACCTGATAGATGCTCATTCACAATTTTATTGTAGTGTTTATATGCTTGGTATATGTACTTGCAATGTTTTATTTTATTAAACAAGCATGGGTAAACTATCAGCTCGTAAAAAATGGAGTAATAAATAAGTAAAGTTAACAAACAACATCATCATTTCAGCCTACGTCTATTGCGGACTACATCGGACTCCCCCAATTTATAAATCTAAAATATGTATTTATTTACAACAGAAAGCTTAAGTTTAGGTATATGGTAGGGCCACGAATGTAGACCGGCGTGAAGTGGGAGCGTCATACTTCCACGTTTCGTCTGGTGAGGGAGCACTTTTAAAAAAAATTCGCAACGCATCTGCAACCCTGCGGGTATTGCAAACGTCCATGGACGGAGGTTATCACTTATATCAGAGTATATTAAATGAAACCAGCTTACGGATTTTATCGCGTTTATGTTGTATAACGAGATAAAATCCGTAAACTAGTTTCACTTAATTTGTATAATATTATAAAAAACAAATTAAGCATGTCCATCAGCTACACAGAACCGCAGCACAAGCCGTGTTGTTGTTTGTTTGGGACTAGATGACGTTTTGTGAAAGAATGTCCTGGAATATTTAAAAGGAACCACAAGTTTTTGCGAGTAGACAGTTGCGAAACCTTTAAAGTTGTGCATAACTTTTATGTTCCCGTAGGGCTGGATGTACGAATCGAGAGCGCCCGGGGCGAGGATCTCGTTGAAGACAATGCTCTGGGTTAGCGTCGTGAAGGTGCTCTCCGGCTGGAACAAACCCCGGCTATATAGCTTCCAAGGATCGCTGCCAAGGCTACCGTTGCCCTCTGTCAAGGATACAATGAGAAGGGTCAGCAGAAATGTCCTAACCGCGCGATAGCCCTTTTGGGACCTCAAAACATTTCCACATGTCTATCTAGTTAAATTACTTGATTAACTTGTACGTTCGTATGTAATGCAGATCTGGAAATACCTACTGGATCTCTTTGAAATGATTTCCTCCACGATTATATATAATACCATTCACGAGTAACAAATGGGTTTTTCAAAAATTATATATCAATCATTTTTCTTTGAAATAAATATCTCAAAATAATATTACAGAAGATGCATCTAATGTAATGCTACATTACAACAGATAGCAGCCATAATCCTTACAGTTACTATGCAAACATTAAAAATGCAAGTTATGTTTTTCACAAGAACATGGACATTACAGTTGATATTTTTTTTAGTTATGTAAATATACAAACGTAAGTACTTTGTGTACTATCCGTGTGAAACCAAGCGAGCAAACCTATAATAAACCGGCGTCGGTCTTTCCGTCCGATTATAACGAAGGCGTCTTCAAGGCAAGAGTGAATAGCTTTTTACTGAGCTAGCGCGCTTACCTTCCACGGCTGCATCTCCACTTACCATCAGGTGGGATGGCAGTCAAGCGCTAGTGAGTTCCATATTAAAAAAAATGAGTTACTGGAGTACAAAATTTATCTGTAGATAGAATATAGAAACCGGCCGTTAAGGATTAGTTATCCTATACGTGAAATACATACAGCTTACATTCATCCGATTTTCTCGTCGTGGAATGGGCAGGCTCGTCCGGTGACGTACCACGGCCTCACGGAAGGCCGGCGTAAAGTGAAAGTATTAAACTTTCGCGTTTCGTCTGATGAGCGAGGTACCCAATGCCCACTTTTAAAATGGGTGTCAACATAGAAGTGTTAACAAACCATCGGTTATTGATGTCCATGTGCAACGGTATCAATCTAACATCATGTGAACCGCCTGCTCGCTTAATAACTTTTCACATGATAAAACATCCGATAAAGACCAACTTGCTGACTTGAGAACTAATAATTAACAAAGTGACAAAACGAACGTCGAATGACAAGCTCACTCGCCGTATTATAACAGGTTTTAATCACGCCCTCGCTCGTAACAGCATCGGAACTGTGTAACAGAAACATAATTATTGCTCAATACATATATCACTGATAACGCGTGCGCTGCATGCGGCAATTAACCTTCAACTTGATCGTAAAATGGCTTTCCAAGCGGCATTGACGACTTTCCTGCCATTTCTCATCGATGCATAATTGCGTGTATCGATCATATTATATATGTTTGTGTCGATGCTACAACTGAGTATTTACATTTCAGTACCTGATAAGTGTCCGTCCATTATTAGATGATGAAAATTACAAGAGGGTCGAAAAACTTGCGAACGAATTTGAGAAGACGATAGCAGTTAAACTACAGAGATACCTAACTCTGAAGTCATGGTAATTATTTAAATTTTCATTTTACTTTTGGTCCGTATTATTAATGCAGTGACCACATATTTTCACATTTGTTGTGAATTTACTTGTTTGTCTTGTCTTGATAAATTCCCTTCATGTTAAACATGATGATACCCAACTACGTTATCATTTATCGTATTTCCATGCAACATTTTCCTTATAATTTTATGACTGTCATGTATTTTAAACGGTTTTATTTAGCTTGAACTGTTTGGGTCAAGTCTATTAATTAAAATTTGACCCCTTTCCTTTTGAAGGTTTGTCAGAAATTTGGTACTTCTTAAGTTTTGATGACAATACAATTTAAAACATTCGATATCATTGTTAATACAAGATGGCTGCCGCTACAAAATGGCGGATTACATATTTTATCACTACTTCCTCAATATGGGTAATAAATTAAAGGGCTTGAATAGCAGAATGTAGTTATCTAAGAAAATAAAATGATAATCAAATATGGCCGCCAACATAATGGCAGGTTCATTTTTCTTTTCGACAACCCCTTCAATATGGGTATTAAATAAAAGGTCTTGACTAGTAGATTAGACTGAAAAAACTAAAATCTTAAAAATAAAAAATGAGTAAAAAAATTTTTAAGTTAAACGGTTTCATTAAAAAATAAAGATTAAAATGATGTAGAGAAATGTCACTAGTCCTAAAGACTAGTCATCACACCATTCTCCTCATCAATTTAGGGCATTGATCAGACTAAAAAATGAAATCGTGCGTGTGAAATTTCAATCAAATGAATCGCTAAATCTAAATGCCATTTACATGTTTACCCAGGTTACGCGCGCCCAACAATAACATTTTTTTACCATACGAACGTCAACCCACCATGGGAAAGAACCAGCCAGATTTGGAACAATTAGCTGTAGGTCACACAATGTCCCGTGTGAGAATCAAACCGACGAACCCCGACGCCGAAGCCAAATAGCTTAGCATCGGCGCCACCGAGTCAAAATAGAATAATTTATACGAATTTATCCAGCATAAATATCGAGTCCCAAATATCAAAATAATATCATAATCGTGTCGAATATCACAAGCGGTCTCGTTTATGACATTTGCAGGTGGTCTAGCAACTATGTGTCCGACTGGTGGGAGGAATACGTTTACCTGCGTGGTCGTTCACCGCTGATGGTGAATTCTAATTTCTACGGGACGGACGCCATACTGCTGCGGCCAACCACCAGCCAAGCGGCCAGAGCGGGCGCCATTATCCACTTCTGCATGCAGTTCCGCAGGCTCATCGAGAGGCAGGAACTGGAGCCGGTAACAATTGACATATTCATAACTGCCAGGGATTTTTTAGTGTCGTATGTGTTGAGCCGGGCATCTAGCACACAAACGTGTCATTATCAATTAGGTTATTGCGTAGATTGAGTTTCTGTAACATTCTAAAGCAGCTCTGATTTATCTCAACTTTCCTCTTTTTCGAGGTATTACCAATTAATTGTTCAGTCTTTAAAAACTTTTCATTGTGCGGTTGTACAGCAGCACTTTAAGTAAGCTAAGCAAGTTTAATAGTTTTCTGCCTCGCTCTCTTGCCTCTTAAATGCGCGTGTATAGTGGCGAACAACGTTGACCCTCGGTAACAGAGACATACGGATAGTGGTTTTATAAAGTGATAACTCCAATTTTGCAGTCCTCGGTATATGTAAAAAAATCACGGAGGCAACGGAAGCGCCCTTAGGTATTTATATCGATTGACATTCTGTGTGACGTCATTGCTACAGGCTCAATTTACGAATTTTGCTTATAGATAATGCTTCAGAACATGGTGCCCTTATGCTCGTGGCAGTATGAGCGTCTATTCAACACGGTGCGCGTGCCCGGCGTGGAGACGGACAAATTGGTCCACTACCAGGACTCCACACATGTCTCGGTCTACCACAAGGGCCGCTACTTTAAGCTCATGGTCTACTCAAGAGGCAGGCTGCTTAGGCCAGCTGAGATACAGGCGTGAGTATAAAAGCTGAGTTTATTATGGAAACGAAAGGATGATACAAATATAAAAATTATAAAAATGTATTCCTCAATTCAAATGTGGAGACAGTATAATATTTTATGTAGAGACATAGATATATTTCATCAAAACTTTCATTGTTTTCAAAAACTATTAAGTCCTATAAAAACATTGGTCTGCTTCTTGGTATGAGTAAATCAGTAACTATAACTATAATTTATTACATACATTATTAAAATTGAATGATGTACTCGGTTGTTATTGAAATGTTATTGAAAAGCAATTTAGTAATATGTAGTAGTCTGTAATAATTTAGTCATGTTAAAATTTGTATTTTATAATCATGCCAAATAAATTATTGTCTGGCATATTTTCAGATGAGTTATCATTTACCAATTTATACATAAGTCGGTATTATTCATATACAAATGTATGTATATATAATTAATATATAAATCGGTGGTTGGATGTAGGGCATCCAGTATACAAGGGTCAAAGGCATAAATTAAACATTGAAGATGTGATTTACATAATTTAACAATTCAATAATTTATCCATTTTAATGAAAATGTGTAACACAAGCTCATTAGTATATATGAACATCGCCATAATACAGCTTAATACCTAAATAATTGTTCTTCACAAACCAGGTGAAAGGTGGCTGATAATCGCCTTAAATTTTGGTTACTTTAATTTCCAAAGGTCTTTTTTTGTTCAAATGGATTCTGCTAATATTCCGTATAAGGCAATTGCGTGTTAAAACGAAAATTATGATTTTTAAGAGAAATTTGTATGGTGTTGACATAAGCATGAGGATCGGATCTCTCTGTAATCGCATGGTTAGTTATATCCTTGCACACAGATATAGTACTATGTATTCGTATTTTTGGACTTATTTCGTATTGTGGAACCACTTGCGTTTTTTTAAATATCGCAAGTTTATAACAAAGCAAAAAATAAATAGTGGCCATAAAATTTTATGCTTCAAATATGAGTTTACTAAGTCTAGTTTTTAGTCTTATAGGAAATAATACGACGATCAGAAAAGAGTGTTATGAAGTTTCCTTGATAGAAATTAATTATGTCGTCTGTATTAAAATATTTAAAATTATTTATTCAAGTATGCACTACACCAGTTATTCAAATAATTATATATTATTTGAATAACTGGTGTATATTTATTTATTATATTTGTTTATTGTGCATATTAAATACCTGTTCTTTTTTTAATATGACGTCTGCTATCACAACCGAATGTTTATTGACATTAATAAATGACCATATTGGTAACCTTTTAAAAAGCTACCTTTTTTAAATGTACAAGTAAATAAGAAAAATAAAAAGTAAATTAATTGCTGTTACAAGTCCCACTGCTGGGCAAAGGTTCCTCTTTACGGTATCAGGTCATAGACCATCACCCGGCCCAACTGGGGATTGCCGGACTACATATATCTTCGAAAAGTTATTTTTTGTTATTATTACGCAAATATGTAGGTTTTCCCACGTTGCTTTCCGCCTCAGCTGAGCACGTGATAAGGCAGCACCTAAAATTAACAATTGGTGCCGGCACCGAACTCATGTTGAATTAAAAGCCCGGACAATGAGTTATCGCGGCTACATAGGTACATAGGTTTCGTGTTAAATTATTTACCACCCCATTCAGAGCGTTAAACGTGTTTTTTGCAGACAAATCGAGCAGATATTGCGAGACAAGTCAGAGCCGGTGGTCGGCGAGGTGCGTTTGGCGGCATTGACGGCGGGCGAGCGCTCCCATTGGGCTCACATACGCCAGACCTGGTTCAACCGCGGCCACAACCGGACCTCCTTGCACTGTATCGAACGGGCGGCGTTCAACGTGTGCCTGGGTAGGGCGCGACATTGCCGAATCCTAAGCGATAATCGACCACATCCGTGTTCCATAGCGCCATAGTTCCGTAGCTTTTGTAGTAGGGCCACTCTGTTTGTTGCCCGGAAGGACGGGTTCGTCGTGAGACGTGCCACGGTCTCACAGGAGACCGGCGTGAACAATGATTTATGTCTTGTTTGTTTGTTTTGTTGTGTTTTTTATAAAAACATTGCTCTTACTTTAGGATAACATTATCCTGTGTTGAAAGGTTTTACAAACTTAAAATCCACGCGGAAAAACACCTAGATGCGGAACAACTATCTGTGGGTCACACAAATAGTTGTCTCGTGTGGGAATCTAACCCACGACCCCCGACCCCGAAGCCAATACCTTGGCAATGCACCACGGAGTCGTAGAAAAAAAACCGAGGTAGATATATAGCGCACCGAAACTGAGGCACTCGAGTTGCGACAATTGGTGTAATAAGATTGCAATTTTATCATCTGTCACATTTACTTATACAGCGTGTCGTTACAACCGCGACAATAAATGAACAGACGTCTAACGCAACATGCCAATAATCATAAAAATGTTTTATATTTACATTAAAAAAAATCCATAATTAAAAAATATATTTTTCAAACAAAGTAATTAAATAAAAAAGAAACAAAATTTGTAACATCCTATACAACTACAACTAACTGATTCAAACATTCAAAGACGTTTTCATTCGTTGCCACAACGTCGCATTACGTTTTATCTCTTTCTCTCTAAAGTATGTTTTATCTCTTTCAGATTCATTCAACCCATTCACACTCTTGGTGACCTTTACAAATGAACTTTACGTTATAGCAATGTTTGTTTTGCACAATTTTATAACTCGGTAAATATTGATGTTTAAAGAATGTAAATGCTTAATACAATTTTAAAAAGTTATTCTCTATATGTGTGTTCATCTATTGTGGCGGTTGTAACGATACAGTGTATAAGTATGATGTAAAGCGTAACATTTTTTGAACGCCGCGCCGTATGTACATGCGTCATCTTTCTTAAAACATCATTGAGCATGAAGTCCAAATATACTTTAGTGATTGGTCTGCTGAGGTTACCGGTGGGATGTATCTAATATTGTTTTGCAATAAACTAATTTAATCCTTCCAATTCTTCCATTTTAACAAATAATAATGTGGCATTTTACGATTAGCTTTGTCGTATTGTTGCAGATGACAAAGATTACGGCTACGAAGAGAAGGACCCGAGTACATTGGACGAGTACTGTCGCATACTTTTGCACGGACAAGGGCACGACCGCTGGTTCGATAAGTCATTCAACTTGTGCTTCAGCAAAAACGGTTTCGTGAGTAACTTCACAACTAATTATAACTAGTGTCTGCTGATGTAGCTAGTACTGAATATGTATAGATGAATATTTAAGCAATAAATAGCAACATATGTGCCCATAATTTTGAAAGTTGTCTAAGTCAAAATTAGAATCTCATCAAAATTGTATCACTCGCACCACATTATTTTAAAATAAATTTATTCAATGCAATTTATTACGATTTCGTCAATAACACATAGTGGTTGTAATTTCAATGTTATATGGAATTCCTTTAGAGTTAATTTTGAAAGTGGTCAAAGTCAAAATCAACAGATATACATCGTGTGTGCAGAATCAAATGTCTTAAATATAACTGCTTGAGTCCACTGCTGGACATAGGCCTCTCTCACAGACCACCACAAAGCATAATTCTGAGCCGCCTGCATCCATCGACTTCCTACACACATACGTCGCCACTACATCTAACGTCATTACGATGGCCAATCCGAGGCTGCCACTCGACAATCTTTCTTCTTTAGTATGCACGGATATAATAAGTCTACTTTAAGTTACGTAGATGCAATGGGAAGTGTACGCTAAAAATAACCTGGGCGAATCTGTCTCTTGGCTGCAAATTCCAAGGAGGCGTGAGATTCTTAAAAAAAATAACCTTATAAAACATCTATAGATGATTTTAAATTCCACGTTTTGGATCTTTCACCTAAAAGGAAGACAAAAAATAGACGGAAATATTACATAACTTTCAAAGAAGAAAATGATAAATGTATTATTATGTGTTTACTACTACTACCATAAATCCCTCAAGATTTTCAGGAACATTTTAAGAATCTTGAAACCTCGAAATGATAAAAATGAATTACTTTTTAAAAGTAATTAGTAAACATTCATAAATTAGTTAATTTTTTTTTTCAAAAAAAACTCGCTTCTTTATTGCTTTTAGTCATTTATTACAACACATTCAGTTCATTTTGAAAATTTTCTAAGTCAATTCAAGGTTAAACCTTACAACATTTTCGTATGAAATTCAGACAAAATTCCATATTCATAATAATTTCGATTAGTCAAGACTAATAAAATTATAAATTAAAATGTTGTATAATGTAAAAATATTTTTTAATATATTGGAATGCAATTCATTAAATATCTTGACACAAGAAATATATGACTTGGACGACTTTCATAATTATGGGCATATATTATATAAAATTACTATCTAATATATAAAATTCTTCTCACAGTTTAAATGTTCATATGTTTCAGAGGAGAAATGGCATGACCGATTGTGATAAAATTTTATGTGTATATTCAGATATGAGAATAGATTTAAAACATTTTTATTTTTTTTCTACCCTACAAATAATTTATATGACAAAACAACGTTTTCTGGGTCAGCTAGTAACGTGATAAAAACACAAATCTTGATTTGAAAAACCACACAATAGGATACAAAAACATGACAATATTTAATTGTATTTTATATGTGCATGCATAATGTAATATTTTTGTATGTAACTAATTTATATTTTACTCAAAGTTCATTGATTTGATTATCACAATATTTTTGTTTTTTTTTAAATAAACGCTCTAAAATATAATTTTCTATTATGAAAACAGTACCAAATGTTTATTACAGGTGGGATTTAACGCCGAGCATACTTGGTAAGTGGTATTTTCTTTTTTTTTTCAGAAAATTTAATTTCTTAAAATTATTAAAAAAATTATTAATAAAAAATTTAATTTATATATTGAAATACCAAGCCCAACTCTTTGGTTGACATAATCACAATTTGTTCCAGGGCCGACGCTCCTGTTATGGGTCACCTATGGGAGTATGTTATTTGGTCGGAATTACAAAATGGGTAATTGTTGCCTCATTATTTAACAAATTTTGTACAGAAATTTTACTATAGCTCTTATTATTCCATATTAAAAATTCTCCCAAGCATTGCACAACTGAATTTGATTAATGAGATTCAGTAAATGGGATTATACAGGAGGACGTCCTTTTGAAAACACCTACCGTCAATTTACAGCTACACCCCAGAAGGCAATACTAACGGCAGCGTTGATACTCCGCCACCTCCGCCTATCAGACTGCAGTGGGACCTAAACAAAGAGGAGCTGTTGAAAGCTATCGACGTCTCCTACAACGTTGCCCAGAATCTGCTCAACGACGTCGACCTACGGATACTTATGTACACGCAGTATGGCAAAGGTGATGATGTATTTATGTTAGAATATATTCATAGATAAACCCATACATCACATATTCGTAGTATAGTCGCCATATCGACTACAAATATTAAATAGGTCGTTGAATAGTTTGTATAATATAATCCCACAGTGGATATTAAGTCTGCCACTTGATGAATTTAAAAGAAAAATTAAAAGTAAACTTATGGCTTAAGCATATTATAGGTACCGTTGCGGCATATTTTGACGACTCCAATGTGTGGAGTTAATACTGTTGATACTCACGTAGGCTAAAATGAGACTATTTATTATATCTATATCATTATATTGTAAACTGACCTTTTTAAAAGCAACTGTTGAGTTTCTTGACGGTTTTTCCTCAACATAAACTGCTTTCCGAAACGGTGGTAACTTACGAACGTATTAATTTCTATGTACAATTTCGATGTTTCATAAGAACGCGCAAGCGTCTATGTGAGTAATTTTAAATTTGAATACACCCTACATAAATTTGTATGTTATCCACGACTTGGTGTTGGGAATGTCACTAGAAATGTTTATGCAGTAGTAAAATCTCGTACAGGTTTCATGAAAAGCTGCCGCGTGTCCCCAGACGCATTTATTCAACTCCTGCTGCAACTGTCATACTACAGGGACGCTGGCCGCTTCTGCCTAACTTACGAGGCCTCTATGACCCGACTCTTCCGTGAAGGTCGCACTGAAACAGTTCGCTCGTGTACCGTCGAGAGCACGGATTGGGTCAGGTCAATGGAAGATCCCAATGCTACGGTAAATAATAGTTGCCTTTTTCGGCCCCGCTGCTTTGCAGTGGTTGGAGTCAAGTAGTCTATAGTTTTAATTTTTTTGACCATTACTATACTTATTTACATAGCTTTAACACATAAATATATTTATTTATACATTACAGACAGACAGCTTTTTTATAGAACTATCTGTGGTATGACTAGTAATATTTAAAGAAGTTATGAAGAAGAAGAAGAAACTCATTAATCGATTTACTGGTGCATTTTCCCTATATTTATTCTCCCGGGAAACTCATGCATCAGATTATAATATTGTAACCTACAATTTCGCCTAGGAAGCTCGAATCATAATACGGCAGTCATAGAGGTTATTTATTATTTTATGTAGTGCGTTAAAATCATGATTCTTCGTATCTTCCAGAGAAATTGATATAATGTTTTTAATATCTTTTTCATTACCTCTCTTTTTCGATTGGAACAATAATAACCTCTTTCCAAGCAGTGAGGAACTTACCTAATTTTAAAGAAGCATCCATTATAAAGAGCTGTTGATAGTGGACAATTCTTTATAAAAATGGGAGGTATCTTGTTACTGCTTTCTGTGCATTAAGTCTTTTTAGCATCACTATAATTTCATTTTTAATTTTCATTATTGTGTATATGACATGTCAACAATAATATTTGGTCTAACTATAACTTTTCAGTCGTTATATCTTATACCTTTAAACGAGCAATTCTTGTATATACAGCGTGTCATTACCATTGCGACAATAAATGAACACACGTCTAACGCTACTTGCCAATAATCATAAAAAAATATTAACGTTAAACAAAATCCATAATTAAAAAAAAATATTTTTCAAACAGACTAATTAAGTAAAAAAGAAACAAAATTTGTAACATCCTATACAACTCGCGCCACAGCGTCGCATTACAAGCCTCTCCTTCTAACAGTATGTTTTGTCTCTTTTAAATTCATTCAACCCATTCATATGCTTTGTGACCTTTACAAATGAACTTTACGTTACAGTTTTATACGTAAGGGTGTTCTAAAATTGTTTGTTTTGGAAAATTTTATAACTCGGTAAATATTGATGTGTAAAGAATGTAAATGTTTAATACAATTTTAAAAAGTTATCCTCTATATGTGTGTTCATTTATTGTCGCGGTGGTATAATCGGAATCTCGGAAACGGCTCCAGCGATTTTCATGAAATTTAGTATGTGCGTAGATTTGGGGGCGAAAAATCGATCTGGCTAGGTTTAATTTGTCGTTTTATCCCAGTTTTCAGGGAATGAAAAATATCATTCGAATACCACGGTAAATTTCGCCGCAAAAAAAATGTTATAATAGCTCGGTCGGTAATCGGGCGGCCCCGAAACAGAAGGCCGTGGTTCGTGTCACGATCATTTACACACTTATTTTTTTACTTTTTTTTCTATTCTTTTTTAGATTCCAGATCATTGCTTTCTTTATTTTTTTTCGATTTGTTATTTTGTTATTTTTTTCCCTTTTTTTTAAAGTTCTTTCTTTTGTGAAAAATACCAGTTCATATTTTCTTATTATTACGTCGGTAAGATCGAAAAATATTATGCATATTTCATTACTCAGTAATTTGTATCTAAATGTAATGTCCAAAATACACGATTTACCAAAAATAAAAACAAACCGAGCAAAGCTCGGTCCTCCAGGTACTGTTGTTTCTAAAGGGTCATTTTGGAATTTTTGGATTCTTTTAAATATTACGTTCTATTCTTAAAACATATTTTTGATAATCACATTTTATGATATGTTGCAGTGTTATTCAAGTGTTCAAAAGATATTTAATCTATATTTTTTCTTTTACTTATTGACCAAATTATGACTAAACTACCGAGGATAATTCTTGTTACGAATTTGATACATATTTATAATAATGTTATAGGCGTTATTATTTAAAATAATGTCTGTAAAAATAATACAAAACTTCATCACCATTTTATCGATGTTATCAAATATATTTAGGATATCATGCCAATTTACTTAGCTCACCATTAATGCCCTGATTATCGGCTTTAGAATTTGTACTTGACTCCCTATTGTTCGTTGGTATAATGTGTCTAAAATTAATTTCTAATCAGTTACTTTAAAATTCATATTTGTTAACAATAAGTCCTGACTTTTATCTTTCTTATTTTTTATTTCATTAATTTTAATTAAATTAAGTAAAGTCATGTACTTTAATAAGTATGTATCCCTCGTTTTTATAATTATAAGGACATTTTTTTTTCTATTGACTTATCATCTGTCCATCCTATGTTCGGTAGATAGAAATCACCAACTATGAAAATAGCAGATGTAAAAATGTTTTGGCTTAATATTCGCAACCTTTTGCTTAATTGCTTCGTTAAAATGCGTTCATATGATTGACAGTGATTACCAATCGACGCTGAATTAAGAAGAGTGTAAGAACTTATTTAATTCATTACTTTTTTCACACATTCACAGTCCTTAACATATCGAGAATTTTTATTATGTTTTTGACTTTTATATATACAACCATCAATCTTTTTCCAGTGGGTATGGGAATTATATGTGGTGGCGGTCGTGGCAATCTTTTTAGGACAAAATTTTATGTAAATGTAATTTATAAGTATTTACGCCAATAAATGCTCAAATCCCCTCGCTCTAACATTTTTAATCTACACCACAGTTACAAGAACGCATGGAGTTATTTTTAAAAGCCAGCCGCCGGCACCAGCTCGGCTACCAAGACGCCATGGCAGGAAGGGGCATTGACCGCCATCTTTTCTGCCTCTATGTAGTATCAAAGTACTTAGAATTGGACTCGCCCTTCCTGCAGGAGGTATTCAACGAACCATGGCGACTTTCCACTAGTCAAACACCTCACGGTACGCCTAATCAATTAAGCCCCCTAGCGATAATGTTAATAGAAGGATCAACACTTGCTAATTGTATTTTTTACTATTAGGTCAAACCAACATGTTGGACATGAAGAAATATCCAAAGTGTGTTAGCGCCGGTGGTGGCTTCGGCCCTGTAGCAGACGATGGCTATGGTGTGTCCTATATTATCGTCGGTGAAGACACCATATTCTTTCATGTCTCAAGCAAGAAAAGTTGTCCCATAACGGTAAAATTTATTATTTTTTCTCACATTTTCAAGGGTAATTATAAAATAGAATTTATATGCATATGCCTGTGATAATTCAATCTCAAAAAAATACATGTAAACTCACTGCATTATTCATACAGCAATATTTCATACTCAAAGAGCTTTGGAAATAGTTAATATTATTTACTTTTGAAACCTGTGTAATATTGTTTACTTTTTACTTTTACAGAGCTCCAGCAACTTTTTGAAACAAATTGAAAGATCGTTAAATGACATCAGAGAACTCTTCACGAATTATAACAAACTGAAAAGTGTAAAGAATAGCAAATAGTGTCAGACTTATTTACACACACATTATGTAATAGTTATAATGTCGTAATTGTTTTGTTGTTGTTTTCATTTGTATTTTTAGTTTATAAAAATGAATGTTTTTTAGAATTAAGCCTTGACTCAATATTATATAAGTACACACTATATGGGAATTGGATTATTTATAAAATATACCGAATTTTAATCAAACAAATCCACTCTACTTGCAAGTGACTTTGTAATTGTTAAATACAAGAAGACTTAAATTTATCGTACACTCAATTTTCATAAATTGGATGTGGATAAATTGATTGAAAAAACAAGAGAAAATTAAATAATTAATAAGAGTTGTTCATGCAAGGCCAAAGTCATAATGATGATTTAAAACTTAGAAAATTATAGCAACACTTAAAGGTTTACTTGGGACTTAAGATGGTTGTGGTAACAAATGCATGTTTTGTAACAATTAAGTTTTATATTGCAATCTAGTTAGGCATGATACACAACTTCTCTATTAAGCTAATTTAATGTTTACAGTCCAGAACCATTTTTTATAAAAGTGGCAAAACTCCTTTTGAGTTCAATATTTTCCTACATAACTTTATCTACATATATTGTCGTTGAGGTAATTTTATAATATTAACGATAAACCTGATACAAATAACAATAATATTGAAGTAATCATCAGTTTTAAAAGAATAATAAATCAATAAGAAATTTAAACATATCTGTAGGATTGAGAAAGGTGCTGTTTGCTGCAGGACTGTAGTTATTTTTTTATTCAAGTACTTTATATAATAACGAGCTTGATTGTTTGTAATAATATTAAGTGAATAATTTATGTATACATACATATTTCTACTAAATCACAATTTACATTAATACATATTTCTATACTTGTTCTTTTATGTGCATTTTAGAATTGGTAAAATTAATTAATATTAGGTAATTGTTAAATGCTGGTTTATGCCCTAAATAATTATTATAATTGCTCTATTATAATTTCAATCAATATGAACCATTGTTCTATGACATAAATCAAATCTTGCAACATCACCAAATAGTATTTTTGTATGCTTGTGTAAACACTGAATGATACTTATATTTCAATATATTTATTTAGAAGAACAAGTCTTTTTCTGTTTTTTTTATAAATACAACAAGGGGATAAGTTAAGACTATATGAATTCAATAGGGAAATTATATTATATACCAAGATTACAGGAGCTTCTTTAATTTTTTATAATTCCATTTGTCATGGCAGCTTATTACATACTTTGGCTTTACAGCCAATTAAGTACTTTACCTTTAAAGTTTAACCTATATAAATCAGAGGTGCATTATTTATTTTATAGTCATTGCTTTTACAACCCCTTAATAATGAGACCAAAATCAACATCTGTATTAAATATTTACGTATACTTGACTTACAATTTACACTGTAAATAAATTGTTATAAAAACCAGGTATTTTTCTTTTCCGTAAAATAAATTTAGGATGAGTTGTTAAGAACGCGTTTACGAATTGACAGTCTTGGCCGTCCTAGGCCCCAGGCATTACATAGAGTACATAATGTATGTATTTTATTGCCAACTTTTATCGCAATCGATTCAGTTTGAACTAAAAATTTATCAAGGGAATCGCGTCCAACCAACGTCTTCCGGATTTGCACCCAGACGCTTAAAATCCTTAGCTCAACGGTTGATTTCCACGTTTAATTTTAATTTTTAGTCGTCAGTGCAAATATTAGCACCATAAAAAAATAATTTTCATACAGCATCCATTGCTATATGAAAATTATTTTTTATTTCTTTTTATTCATCTATGTGGCAAACATCCATTTAGATTAGCTTAGCTGTTTCATCGCAATTGGTTTACTTAAACGAAAGATGCCAGTACCTAATAATATTCAAATAATGCAGCCGCAAACTGTGTTATCGCAGTTAACTAGTGGATTAATTTAAGATATAGATGATATATGTACGTTAAAATTACTGGATTATGATACGAAAAAATAAACATCTAATCAAAACGTGCTATCGACGATAAAATTTTTATTGCGGTTCAGTTTTTCTATTTCAGTTTCAAAATAAAAAGGAGTTACTTAACAAAACATTCAATTGATAGAATTAAAACGCACTCTAGGCAGTACCGAATTAAACGATCGCGGGCCCGTAGCAATTTATTTCAAACAGCCTAAGCAAATAAAAAATTTATACTCTTACTTATTTAATAAGTTTAATTAAAAAATATATGTCTCAGGCAGAAATGAGATGAGTGGGCTTAAATACGGAGCCCACATTGACGCGGAGCCTGTAGCAATTGCTACTCTGCCTATGATGTGGTTAATCCGGCACTGACTGCGCCAAGACTAGATGGCGTTGTTAAATTTTTATAATAAGCTTTAGCTACATTTTCTCAAGTTAAGGATATTTTTGAATTTGCTTTGTGATTTGGTTAGTTGTTTACCACACTTGCAAAACGAAACGCAGAAGTAGAACACGTCTCCTTTTGTAAGGTCATAGAACTTCCCCGAACGCGTCTATCCATTCGTGCAACAGCGAAGACCCTTGCGTGACACTACCATATAAAATATAAATCATTCCGCTTCCTGCTCTCGTACGGAACGGACCTCTCTAAGACGGAGGGCTCATGCCACCCGAATTAGACACTACTCACAACTTCGGTTGCAATTTAAATCTTTGTGCAAGCAGTGCAGTAATTTAGTGTTACTGTAGTGTTGTGCTCGTAGGCAGGTTCCTGTTCTGTAAGTAGAATACACACCTCTCGCCTCCGAGGCGGCATTGTTTTATTTAATTACTGTGTGCTTGTTGCGATAGGCGACAGCTAGGTACCCACCCTAGCGCAACTAAAGCGCAGGCGAATTAGTTGTTGTTTTTAGGCAAACTCCTCCCAGCCGAAAGGTGGGGAGGCTTATTTAGCTCACACACGCCGGCGGGGCTACAAGCCCCAAAGGCACATACGTCGCGATGGGCTCTCATTTCGAGGAGTTCGTGCGCAAGGAATGCCCCGCTATGTGAGAACGTTATCTTGCCTATGCTCGGCTGCACAAGCTGAAATTGCCTCACCGGCAATCGCGTCGATGCCATCGCCCGCGCCCTCTGCGCCCGTTACCCCGTCGCCTTCCGCGACATATGTAACGACGTTCGCGTCGACATCCACCGCCGCGATCCCGCCCGTCGCGCCTTCCTCGCAATCCAATTCGGCCTCCTTCTGCACCGTCGTACCCGACTTACAATCGGACATGGAGGTCGAAAAGACCCCCGTAGACAACGCGAACGCCGACGGCGTCACCGTCGTTAAATCGCGAAGAAGGGCAAAAAATACCCCGCTGCCGAAAGCGACCCCGAATGCGAGGCCGCCTCAACTAACCGTTCCACCGCGACGCCCGCCAAAAAGGCGGCCGCGGCTGCCCAACCGGTACCCGAATTCGCCGCCGAGCGAAAAATTAAGCCACCGCCTCCGATAATAATACAAGAGAAGGCAAAGTGGCATCAAGTATGCTCGTGGTTCGAACGCCACAACATCCGCAACCCCCGATCGAAAAATACAAATATGGGTATCCGCGTATACCTCAATACAACGGACGACTTCCGCCGCGTAAAGAAGTACTTGCGCGAGAATAAGATTTCTATACCTACTCGTTGCCCGAAGAACGAAAACTTCGGGTAGTAATAAAGGGCGTCCCCAAAGAGTCGGATGTCGACAAGGCTAAGATCGATATCCGCACTCAGGGCAGGGTATCTCTAGGGCATGCATAGACGCCTCAGGCATGGTGATGGTGATGGTTGAACTTGACCCTACCCCGGAAGGTAAGGCCATCTTCAACCTGAAGAGGGTCTGTGGGCTCAGTGACTTAGACATCGAGCCCCCGCACAAATCAGGCGTTGTGGCACAGTGCCATAACTGCCAGTACTACGGCCACACGGCCAATAATTGCTTCGCTCACCCTAGGTGCGTCAAATGCACCGGTGGCCACGGCACGCCCGAGTGCACGCGGCCGAAAGAATGCGCTGATCCACCGGACTGCGTAAATTGTCACTCCACCGGCCACCCGGCTAGCTACAGAGGCTGCGCTAAGGCCCCAAAAACTCCCGCGAGAAAAGCTCCCGCGAAAACAACGTTGCCCAAATCCGTGTCCGCGAAATTCATTCCCGCACCCGCACCCGTCGTTAACGCCTGGGCGAAACCCTAGGTGGCCGCGCGACTGCAAACACGTCTCATGGGACTTTCACAGTATCCCAAATAATAACGGTAAGCAACTCTTTAGCTTAGCTTTTAGCATAATCGCTCCTGCGACTCCCACTACGGTGGACAATTACCAACTCGCGACACCGAGTATCCTAGATACTCAAGAAGGTCTCGTTCGACATCGAGTCGATAGAGACAATCCATGAACTAGACTCAGATCACCGGCCCCTCCTGTGCAAACTGGGCCAGAACGCCGGCGCGGTCCGTCCGACCAAATCCTTAGTGGATTGGCATCGTCTTCAGGTCAAACTCAAGGCCTTGGACCCCCAGGACATAGTCAACCTCCCCGAAACGATAGCTACGTTAGATGACGCAAATCGAGCATCGATAGCAAGTCTCCGAGAAACTATCACCTCCGCTGTCGCAGATTCGGAACGGACGGTGAAACTATCGGGCAACCGACGGGTTAACTTTCCGCCCCACCTGCGACTGCTAATTAGACAAAAAAATGCAGCCAAACGCGCTTTCGACCGATGACGATCAGAATCGAACCAAACCTTACTTCGATGCCTTCAGCTAGAAGTCAAAGATCGCGTATCCGACATACCACGACGGAGACGCTCTCCTAGAGAACATCGAGCCATCGCACTCCGCCTACTGGCGGTTGGCCCGTAGTCTGAAAGCAGACCCCCGCGAATCTCTACCGCCGTTAGCTATACCTAATAGCGCTTCAGTAGCCCTAGACGACTCCGAAAAAGCCGATTTCCTTGCGTACTACCTAGATCAACCGAGCCATGATAGCTCAGTGTCCGGGCGCTCGCCTTTAATTCAATATACTCGAGCAACCTGAGTTCGATCCCCGGTGCCGGCACCAATGAAGTTTTTAACTTTAAGTGCTGACTTATCACGTGCTCCGCGGTCAAGGAAAACATCGTGAGGAAACCTGTATATTTTCGAAATAAAAAAAATATATATATTTCGAAAATATGTGAAGTCCGCCAATCCGCAGTGCGGCCGCGTGGTGGACTATGCCCTGATACCCACTGTATAGAGGTGGCCTTTGCCCAGCAGTGGGACATGTATAGACTGTTACTTTTTTTTTTACTGTAACCTAGATCAGCAATGTCCGCTATCGCGCGAACACACCGATATGGTCCACCTAACGGAGGTGGACCACGTAATCGAGATTAGGGCAGCACTTCCACCGGAAGGCGATCCTTTGAATTCAGTGACCCCCGAAGAGGTACAAGACATTATCAAAAATTTTAAACCCAAATCCGCCCCGGGCCCAGATAATATTAGTAACAAAATTCTTAAAGCTCTCCCTGGGCCACTTATCTGTTTACTGGCGACCATCTACAACACTTTACTCTCCAGTTGCTCCTTTCCGGACGACTGGAAAGAAGCCACGGTTATCGGCATTCGCAAGCCGAATAAACCAGCCAATTAGCCCTCTAGTTATCGTCCTATCAGCCTCCTCAGTTACCTGGGGAAGCTCTACGAGCGGCTTTTATTGAACAGGCTCAAAGACCACGTGTTTTCCAACGGCCTTCTGCCGGCGGAACAATTCGGCTTTCGAGCTAGTTATTCCTGTCCCGATCAATTATGCCGCCTAACGTTCCGTTATCCTAAAAGGCCTGAATCACCCTAAACATATAAGCACGGGGGCTCTTTTCTTCGATGTCGCAAAAGCATTCGACAAGGTCTGGCACAACGGCTTGATTTACAAGCTGTATACACTCAAAAATAAAATCCGGGCCTTCCTGTTGAATCGCTCTTTTCGATATCGAGTCGGGGGAACCCTCTCCACAAGCCGCAGCCTCACGGCTGGTGTTCCACAAGGCTCCTGCCCCTCACCTTTGCTCTTTACGCTCTACACGAGCGACATACCAAAAGACGCCCACGTCAATCTCGCGCTTTTTGCAGATGACACGGCGCTCTTTTATTCAGGCCGAAACCTCAGTCAAGTAACCATTCGACTCCAAAGCGCCGCCGACTGCCTCGGCGATTGGTTCCGCAAATGGAGAATAGAAGTAAATCCCGAAAAGAGTGTGGTGATTTACTTCACACGAAGTACTTACCTGTCACATCTTTATAAAGGCCCTCCCCAATGCAGAAAGTTGGGGCAAATATCCCTTTATGGTCAACTGCTCTCCTGGGAGAAAAAGGTCAAATATTTAGGAGTCACTTTCGACTCGCGTCGAACATAATAACCTTCGTAATAGAGCCGTATTTGTTCTCCGGCCGGCTACACAAATTAAGTAACGCTAAAAGTAAAATGCCCTTAAGGCACAAATTATTATTATATGTATATACGTTTGTTAAAAATATTTGACAAATCTTGTGTAATATACGGCATTATTGCGGAAATTAAGTTTATGGACATGCCCATAATTTTTTTGTATTTATAAGATTTGTAGAATTTAAAATTTTTATAATATCATTAGTATCTATGAGAATTAATTGAATATGGTGACGTGTGCTACTTCGACCTGAATGCAGATCACCTCAATAAACTCGACCAACTTAAATAACTGCATTCGATTCGTTTTCAATCTCCGTAAGTTTGACCATGTATCTTGCTTCCGTGCACAACTTCAGTGGCTACCTATACGTCAACGACGCTCTCTAAGAGAACTGACTACTTGGTTATCCCTTCTGAACTCGCCTTCTACTCCAACTGTAGCTTGTAAGTTTCAGTTGTAGTTTTTCTTCTTTCATGTCTGTCTGTGAACCTACCTAATCTTCTCTGTACCACCCTAAGGTTGACTGGGAGATAATGCCTTTGACATTAAGTCCGCCTTTGTACTTTTAGTGCATAAAGGATAAATAAATAAATAAATTTTAACGTGTGTGGACACTAAGTAACATTATTTCTTAATACATTAATTGCGTCTATGGGAGATGATTTTAATGTTTATGTGATATTAACTGAATATCTGAAAAATAGCTTGCAAAACTATTTGCAATTTCGTCATTTGAAGTTATGGGAGTATTACCTTTCACTAGCTTTATAGGTTCCCTGAATATCTTGGGTGTTCTAGATATACGGGTAATGATGTATTTTGATCTTTATTTTATTGCTTGTATTTAAAATTTTATCTAATATATAAAATTCTCGTGTGACGGTGTTTGTAATTATACTCCTCCGAAACACCTCAACCGATTTTCGTGAAATTTTGTGTGCATATCGGCCAGGGTGGAGAATCAGACAACATCTATTTTTCATCCCCCTAAATATTAAGGACCACCCTTAATATTTAGGGGGATGAAAAATCCACCCAAAATATTTTTTTCCCCACAAATAATTTATATGGCAAAACAACGTTTGTCGCGTCAGCTAGTTTTTTATATACCTAAATAGATTTTGCCTGATTACAGACTGTTAAATATTTTTCAAAACATTTGTACCCGTTTATGGAAGTATATCGATGTAAGAAATATATCGATATTTAGTCGAAACTAGCGTTATCGTTCTAGCAGGTTTGCCACCTTAGGGGTTTTTCCCAAATTTAGAGGGTAAACAAACGCGTTGGAATTTTATAGGGGCGTTATATTTTTAGTGATTTTTAACTACTATTATTTTTTTCTTACGTTTTAGTTCTTGTTATTGTTGGCAATACTAAAGGAAGTGTCTTTCTATGTGATTTTTATGAAGAAGTATGAATTATTTCATACACTATTTTGGCAGTCAATAAGAAGTATGTATAAGCGATTGTGTTGCCCAATCGGTAACGTAAATTAAATTTTTAGTGGTGATTCTTTAGTCGAGACGTGAAAATAAGTAGTTACACCAGTGTTATTGTATACAAAGTAAAACTACGGTGACTTGATAAAAGTCTTTATATTTCTACCTGCTTATCTCGATAAAACAAAGTAAAGCTAATTTTATTTTCTTTGATTAAGAAAAATAAAGGTATAAAAATAAAGAGCCGGTAGTAACACAATCTACCCGATCATATTTCTTTGCTAGATGCAACGGTTAGGTGTACGGTTTTTCTTTAGTAAGAATGCAGTTGAAAGGTAAATAGCAGAGAGAAATAAAGTGTCCGTCAAAACGTATTCAATGGCGGTAGCGAAGGATAAACTTGAGGCCCCATTTAAGAGTTCCACTCACTATCCTGCCTGGCAGTTAACGTGCAATGCAAGACTGCAAATTAGTGTGTAGCTCCCACACTGTCCTATTCAGCCGTCCATCATCGGTACTGTTTCTCATAGACAGCGTTCTTGTAATTATGCCTTGTAAGTGTTATTTCGAAAGAAGGTGGAAATAGTAATTCTGCTGTATTTTTTTCTTATCAGAGGAAAATACTAAAAAGGGTCTAGGAAAAGAAACTATTAAAATAGAAATAAAAATAAAAATTAGAAATGTAGTTTTGCCTGATCAAATACCTGGGTAGTCAGGTATTAGAAACGATATTTGATGAAAAAAATATTAATACAGACAGTAATGCGTGATAGTATTTCTATCGAACAATGTCTGACAGCCACCTTATGCTACAGGCAAAGTTTATGAATGCTCAAAATTAGTGAGGAACGTCGTTATTTTCACATATTTTTAATAAAATTTGCAAAATCGCATTTCTCAAATATTTATTACGGTATTTTTTTAATTTTTGATCTCATGAACTCGTGTTTTCTTCATAACTTACAATAAAACCTAAACCCGTGTGGCCCTTTGTTGTCACAAAGTGGAAGACTGCAGTCCAGTTTCACTCCAGCGCGGTAGACTGCGTGGGTAGAGTTTGGAGTCCCAGGAGAATGTTATATTCTATTTTTTGGTGCAAGTGTACCCCTCGTGCGCCCCCTTAACATGCACGCAGCACTCAACTCGTCACTTGCGTGTGAACAGTCAAATTAGTACAGTAGCGGGCAACAAGCAACAAAATTGTCCATATTTTCAAACGCTGCTCTTCGTTAAAGGTTACTTGCTGTGTAAACGGTGACTTGTTCCGCAACTGGCCACTGTACTTGTACTTGATACTCGCCTCTGTCCTTGACCAACGTAAATCTGACTTTAAAGGCAGCGCAAAAGTAATTATTTTTTTATCATTAATTGTAAGTCATATTTTTGGAATATCGATTAAAATATTGGCCCTCTAAAAAAAATAATAAGAGACACTTTTTATAAGATCAACATTTTCGCTGCAATGTGCTGCACTGTATTGTACTCTCCATTCATATTGAAATTAATTTCTTGCGCTATTTATTCTGTGAATTTCTTAAAATATTATTTTATTCGTGGTTTTTGACTTATTAGGGACAAATATTTTCGAGAGTTGGTAGCACTGGGTTCAAGATTCAATGTTGCCTTAAATGATACATATTTATTTATATTTTATATTCTGGAATTTTGCTTTCAATCAGATTTTATCAGATAAAATAATATACAAATATAACTTAGAACACTAATCAGTAATCACTATATAGTACTAAATTTGGTTAGTACATGTGGTTACTTATCGGCTAAGATCTTATATTTAGATTTTCTACTCCACTGAACTTTGTATAAAATCTTACAAAGAAGCAATATGATGCCTTAATAGCTTAATTACAAATAGATTTAAAATGCATATGGTTTAAGCTGCTGCAACATTGTTGTACATTCAAAAAAATGGTTTATGCTCTCTACCAACTCTTTTTGAAGGCATGTATCATATTTTAAGAGTTATATTATACAGATTGTGGGTAGTCTCTACCCTGACGCTATTTTCAAGTGTTATTGTATTTTGGTGTTATGGATTCCTTATCGCTTTCGGTGTTTTCTCATTTGGGATTTCAGGTAAAATATTATGCAATTTACAAACGTATTCTGATGTTGCCTAAATTAGCGATTTACTCTATCGTCACTAGTACAATATTTATATTTATGAATTATAAATTAAATTTATTTATTTAAAATAAAATAAATCATTTCCTGCAACTTAAGAAACCGCCTTGTTAATATGACAATCACAAGAATGACACTTTAATAAGTGCAAGAAAAAGTTGCTAAGGCAATTAATAAAAAAATCTTTGCAAATGAATAGAAAATACTTTGTAGCAATGTACACATTAAGTTTTAATCATAAAGACAAACATTAAATATATAAAATATTTGATGTTTATTGTGCTACTATACTTGCATAACTAATATCAAGGCATGGCATTATTAGCTTAAAAAAAATTTACTACATTAAACTGCAAACAAGTAAAGCATTCAAAATAACCGCATAATGTGTATGTACAAAAATTGACTGTTATTTTAATCCTCAAAAGTAATTCAATTTTTAAAGAAGTTTTGTATAATATGTAAAAGCTGCCACTTTTATTTCATTTTATCTGCGGAATTGCTAAATTAATTTTATATGCCTTTTATGTTAATTTAGTATAAGTTTAATTTATACCATAAAATATCACATCTTTAAAGCAGCTTTAGATTCAATATGAATGACTTTCCATAAAAAAATATGCCTGTGAAACTGTTATTTACTTTTTATACTTATAAATTTAACATTTAAATTGTTACAGTTAAGTTAATCATTAATATCACTGTAAATTTTAAATATGTTTAGAAACAACTATCTAATTTTACCTAATAATCTTACATTTTAGGTATATTGTATAATGCACAAGATCTCTTGTTATACTACCCAAACGATCCCCCGGATTCGAGAGTTTTCGTATTACAGCCCAGCAACTATAAGTTACCATATGAAAGTATTAAGATAAAAAATAAAGATGGCTTAAAAATTCATATGTTTCTTATAAAACAACCCAATAACTGCAACCACAAACCAACAATGATATTTTTCCATGGAAATGCTGGTAATATGGGACAACGGTAAGTACATTTTTGCAGCTTGTTCTGATATTGTTCATTCTAAAAGATATACAAATAAATTAATCTAACAATTAAACTTGGTTTTTGTAATAATTTTCAGTTTATCAAATGTGTCTGGTTTTTATCATAAATTGGATATCAATATTTTAATGGTTGAGTATAGAGGTTATGGCTTTTCTGAGGGTTCGCCGTCTGAGCATGGCCTTTACATTGATGCCCAATCAGCAATTGAATATATTCAGCAGAGAGGAGATATTGATAGAAATAAAATTATTGTTTTTGGTAGATCTCTAGGTAAGTATGATATATAAATACAGCATGTCTTTACAATCGCGACAATAAATGAACACATATACAGCGTGTCATTACCATCGTGACAATAAATGAACACACATATAGGTGATAACTTTTTAAAGTTGTATTAAACATTTGAATTTTTTAAACATCAATATTTACAGAGTTATTGAATTTTCCAAAACAAAGAATTTTAGAACACCCTTACCTATAAAAGCGTAACGTAAAGTTCATTTGTAAAGGTCACAAAGCATATAAATGGGTTGAATGAATTTAAAAGAGACAAAACATACTATTAGAAGAAGAGGCTTGTAATGCGACGCTGTGGCGCGAGTTGTATAGGATGTTACAAATTTTGTTTCTTTTTTACTTAATTCGTTTGTTTGAAGAATATTTTTTTCTTAATTATGGATTTTATTTAATGTTAATATTTTTTTATGATTATTGGCAAGTTGCGTTAGACGTGTGTTCATTTATTGTCGCCATGGTAACGACTCGCTGTATATAAGAAAAATGTAACAGGTTTTTTGTTCTCGCATTTTCTGTATAATCATATAATTGCTTACATGCCAATTAGAAATATTAAGAAAATATTCATTTCATTCTCATTTATACAATATTTCTTAATCAGGTGGAGCCATAGCTATAGATCTAGCGTCCAGGTTGGAATATAGAAACAAAATTTGGGCTCTTATTGTGGAAAACACTTTTACAAGCATACCTGACATGGCACACATTATTTTGAAATGGAAATGTTTAAATTGGTTGCCACAGTTCTGTCATAAAAATAAAGTAAGTTTTAAAATTATAAAAAGTTAAGCGAAAATTTAATCAGTACATAATTTTAATTATATGTCAAAATTGTCTGCAAAGAAAGGCCTCCTTCACCTTTTTCACCTTGTCTTGGGCTCCTAACAAAAATACACAATTTTTTAAATTATTATTGGACAGCTCAGTTAAAAAATAATCACTTCCTAAAATAGGATTGCATCCGAAAAATATCTCGACAAATGTTTAATTTGGCAACAGCCATTTTGTAAATTATATTACATATATACAGGGTGGCTTTTCTAAGTGTATCCATTTTTTTTAATTTAAATTCTAGGCATAAATAACGTTATATAAAAAATTATAAATATTTAAAATCACTCGTAAGTAATTGATTACATTCATTTGAACTTATCTCAAAAAGATAACACGCACACAAGTTCGTGCACAGTAAAATTTAGGTATTTATGAATGACTACCGCATTGTCAACACATTCTGTTTTTTAGGGATATAGAATGGCATTTTTTTGAAAAAAAAAAACTTTGTTTTTTATTTCAATAAACGATTATACTACAGAGTCTGAACCGTGTAAATTTGGGCACTTCCATTCAAAAATCTCCCTGTATATGTCTGAGACTTCTTCCGTGTAAATTTAATACTGGGATTAAAATGAAAACTAGAATGTCATTTTTATTATGAAAAATTTTATCTTGTGATGATACCCTAAAATGTTTGTTATGGAGCCTTTTTGTAATAAACTCTGGCATATAGTCAAAAATTGTAATATTGTTCACTTCCAATTGCCTATTTCTTTGGCTAAAAGTGTGTTTGTGTTGTCATTTTAATAATATTATTTTCAGTATATGTCATTGAAGAAAATAGGTCAAGTGTTGACACCTACCTTAATTATTTGTGGATCAAATGATACTTTGGTGCCACCAGGCATGGCAAAAGAACTATATTTGCGATGCGGAGCGGTATGCAAAAAGATTGCAGTTATACCAGGTGGTGGACATGACGATACATGGACTTGCCGAGATTACTATGCAGCTATTCAACAATTCTTGTTTAATGTGCCTTCCCTTCCACATGAAGTAACTCCGTTTTCTGATGAAGTTATGAAAAATCCCTCCATAGGTCACACTATAGTCCATACTGTATAATTTCTGTTTGACTTTTAGCAAAATTTATTTAACAGGTTTTATAGTTAAAATGTATTTTGCCTTTTGAACTTGTTTATAAAACTAATAAGATTGTAGTACAAAATTGTGATTTGTCTATTCAAAATATGTGGTTGAAGAATCATATGTGGCATAATTTTTATATCAAGTAGAGTTTTTTATCAATATTTTTTTAATAAAATATGTGAATTATAGAAATATAAACTGAACAATAAGTATTTGCATATCTTCTATTAGTGTGGTGTTATAGTAGAAAGAAATATTTTAAACATTTGCCTTATTGAGAATTGTTTTTGATTATACACCTGTCAAGTACACTTGACAGAAAAGTAAATAATCGAACTTGAGAGTGTATTAAGAAAATTGCAGATTTACTAAGTTGAATTTAAAGTAGATAATTATCAAATCACATTTCAATTACATTAGTTAAAAATTGTATAAGTACTTGGATTCAATTTAAATATGGTAATTGTGCATGAAAAAAATTACAGTAACACACATAAAGCATATGAGCAATTACTTTTCAAAATTATTGAATTAAAACACATGTTCAGTACAATTCTTTTTTTAATAACACCTTTATAAATAAGAACCTTATTCTGATTATGGGCTGCTGTAATCAGAACATCATTAAATGAATTCGTATTCTCAAATGTCATTTTTAAGCATATGTTAAAGGAGCGCGAGCTTGCACATACATTTGGGACCCACTGATAATAGCATGCACATTGGGAACTTAGTTACAGTTTTAGAATGGGACAAAAGTTAGAAAAAATCCAATCCCCAGTATGTTTAAAAAGTTACTAATGGACAGATTGAATGGACTAGTTTTACATATTCGTCAATGACACTAGATAATTTACGAATTTTAACCGACTTCAAAAAAGGAGGTCTCAATTGGAATGTGTTTTTATTGTTACCCCAGAACTTACGACTAGGTGGACCGATTTTGACGATTCATTTTTTTATTTGAAAGCTAGTACCTCCCGTGTGATTCCCTGTTGAATTTGGTCCAGTTCTGAAAATGGGATCCAATAGAAAACCATATAACTAAATTCGGATTAAGTATGTGCGCGACAAATGGTCGAATAACTCAATATCACACCAACCGATTTCGATGAATCTTTTTTTTTTTTGGAAAATATGTATTTCAAGGACTTTAGTTAGATTCTGATTATGGGATCCACTACAAAGTAATGGAACTCTTCAATTCTTAGGAGCAAATTAAGGATACTCGACCGAGTCCTTTATAGGGTCTCCGGATATTTGAGTCACCTACGGTAACGTCGTTATGGTCAAGGTATTGTAATCGAATAAGATGATCAATAGAACTCATAACGGCTTTCAGTAAGGGGCGAGTAAGGCTTTTCTCACACGAGCAACGTCTTTGCTAGGTCTACCCATAATTATTATAATACCTATATATTAAAAATAAATCACTAAAATATAAAAGGACCGACAACTAATGGTAGTAAGAATTCCTCTCTGGTCGTCCACGCGCAGGCCGTACACCTCCAGAGTGTGGACGCAAGGCTACCCCATCCTTGCAACATAAGGCAAAATTACAACTTAAACGCCGTCCCCTTTCATCTTGAGACGGCGAAGCTGGCCTGCTCTTCGTTACCGAGACGCAGATATCTTTAACAGCTGACACATTTTTTCTCCTACCCGGGATATAAACCCGCGGGCTGGGGTGGGCGTCTACGTCAGAGAGGATATATGTTCTCATCGCCTCGACAAAATCAAAATCAAAAATATATTTATTCACATAGACGCTTGCGCATTGTTGTTATGAAATGTCAAAAATTTTACATAAAAATTAATACGTTAGTAAGTTACTACCGGTTCGGAATGCAGTTTCTGTTGAGAAGAAACCGACAAGAAACTCAACAGTTGCTCTTTTTTAAAACGATTAGTTTACAATAGAATAGAACAAGTATGTCATTTTAGCCTACGTGAGTATCAACAGTATTAACCCCACACCTTGGCGTCGTCAAGATATTCCGCAATGGTATAATATGCCTTAGCCATAAGTTCACTTTTAATTTTGCGTTGAAATTCATCTAGTGGCCGACTTAATACCGACTGTGGGATTTTATTATACATGCGCACACTTTGCCCCAGTACGATCTATTAACTTTTGTAGACGAAACAATGCCGTAATTAATTTTTCCTTATTTCTAATATTTTATTTATGTCTGTCACTATTCATTAGATAACAATTAAGATTGTCTAACATACACAATATTACAATAAATATATTGGGACACAACAGTGAGTATATTAATCTCTTTAAAAGTTTCTCTGAGTGTATTCCAGGCTTCGATGTTATAGATTGCATTATATCAGATGCACTACCCCACAGCAAAATGCCGTAGATGCTGTGAAAATAACTAAAGTAAACAAGTCTGGCACTGTCGATGTCCGCTGTTAGCTATCTAACCTTCCTAATCGCAAAATCAGCGGAGCTTAGCCTACTCACAAGATATGATAGATGGGGACTCCACTGAAGCTTTGAATCTACTGTAATCCCAAAAAAACTGCAGACTCAATAGGATTGAGGGATACGTTATTTAATAATAAACTAAAACTTTGCCTTCATACACTAGGAAGAGTAAAAAGAATACCTTTTTTTTGGCATTTAATACCATGGTGAACCAGTGAAGGATATGCGAAAGTGCACCATTTACGTCGTCGTACGATTTATCAGTCTATGCGACACGATATCCGTAAATTTAAGATACTAATTGTATTAAAGATGCGATAGAGCGGAATAAGGGTTCCAAAGTGTTCGCAAGAGACTTTTCTTTTGTGCAGAGCCAGTTGACAAAGCTGAAGACGGAAGACGGCAGTGTAGCGTCTACACTGCCGTCTAAGTCAGAGGTATTGAAGGAGATCGAAAGGTTCTACGGACAGTTATATACCTAGAGCGCTAAGCCTGTTGACGATTTGGTTAAAGATCCAAGAGCCAAACTAACTCGAAATTATACAGAAGATATCCCGGATATCAGCCTGTTCGAGATTAGGATGGCCCTCAAGCAGCTAAAGAACAACAAGGCGGCGGGTGAGGATGGAATTAAATCACAGCTTCTGAAAGCGGGTGAAACACCGGTAAAGAAAATTGATGATTTCCAGCGTCCCGAACAAGCCGGTTACCGTAAAGGCTATAGTACCATAGACCACATTCATACACTGCGGCAAATTATACAGAAGACTGAGGAGTATAATTTGTCATTATGCTTAGCTTTTGACTATGAGAAAGCCTTCGACTCGATCGAGATTTGGGCAGTGCTGCAGTGACTTCAGAGGTATGACGTTCTTTCTCTTTTTGGTAGATCAGAGCAGAGGTCGTCGTTGACAGTGCATGCTGTGATCCTAAATTTGTCAATGCTGCGTACTGTCTCCTAATCTGTTTCTTCTGCATATCAATGACATGTTGCAAATCATTAACGTCCATTGCTATGCAAATGATAGCACTGTGGATATCTCGTACACTGGCCGTACTACAATTTCTCGGGAAAACGTCTACGAGAGCCGGAACAAGCTTGTGTCTGAAGTCGTGAATTTGTTAACTAAAGTCTCACACTGGGGTCGACTAATCTTAGTTTAATTCAGCCCCAATACGAAACAAGTTTGTGCGTTAACCGCTAAAAAGTCCCCATTTGTGGTGACTCCTGATTTTGAGAACACTCCCTGTCTGTCACAGCTAGTATCGGAATACTTGGCGTCGAAATCTCGAGTAACGTCCAGTTCCGCTGTCAATTGGAACGTAAGGCAACAAAAAGGCATTGCGACGTGCTGGATTTGACCGAATTTTAAGAAACGGCACGAAGCTCTCTGCCCAACCATCTGGCAGCAGAGCTTTCTGGTCCCTTGTCAAAGCGGTCGAATCCAACTTCTGCCGGCCATTACTGCCTCCGCTGGTAAAACCGGATGCATCACTGGTTCATACGAGAAAAGAGAAGGCAGATTTATTTGCCTCTCTATTTGCCCAAAATTCACGTCTGGACTCGGGGAGCAATTTACCTCCTTCACTCCCTTACTGCGAAACCGCCATGACGGAGGTTCGAATAAATAATTGCGAGGTTCTCAAAGCGTTAAGGAGTCTAGATTTGAAAGCGCTCAAAGCTAGCGGACCAGACGTTAAACCAGCGTTAGTTATAAAGGCGTGTGAACCCGAGTTGTCTCCTATTCTGACACGTCTGTTTCGTCTCTCTTTTGAGACGGGAATAGTCCCTAAGTCCTGGAAGCTGGTTAATGTCCAGCCTAATCCAATAAAGGGTAGTCGTGCCGATCCAGCCAATTACAGACCGATCTCAATTACCTCCATATTCTGTAAGATATGTATATTGAACGCCCGCCTCATGGCATACCTAGAACTAAACGACCTTCTCAGCGACCGCTAGTACGGATTTTGCCGAAATCGGACTGGGGACCTTCTAGTGCACGCCACTCACCTTTGGGTAGAGGCCCTCGAGAACAATGGTGAAGCACTTGCGGTTTCACTACATATCTCGAAGGCCTTTCACAGGGTCTGGCACGCCAGCCTCCTCAGCAAGCTTCCAGCGTACGGCATATCTCCTGGCGGCTGGCTGAAGGACTTTCTGAGTGAACGGTCAATCCAAGTAGTCGTCGAAGGCTGTTCATCCGAGCCACTGACAACAAATACCGGAGTTCCTCAGGGGTCCGTCCTTTCCGCAACTCTTTTCTTGCTGCACATCAACTATGTGCTCATGCCCGGTGTCTATAGGTACGCGGACGTCAGCACAGTTGTGGAGAGATACCAATGTAGTCTTAGGGTCAGTAGAGATCACATCCAGTCCGAAAGACAGGGCATGGTAGAGCGACTGACTTTTACACTACAGTCGGCCTTTGAATGGGGCGATGCCAATCTTGTGATATTCAACGCCTCCAAAACGCGTATCTTTTTTCCGCAAAAATGAGCCTCTTCACCTTGGCATCTACTTTCTAGAATATGTCCTTGGAGTATTCCGACCGCCTTCAGTTGTTGGGAGTCGAAATATCCTCAAACCTAAACTTTGGGCGGTTCATTGAGTCTTAAGCCAGGGCAGCTGCAAAGAAGTTGGGCATACTTGGTGCGACGGTACTTCTCACCGGGACAGCTCCTTACTCTTTACAAAGCTCAAGTCCGGTCGTGTGTGGAGTACTGCTGCCATATCTGGGCTGGGGCTGCAAAATGCCACCTGGCTTCCCTTGATTCAATGTAGAGGCGTGCGGAAAGGCTCATTGGTGACCGTGATTTGGTCAAAGCCAATGTCACTAGCCTCGAGCACAGGCGCAGAGTAGCCAGCTTCTCGGTTTTCTACAGGATGCATTTTGGAGAGTGTGCGTTGCGAGTTGCACGATTTGATTCTTCCCGCCGCCCCTTTCCATCATCGGACAACTAGACGTTCGGCGGGGCTCCACCCTTTTGCGGTCGACGCTAAACGCAACGAACAAAGAATTTCGCATCGTCATTCATCATCCGTACGGCTAAGGAATGGAATTACCTGCCGGCGTCGGTCTTCCCATCCGATTATAACGTAGGCGTCTTCAAGGCAAGAGTGAATAGGCTTTTACTGAGCTATCGCGCTTACCATCCACGGCTGCATCGCCACTTACCGTCATGGGGGTTGGCAGTCAAGCGCTAGTCAGTTCCATATATAAAAAAAAATAAGGCCAAATTGGCCTCAAAGAAGCATGGTGTGTTTAGCAAGGCAAGACAATAATAAGACAATAAGGCGCAAATTCGGCCCCACATGGAGTACTGTTCCCAGCTCTAGTGGAGATCTCCTTTACTACCAGCTTCTTCCATTTGACCGCATTCAATGTAGGGCAACTAGGGTTATCGACGATAAAAGTCACTCCTATCGGCTTGATCCTTTGGCTCTGCGTAGAGTTGTTGAATAACTCTACATCTTCTACCGCATTTATCGCGGAGAGTGTTCCGATAAAATTGTTTGAATTGATCCCGGCGACTGAATTTCACCATCGGACCTCACGCCAAAACATAAAATTTCATCCACACCATCACGATGTCCAGCCTTCCACAACAGCGCGATTTGCAGGGCATTTCCTGCCTCACACAACCGTTACCATCTGGGTACATTAAAAAAGAGAACGTACTCTTTCCCAAAAGGCCGGCAACGCATTTGTAAGCCCTCTGGTGTTGCAGGTGCCCATGTGCGTTTGTGATCACTTATCAGGCGAACCTCTTGCTCAATTGCCGCTTTTTCTCATAAAAAAACTTTAGCACTAAAAAGTTTAAAATAATGATAAATGTATAAAATTTAATTTTTTATGAAGGTGTTAACCCTAAAATGGTCACGTCCTTGTAACACCAATTCTCCCTCGCGACACTCATCGTTTTGTTTCAGTTTTCTTCTGAGATTTTCATTTTCCTGACCTCTTCAGAAGTATCTTTGTTTTTCTACAAATGTAATGAGTGTCTTTTAAAACCTGGATACTAACTCCACATCTGTGTCAGCGACGGCGATTCTTGTCAACAAAGAGCCTTAACAAAGATTGGCCAAATAATAGCGGCTCTTGAAGGATAAAAACTGATCTATAGCTTCAAGAGATACAATTATTACCTTTTATAAATCCGATTCAATAAATGTGTATAATCCGATATTAATAAGTCAGAAAGTAAAATTATACGATGGATCCGCATTAAATATATTTCGAAATTATGTCGTTCAGTTATATTGTTAACAGTTATACGAGCCTATAAATGAACGTAAAATCGTTATTTTTTTTTTCTAGATCTAGTTAGATTCCAGGAACAAAAATGTTCCAAATTGGACTGTTATTAACAACTGCAACTGACAACTTTCGTTTTTGCAACTTTGTAGGCAGACAAAGCATTTTTAGTGAAGATTTAAGTTTAGATGCTCAGTGTGCGATGCGATTAACTTTCCGTGAAAAAGACTTGTTAAAGCAGATCTTAAGGAATTTACAAAGTTACATGCCGGCTTTTGAAAAACAACAGTTAATTTGGCTATAAAAAACATGAACAGATACACTGGACTAAATATAGGTAATTTTGATACAATTGCTCAAAAAGTCGCGTATTGCAGGGACGTATAGCGTTCGGGATGTAGGCTATTACATACTCGAACTTTTTCTTTACCTTTTCCGAACCCGTGCGTTTTCTTTCCCAGCTGCCAAAATAATATCTTTTAAAAAGAAAAAACTAACCACGAAGTTTTTACAAAAAAAAAGATTCATTCAAATATTTCTAAAATGAAGCTACTAATTTGTTTCAATATCAGGTTTAATAATTTGATTCAATGAGATACCTTAGATAAAACGTAACCTACGTTTCATTTCAATTCATCTCATTAAATTAAATTTTCATTTCATATCAATAAAAAAATCTACTGAAGACTTAGCTGTATGGGCAAAGTTGCCTACCCAAAATGTTTGAAGAAAACAAAAAAAAAATCTCTGCCTAGCCTATTTTCTTTCACGGTTGGCGCCATTTTCCAAGTTTTTTTTAATTGTCTTTTTATTATTCTATTAAATTGCTTCATTTTTCGCAAATGTATTAAAAATAGTTGTTCAGTACACGTGCGGAACCGTCTTTTCAACTTTTCACCCCACACCTTCGGCTGCGCCTCGGCTCGTGTAGACATTTGTCGGAACTCTTTGCAATGACAGGCTTTCTGCACTCGTAATGAAATGTAATATTAGTACATTTCATTACAAAACACTTCATTTAAGTGTTTTTCATTTTGTACAGGTTGAAAAAGCAACTTGATGAACTTGAAAGCACAGAGAGGACTACGGAGATAGAGTGCAAACTTTTTTGACGCCGTCAATAAAATAAAATATTAAGAAAAACAAACGCCGATCAATAGATGTCATAAACTTATAATTAATTACAAAGACTAGTGTCTATCTTAAAATATCCCATCTGGTGGGATTATACTCAATTCCTATTCATGTTAATTCAACAAAATTGTGTCACTTACTGATGGCCGACAGTTTCTAAATAAAAATAACTCTCAAAAGAGAAAATAAAGCATTATCTTTATTTAGATCACCAAAATCCATAAAAAACACAATGAAATTAATAAACATACCAATATTATAGTAATGTCGCGGTAAAAATATTGTATAAAAAAAAACTAAAGTGAGTTCCTAAAATATTTATTTCAATATACCAAGTTCATGTAACAATCCACGCACCGTGTGGTACTCTAGGTTACGTAAACAAAGTTTTTATCTTAACACCATGGGACAGAGGTAGGTCCATCGTACGTAAAGATAAGTACGAAATACAAGACTAACAACTGTAACAAATTATGAGAGAACACTTATATATTGATTTATTTAAATAAGTAAAAAGAAGCAAACTCATTCATCAATCAGGCAAAAACGCAGATACAATTTAGAGGAAATACACACTTAGTTTTAAAAATTGATGTATAATCATATTGATACTATCATGAAACATTCAAAATATACAATCTACTACAACTGAGTGAATATAAAGATAGAAATTCTACTATAATGCTAACAACTTGCATACCAAATATGCAAATAAATTACAAATTGAAGACAAGCAGGTAAATATTTTTTTTACATTTATTTGTTTGTATACACTAGTATATTTAGTACTATCGATTTAAACTACTATCGCAAAAATATGTGTAAATAATTTTTTTCACAAGATATTACATAATTAAAGTACTGAAGGTACACAATGTGTCAATAGTTGACAAAAATACAATGAACATTTATTATTTAATTTTAAAGGTACAGCATGTTTACTGCAGTAAATATAGAATACCTACACGATTGCGCATCCACATTAAACTAAGGTGAGACCACTTCAGAAAGTTTTTTTTTCAATATTCACAACATTAATAGTTTGCATGATCGAGTGAATGTAACTTTAAGGAAGTTATAGTGGGTGAGAGTAATTGGGAGAGAGTTCAAAATATATCTATGGTACGTTGCTGCCTTCACAGGAATTCATAGATGGAAGTGTAGATGGTTGAATACGGTGATTTGCATGTGGCACAATTGAGCGTATGTGAGGGCGAGGCGGTTGGATCGTACCAGGTAAGCCCCAGCTAGCGACGCGCACCAAACTCGATCGCGTCATCCTCGGTGATGTCACCGTGCCGCCACAGGTTCAGGCGCGAGCTCTTGGCGTGTTCCTGGGCGGCACGGTACTCGCTGATCAGCCCAGCCAGCCGATATTCGCGAGTGGGCTCCATTAGGGCCAGACCCTCCTTGATCAGGTTCTAAAAATTTAAGTTCCTTTGTAAATTGCCAGCCTGATTGTTTAAACACTATCGCATTATTCTTAAGTCGCAATAATAAAATTATGTTTGAGATAATATTACCTTCTACATATTTTAATAATATTACCTTGCCAATATCGGCGTTGGTGGCAGCGTCGAGAAGGGTGACCGCCGGCGGGTTTCCGCGAGTCTCTACGTTCATCAGTAACTTTTTGTTGAGGCAGTCTATGGAGAATGCGCGCACCGCTTCCAAGCGATCATCGGGATCGGATGGGAATTTAACACAGCTTAGCACGTACTCACTGACATACGGCGGTTCAATCTCCGATCCAGGAGGCAAGGCAGTCAGCCGCGAGAAATCCAGCATCTGGACAGAAATTTTTATTAATAAATACATATTAATTCATATTTTAGGACAAGACTTTTACCATGAGCATTAAGTTTATATACTCCCAAAAGATATATAATGAACCTCAATAGATTATAATATATAGATCATATTTATAAGATGATAAGCTACAAAGAGATTTTACTGTACCTATTTTGAAGAATTATATGGAATAGTATTTACAATATACTAAATGCTACTAATAGAAGACTGTTTGCAGAATGTAAACATAATTGCCATGTGTATCTATTTATTGCTTACCTCTCTGTTTCCATAATCAATATAGAAGACATAAGCATGCTTGTCTTCCGTAATTTTTTCAATTCTAGCTCTATACCACTGGTCATCTAAAGTAAAGCGAGCCGCACACATGATGCCTCTTCTTGGCACAAATGATCCTGGCAAGGGTGCATTATTTTTGATATCAAGATGGATCCTTTCCATCAAGCTTTCCAATTTAGCACCCACATCATAACTTTGAATATAGAAGCTACCTTCTGGAGTAACTTCAGTCACAATCACTTTCTCATACTTAACAACACGGTCTTGTTTTGGTGCATTTCTTTCCTTTTCGATCTCTTTTTCTATCTCGACATAATCTTTCCAGAGACCAATACGCTTCTTCTTCGCATTCTCTTCACCAGACTTAATAGCTCGGGCAAATTCAGAAGTCTCAGCAGTATGGTGCATAGATGCAAGTCCGTGTTCCACTAAGGATACAGATAAGTTTTCATTATCAACCCAAAGCCAACCAATAAAACTCCCAGCTTTATCCATTTCTTCGATAGTCACTACCACATCATGCTGGTGACATTTTTCTTTTGTGAAATGGAGTGCCTCCTCGCCATAAGGCTCAGCATCTTGCATTGGTCCTCCACCAGCACCTGGGCGGGCACCACGTGGGCAATTAATTCCAGCAAGCAAAAATGTTACAAGAACAGACTCCTTGGGAATATATAACCTCATACGGGAACCACTGGTGACAAATTCGACAATTGCTTCAGTTTTTTGAGCCCTTTTCAGGAATGGGAAGAACTTTCTGGCTTTAGCTGGATCACCACTGGTGTCTTGAATTCGGTGAGTTGGAATATCTTTCTTAGCATGTACTCCAACTGCTGCTTTTTGCGCCTTCAACTCTGCCTCCAATAGTTTGTCATATTGGGAACTCCTCTGGTCGTTATCATTTCTATATCTTACTACAGTAGCTAAGCCTTTGCTTACAAGCGCTTCAGCTAAGTTACTGTTAAAAAAAATCATAACTTATTTTAAATTGCTTGATAGCAAATGAATGAAAAATTTTTAATTAAAAAAAAATACAATGCTGATATGCTAAATGAAAAGAAATTAGAAAAGTATTTCAATAAAATTAAAGGGATTATTATGTGATTCAAATTAGAATAGGCATAGCAATTCATCTTAAGTCATATTGATTAAAAGTACATCAGACTATTTACATGTGTAAAAATTCAATAATAGATTTACAACATGAAGCTGTATGATGGATGACGTTCAGACAACCAATGTCTTAGTAGGTTACATGACCATGAATTCTACATAGGGTTCAAAAACGTTGCAAAATAACTATAGAAATATATACAGAACATCCATAAAAATATTAATGAATATATTGGTATTATTTTTCAAACACAAATTTGTTACATTATTATCTTATTTGCCAAAAAACTAAATACTATTTTGATATTGTGCCAGATTCTATTTTTGCAAGCTTGTTGTTAGTTTGTAGTTAGTCACAAATCCAATGCTATTCTTATATGAATGACATAGTATTTATTATTTTGTTTTCTTTATGAAAAACACTGCCCTTACTTTAGGATAATATTATCCTGTGTTGTAAGGATGTGTTATAAACATAAATTTCACATGGACAAACACCCTGATGCTAAAAAACTATCTTTGGGTCACACAAATAGTTGTCCCGTGTGGGAATCAAACCCACGACCCCCGACGTCGAAGCCAATACCTTGGCAACGGCGCCACGGAGTCATCAAAATTTTAGTTTGTTGAAACTTGTATAAAAATATATAATTGTCATTTAAAAAAAAACATCTTTTAATTCACTTTGATAAATGTCAACTAATTACTAATTTGAAAATCTTTGCACAATATTATAATATGTAAACAAAAGTAGGTGTTGAACTTACGTTCCTCCAGAGATAACCGTGCAGCAGGTCTTTTCAGGAAAGTTGTCCTTAGCTGGTTGAATGTAATCAACAGTGACATTAACTTTTTTGCCAATCAACTTTTTCCTTAGAAACTCACGGGCTTCATACATCCAAGGTATATCATATAATGGTTTAAATCCTTTTGGTCTAGGGGACTGCTTTCCATCTTCATCTGGACTGTTCCTAAAAACATTTGTTTTAATAATAATTATTATTATTAATAATAAACTACATAAAAAATGTGTTATATCTTACTTTTCACGCGGAGGCCTAATGCTTGCCAAAAATATTTTTTTATGAGTATTATTAGAAAGTTTTACAACAAGAGCATCTCCATTAATAACTTCCATTACAGTTGCAGTAAATTCTTTATCCTTGGCAGCAATAACGGGTGCATTACTTTTATAGTTAGCCCAAATTCGAAGTTTAGCTTCTTTGGCTGCTTTCTCAGCATTTCTTAGAGACTGGGCACCTATAAACAAAAAAATTAATAGCAGTTTGGATAACTTGAAATCAAAAGGCAACTTCCATAAATAGTACTTACCAGATTTCATTACTGCTAATGACCAATCAACACATCTTCCAAAACCTTGTCTCAATAAAGCCTCTGCAATGTTACCTTGAGGATGTAGAATTGTACCAACAAAGTATATATTGTTAACTGATTCAAGAATTACTTCCACATCTTTCTGGAGTAACCTTGATTCAACAAAGAATTTTGCTTCCTCAGCGTATGGCTCAGATTCACCATCTAGTTTTACAGCAGGGCACTGTAGGAAGTAATTTTATTTAATTAATTTTTCCTGATAGTATTTTCAAGAAGAACTTGTCATAAATTTTTTTAACTAGTTTTAAAAATTAGTCTTAATACTAAGATTAAACATTGAAAAATATCAAAGAATCATTCATTTCCTATCACATGTTGTCATTTCATAAGATGTTGATTATCAAATCATAAAATCTGGATAAGTATTACTATAATTATACTACTTACTCTGATTCCAGACATCATCATTATTATGGTATAAAAGTCAGGTAGTAAGCAGAGTCTGACTGTAGATCCATCTCGAACATATTCAATGATAGCCTTTATAGGCTGGCCATTGAATTTATTCACAAATTGCTTGGGATTTTCAATACTCCATTTAATATCTCTGACATGATTCTGAGAAAATAGATAATACACAAATTATTATTAAATTGCGAATTTGTGAATTTAAGTACTAAGTTTAGGTGTCTTGGCAATCATTATGGAACATAGAGGTGTCTTCTTAGAAATATTAATGCTTTCAATGATTTACCTGGATATCTGAGCCCCAAATACCTTTTCCTTGAGACCTTGCAACATCTTCTATTTCCACAAGTTTTTTGAGCTGTGGAATATTTCTGCCACCTTCCCTTACTTTTACTAATCCCTCAGCAAGTAGAGCTTCAGTCATGTTTTCATCTTTAGTTGGGTCTTTCCCAGCCCAAACAGATCCATATTCCCGTGTTGCTGAGTTTGGAGGCTTCTCCGCTCTAAAAATGACTTCTTTGCCAACCAACTTCTTTCTAAGGAATTCTCGAGCTTCCCATGCAAATGGTTCATCTTTTGTCTCATTGTCACTACAATGAAAAAATAATGTAACTTTAATAAATACATGATTTTGCGTCACTTTGAATAAGTTTTGCAAAGCACTGATTTAGTTTTAATACCAAAATTCATTCTACTTTAAAATATTTGTAAAATATAAATACTGGTAATAAGAAATTCGCTTGCAGAAAGGAAACTAAAATCAATTCGCTTTTATAATTCGCATAGTTACTTTATTTTGTGCAAGATGTATGAATGTTAAAATTTGTAAACTTCACCTAAACAAAAGTAAATATATAAATATTCAAGTGTAATGTGACTATACATATATACTATATATACTTAAGTATACATAAGTATTGCTGCTATCTATTTGCTAAACACATTCATAGCAAAGGCAATATGTATAATTGTTTATAATGTTTCTAATGTTGTTGTTTATAATGTTAAAGTAGTAATGTCAAGAGACAATGTAATTTCTTGATATTTTGTTACAAAATAAATATAATTCATCCATACAACAATATTATATTTTCTCTGTCTATGTGAGTTAAATGTTTAAGTGTTAAGTATGTGTTTATATAGATTTTGTTAAACAATGAAAATGATATGTTAATATTTGTATTAAAACTTATATTTATATCATAGGGGTCTCAGGTAGCCTGATTATATATTAAAAAATAAAAGAATTGAATTATGATGAACTATATTAGTCGCTGTGCAGACATAAGAGTTCTGTGGTGAAAATGATTAACAGTTACCATCATGTATTTAAATAAAATGAAAAACATAGATGTTTGGATTTTTTTTTATTGCCAATTTCTCTTTAAAAAATAACCTATATATACCCAAACTTAGTGAATGGAAATTCGCCATGCAATAATCAAAAAGCCAGTGAATACGTTAAAAAAATAAAAGACCTAACATAAATCAATATAAAAGAAATGTAATTAAAAACATTATTGCAGGTAATAGAATTATATTCTGGATTTTAAATTAATTTAAAGTTTGACTAATCAAAGCTAAGAAGATATTATATATGATTTTTAAATTTGTACAGATCTGCAGTACAATGAAGCAAAGAAACCAGATTTTGAAGACTTAAATCTATAATTTTTAAGCATATGGTAGCGACAGCTTGGTTCAGGCGCAAGCTGTGGTAATGGTCTAAAAAATAGCAGTTGTATGGTGAAAATAAAGTATGATAAATTGCAATATGTAGTAATAAATTGCATCTTAATTATAATATTTATAGGCCTTTATAGGCTAAATTCATTGATACAATACTAACTTTTAATTGATGAGTCTTAAACCTATCTATTTTTCATCTAAGAACTTTAACATTTTTTTTAATTGATGAGCAGCATTGATCTTCGACAAATATAATTAATTCTCTACAGAAAACATTTCATGACACTACATTTTGAATTGATTATTTACAATTTCCATAAAGCTAAATACAACACAAAAAATATTGCCAAAAACATGTTAATGTAAATGTGAAAGTAAAAACTTACTTATTAGCAGTTCTCTGTCGAGCAAGTTTCGGTGCGGTGATACCCGATAGTGCAATAACCTTTTCAGGTGGCGGCCCTCCTTGCGGCTGCTTTCTAATTATTATGGTATCTCCAGAAAGAACCTGCAATATAAAGAATAGAATTGGGTTAATGCTTTATATGTACAATTTAATAAAAATGGTGAAAAAAAAAGGGTTAGGGAACTTCATGAACAATATGGTTACACCTGTTTTCATAAAGAGATAACAGAAGCAAAGTAATTATGATTACAATTACATTAATTAAAAAACAGGCAATCTTTTTTCTGTAAAACTATACGTTATTGGAATATAGTTGTTAAATTGTAGACGATTGCGTCTGCCAACAGGGCAAGGCATTAGATATCGGCACGAGGCATCTCGGCCACCACAGTACTAAATATAAAAACAAAAAACATAAGATTATTGTATTACCTGCTTCACTATCCCAATTTTATACGCAGGTGTAGGTGCTGAAGCACTCATATTTAATATATGATTTTGTCAACGAGAATAAGGAATGAAAAGCTAAATATTACTGACGAGCGCACATCTAATAGTACTGGCGAAACGTGGCGGTGGCGCACCGCTGGTGTTTCCACAGTAGAAAACCTTAGGCATAAATCATTTACTTTCTCTCAGGTACGCTTTTAATATTTTATCTGTTTAAGTATTGCAGAGTATGAAAATAACAAAATATTGAGTCACCTAATTGTTTATAACTAAAATGGCACCTTAACGTATTTTCAAACGTGCCACACGTCTATCTAAATATAATTTTATGTGTAATTATGCAAATAATTTTTTAAAATATAATTTTTTCATAAAAAAATACTAAAGTAAAATTTTATTTATCGTTTATTTTCAGAGAAATTTTAATTTATAAATATTTATGTAATTTAATTTTCTATTAAAAATTTACATGATAACATATAAATCGATATTTAAAAAATCTATTAACATATAGAGTACATAAACTTCCAGCATGGCGTCGATGATAGGACAACGCATCCACATCAATATTTTGCGTTCAGAAGTTCTGACCTTTGATATTTGTAAGAAAATTGATTTTTTGTAAATGTATTTTGTTAATGTTATTTGATAAACAATACTTACATTAATTAACATTTAAGATCAATATTATATACTAAAATATATTCAAGTTTATTTTAATAATTTATTCATTTCATTGGTATTATGCAACATAATATTTCGGCTAGTTAATTAAAGCAAATGCTCCTATAAAAGACTGCTACATGATCATTACTTGAAAACTGGAAATGTCATTAGAAATCTTTAATTTGTACAATTTTTATGTTCTTAAATGTAATAGATAATTATAATATAATCTAATAATAAATTAATAATATTTAATAAAAAAAGTAAAATAACAGCCTATGTCCCCCTGCTGGGCCAAGGCCTCCTCTGTACAGAGCGTATTAGGGCATAGTCCACAACTCGGCACCACTGGCGAGGCGGACGTCACATAATTTCGAAATATTTTGTTTGGTTATTATTTCGAAAACATCCAGGTTTCCTCACGATGGTTTTCCTTCTTTAGTGAGCACGTGATAATTATTATATATATGTACACAATAAGTAGGTTATGTTATATATAGTATATTTTTGTTGTATAAATGTATTTATATTACTCTTTTGGTTTATTTGTACCCCTTTTTACGAAAATTGCGCGGAAGGAGGAGGTATGAAATTTCTCACACTTATAGTTTATTTGGAAGATTATAGTTAATTAGCTAATATTTTTTAAATTATGCATCAAAAACATACATATGCCACAAAATTATGGTAATGTAATCTAATTAAAACTATAAAGGTGATAGAATTAATTCAATACAACTATATAATATAATACAAATAAAGTATGCTTATATCAAAACTAAACTACTTATTTAAACAAAAAAGGACTATAAAAACTAAACTAGATGAAAAATGCTGGCCAAATGGCCGCCGTTTGTGGGCAACATGCCCAGCAAGCTGGCCGAGTTGCCACGCAGTATCGCGAGGGCGATTCGCTGGCCAAAGTGCGAGCCAACTCTTGGGTCACCAGAAAAGGTAACCAGATGCAAGCAGTAGTGCCTGCCTAGCGAGCAGTTCCCGAAACGTGTCAACACAAGTCGCATCCCAGACCAAAGTGCGCCTGTTTTTCCAGGCATTTTGCCATCGTCACGAAATATACCGGTTGGCTCTAGTACGGCAGGTATACTAGCACTTATTAAGGCCCGTCGAATGACGTCATTAATTGCAGTATGGCGACGAATACGACAAGCGCTGCGCTGGCACGCTAGGCCATGATGACCCAGATGGTCAACCACTTACCATAACGGCAGCGATGTCTCATTGATTTTTACTCTAAGTCTCAGGCAGTTAGCCTGAGATTTGGAGTAAAAATAAGCAGAAGAAAATAAAGTCTTGTCAAACATACATTTAGTCAATATATAAAACATTACACACACTATCATGTATTTGACACACACACTCATATATACTGTTTTGTTTTTTCATTTTAATATATATAGGATGTATTTCCGATAATTGTTCGTCTTAATAACCTGATCCTGTATTGCACAGGAAAAATCTTCGCTTTCCCCAGACGTCACCGAAATGTAGGAAACAGTATCTACGAAATGCTTTCGTGTATAGCTTTGTAGGACCTACCGTAGAGCATTTTCGCCTTCTTCTTATATGGTCTCCCAGTCAGAAACGCTCAGTACTCGTGGGCCAAGGATAGAGGGGTAAGCCCTCATCCGATCTCAACAGAAAATAGTTGGGAAGGTTGCACACCTAGCGTTGTGCATGGTGAGGGCACTTAAAAACTCCTCCCACCATGCTTCCGCGGCAGGCACAATCTCATCACTGACGGCTAGTGGACGGCATAGTGGTGCAGATATAAGCCAAAGGTGTACACGAGGATTGGCATAACCTGCCAGTTAAATGTACGTGCTTTGTTCACGCCTGACAAATGACTGATCGTTTATGTCAGACATGCAAAAACACATCATAAACTGACTGCTTCATGCCATCTTCATCGATGCACGTGTTTTGTGACATACCCTTATGTTAACGGGCATAGATAAATCTATGCCCTCCGTGTTAGGGACCTTCCCCCTTTCAACATGGAGGACCGCACACTTATCCGTTCCGAGCTCTATTTTGATAGAATTACTGAAATCACAAGTAACTGTAGGCAATTCCATAAAATGGAGCGGTTGGAGGCGAATAATTTGAGTTCATCCATGTAGAAAAGGTGGGTATCTTTTGTGCTTCCTCTCTGAAGCTGAAATCCTCCCCCCGAGCCCTGCAGTAACATGCTGAAAGAATTCAGGGAGAGGCAGAAACCATGTTGGGTTTCTCATTCTCAGTCTCAGAATAGAGTTCAATTTCAGGTGGTGGGTAGACACTTAATGGGGCGGTACTTACTTGGGTCTGTGGTATCGTGATCTTTAGGAACCAAATGAGTGACCCCAGTCGTGAAGAGACTCGAGAGCGATTTCCGTTCGAGAACTTCGGGGTTCCACGGATCGTCTCAGCTATGACGTCAAGTGTTACGACAATGAGGTCCATCTGTGTAATATTTGCGCATTGGCTCGACACGACTTGCATCCAAGGGCCCAGGTTTTACGGTTTACGGGCTTTGACCAAAGTCTGCGCCCGAATGCGACACTTTCGGCCTGGTCCATAATTTTCTGGTCGCTCCAAAGATTTATGAAGCCTCTTTTAGACCTCCTCGTCGTTAAATTTATTTACCATTTAACGATACGGAGGTCGCCTATTACGTACATTTTTGACAAAATACATTGAAATATTAATTATCTTCCTAACATATTGTAAGAAAATTGCTTTGTACTAATTCGGCGTAATGAAATATTTTTATATTATAATATTTTTTATGATATTTTTGGATAATTTGTATATTATACTAATGCTCTACTAAGTAGTTGGCATTATTAGATACTGATATGGATAATTAATATTAATTTGTTGCACATAATATTTACAAGAAAGAAACGTGATACGAAAACATAAAATACTGGTCAAATTATAAAAAAGTGATAATGTTAATTTAAACGTGGAATGAAATAAATGACAAATCAGTTCTTTATTTCTATTTAGCCACATGAATTATAATGTATTATGTAGTATTTAACAGTGTCGCAAGTCATTGAGGTTCATATTTTTATTCAGTTAATAGGTTAAAATTTTCATTGAATAAACTTACAATGGCAACTACAGATTTTAGAAAAGATGCAACTATGCCTGTAAGGCCGCGAAGTGTTTATACGGCTCATTCATACAATCAGGTACAAAGTTGATTTGGCTATCATTTTTAATAAATTTATATGTTCAATGTGAACTGAAGTTATAAGCAAACGATTTGGAAGTTTAGCGCTGTATAATGTTATTCGGCTCTTAAATAAAAAAAAGCGTAAATTATTGTATAATGTTAATAGTTAATTTGCTCAGTATACCGTCCCTTTGCCTTGTTTCGACATCTTATTTATCTTGTTTCTAATATAACTAATGGACATTGGACACCAAGTGGTCGAAATTCGATCATAATTAATTTAAATTACAAGTTTTTAACAATATTAATCTTTTCTCAAATACAAAATACTATAAACAAAAGAGAATAAATATACGTGTGTGTCAAATACATGGTAGTGTGTGTAATGTTTTCTATATTGATTTAATGTATTTTTTATGCATAAGTAAAAAAATATTAGCATTCTGCATTCCTTCTCTCTAATATGGTAAATGAATATGAAGAAATACACCCAGGAGAAACGGATGGAAATAGTAATTTCCACACATTGGCTGTCGAAGAATTATTTATACTAGTGGTTTCCCAGTGGTCGAATTTCGACCACAATTAATTATCCATGGTGTGTAATGTTTTTTTTTATGCAAAATTTTAAAAAACGTATTATTTCTCAATATAGATCTCTAAAATACTCATTCATCGGCGCGTCCGTCCAAATTTGATGTATTTATTTCTTGCTTTTTCTTCCCTAAAACTTCTTATTTTTAATTATAGGAGGAATCAAATTTGTCCGCATTTCAAGATTATAGCAAATTTTTGGAAGGTGGTTTGGGCCAAGCCGAGCTGGTCGGTGCTGCTGCATGGCAACCTCCTTGGAGGGCTCCGTTGCAACGAAAGGCTCCGTTCTATCCTGGCGATGATATTTATCATGCCGATACTTGGAGGGACTTGGAGGTTAGCTGTCTTGCATCGTATGACGTCATTTTTACTTTACCTTCGCAGGTTGAGATCTTTCAGGGAGCCCTTTTAGCAGCAGCAGGTTAGTTTATATTTGAATTATGTATTATTTACTTGTGCTTTAATTATACTTAAATTTTTATTGAAAGTGCGGTATATTGTGTGTGATACGTTAATTAGAATGAATATAAATGGATAATTTCTGTATTATTTTATTTCAGTAGCGTGGGGCATAAATGTATTTATCAGCAACAAATCTGCTGAAAAGCTCCATCTGTACTTTACAACATAAATTTAAAATCACGATGTAACCGTGTAATAGAAGAACAGAAAACCACACGTTTTAATATAACGGTGGTAGGGCTACGCATCAGCCTCGGCTGTTGCGCGAATGGGTAGGCTCGTCCGGTTAAGTACCACGACCTTACAGAAGACCGGCGTAAAGTGGAAGTATAATACTTCGCGTTTCGTCTGGTGAGTGAGGTAGCCCGAGCCCAATTTTCAAAAGGTTGTCTACGCATCTGCAAACCCTTGGGTGTAGCAGATGTCCATGTGCGGTGGTATTCAATTAACATCAGGTGAACCACCTGCTCGCTTGACAACATTTCACATAAAAAAGCTGTAAAAGAAGAGCTGTTGAGTTTTCAATGCGTACTTCTCGCACACCGTTCCACCTCACAGAATAAATTGTAATCTAAGTACTCCGTGTATTTTAGGGCAATGTATCAGTGTCATCTGTACTTATTTTTAAGGTCTTATCGGCTGCTGGCCCGGGATTTGAAGGTTAGGCTCTTAAGTGATGCGGTTGGTAGTCCATTGATGTGTCCATTGTCCATATAAAGTTTCACTCTTTCTTTTGAAATGGCCAATTTTTTTCTGTTTAGCAACGCATACTTAAAATACAGTTTACTTTTAAATATCTCCGCATGAAAGGTTTGTTAATGTTTCTTAATATTCCATCTTTATACTTATTTAATAAAATTGTAAAGTCTGTTACGTCATTGTCAGTACTGAACATTGTATTGTCACGACCGAATAAAGAATTTTCAATGTATTTCATTTTGATTTGTTTTTATTTACTGTTGTTCCAACACCAACTTCATCAGATCTCCTATTTGAGCGCATCCAAGGATCGTCCCTCCGATCCTATAATGAATCTGTTATCTGTTATCTGAGCCTTGAAATTGCTTATGTCTGTCATGTCGGTTCTTTGCATCATGTTTCTCGTATGAAATTCTGAGGTCTGTATTTGTTATAGCTGCCACACACCATCCTTCGTAATAAGGCTTGCCCAGTGCATATATCGAGGGCGTGTTTCACATGTTTCACACATGGTTCATATTGTTAGGGTCACGAGAACGCTTTCTCATACTTCCGTGGATCTGCCAGTGCTGGCCGCCTCGGTAGGACCCCTCCCGTTAAACAACCCCCATGTTAAGAGTACTGGAACATAATACGCGCCTTCTTTATCCGCCTCTTATATATGGACAACTGACTGCCCGACCTCGCTATCTCGATGCCATGGGAGCCGGGAGGGCTACTGCGGTGTACCTGGCTTCTGGTACCGCCGCTCATTGCGTCTTGGCCGCGGGGGGTAGGCCCATCGCAATACCGATATTACAACCCCTCCTGTATCAGTGGTGCAAGCCCCACCGAGTGGGGGGGATAGGGGAGAGTGGCCAAACGCAACACCAATGCTGTGACTCAATCTTCATGGCAGAGGACAGGGAGCGCTTCCCCTCTATTACTCGGCGTGATCCTCGCACCCTCTTAGCACGCATCCAGAGGTGGCTCAATCTGCCTGTTCAGACTGGCCCCGCAATATAAGCCGGCAGTGTGGGTTCCCCTCACCCTTGGTTTATAGCAAAATTTTCTGTAATGCACAACTACTGGGATTGATCAGTTGTTGCTAATGTTATTTGTGGGCCATACTACAAGACCCAACCTAAAAAACCTGAAGCAATTTTCCTGATGTTAGCCGTGGTGGTCGCATACCATTGACAGCTATTTTTTTTTAATTAAATGTGGTTTAACTGAGTGTACGATCATTAGGTTTTATTAAACATTATTCTTCTTCGTTGCTTATTATGTTTGTAACTATACCCCTTTCCCCATTTTCAAAAAAAAAAAGGTACTACTGAACACTAGTAAGAAACACTTTTTCCGTTATGCGCGAGTAAAACGGACGTAGGTGTCAAGATTTTCGCACCGTGAAGTCATATGCCGCTTACCTTAATTGGTCTTCTGGGTAACGCGCCCAGATGCTTTGTCATGACACTAGATTCATATTTAAAGTTTCGTCTTGAGTACAGAGATTAGCACTAAAATTAATATTATTATAAATTAAACGGAGAGATCATTAACATTTTTGTACCATATCTACGAGCCCAATTGTATAAAAATAAAACTTGGAAGAGTTCATTGAAATCTATATCACTAGTTTTTGCGAGATGGCGCACAACGGGAGACCTCTATATATTTTTAAATAGATTAATTTTGGCGGATTATCGAGATCTTGTTTTCCTCGATGTTTGGTCCAATATTAATTAGCCGCATCCATTAGGCAGAGTGGCCGCGTACGCTTTTTAAGTTAACTTAATTAACCCATGCATGCTTTAACTTATGTTTATTAATTAGAGTATCGATGAAATTTATTGGTAGAGTACCGCGTAAGTGCATAATATTTATTTATGTACATTTACCAAATAATATTGTATTTACAGAAATTTTTCATCGGAAAGTTATAAACATGTTTTTGTTATGGTTTCCAAGAAAAAGAGTACCTATTTGTGCTAGCAGAACTACCTGTGTCTCCGTCGTCTTGACGTCGACAATCCTCGCTTTCGAGTTATTAGTTTCGCCTCTTCAGTCGCGATACGTTGTGATCAAATTTGCCGGTGCACGTCCCACATTACCTCGTGTCAAGAGAATAATACCCACGACTATTATCCGTTACATCTTTATAATGCGTCAATGCAGAAAGTTGGGGCAAATATCCCTTTATGGCCAACAGCAAAGGTCAACAAAAAGGTCAAATACTTAGGAGTCACTTTCGACTCGCATATGACATTTACTACTACGCACATTAATAACGTTCGCAATAGAGCCCCGTTCGTCTCCGGCCGGCTACACAATTTAACTAACGCTAAAAGTAAAATGCCCTTAAGACACAATTTATTATTATTATTATATAAGACCTGCGTACGACCTATTATGTCCTAGCATGCATGACCTTCGCCCACACGCACCCTACTCGCTTGAACAAGCAAATAGTACAAAATAAGTTCATCCGCCGCGCAACCGGTGCGCAGTGGTATCAACGCAACGTCGACCTGCACAGCGATTGCAGACTCCCGACGATTCGCGAATATTTTAAAGACCTGACCAAACGGTTTTTCGTTAGAGCCGAACATCATCCCAACCCTCTGGTGGTAAGCGCAGCAAATTACCAACCCGACACAAACGCGAACGTCAACAAGCGTCGCCCGCGAAACGTCCTCATCGACCCGGTCGAGGAAGGGGACTTAGATACTCCGGACCCACCTCGGGGGGTCCCGCCGGATAACACTACACCCTCAATTAGTGCAACAACAAACATACTAGTTCGCCCTCGCCTTCGAGCACGGCGAGACCAACACAACGCGTACACAAGGTTACGCGTACGTTAGCTAATTCCACAGTCGACGGCCATCGGGGTTTCGGTCCGAACCGCGAACTCGATGGCCCTTAGATGACACACCATACTTAAATGCACGCATGAGCACATGCGTGGCCCTACCCACAGCGGAGGGCCCAAACCCGTGGGTTCTGGCTAGCCCACCGGTTCTGCGTCAGATGAAGCTTTAATAGTCTCGAGACTGAAAGCACAAACATCAGTTAATATAAGATACAAGATACACCCACGACTATAAGAGTGATATCGTCTTAAACGGTAATCATTTTGTTTGAAACAAGTATGATTTATAAGCTTTTAAGAGGTCTGCTGTATTTTTTGAGCTTATTTGGTTTGCGTCACATAGACGATAATGTCTGCTTGATGTTTCAGGCTACACCGATGACTGCAATGTTTTTTATACAAATTTAAAACTGTTATATAATTTGGTAGAACCATGTAGCTAGAGTACCGGGTAATAACGACGGCTTCTATAGAACACCGGCGTAACATAGAAGAGTAGTACACTATTGTATTAGACTTTTGAGCTTTGTGCTTTTTTTTGCTACAGGTATTAAAAATTTTGTGGCTATTTAACTGTTCATTAAAATTGTACAGGTGACGGATGTAGTCGGGGGAGCTCGTTATAACGCCTCGGTGACTCCACACGGTACGGTCTGTCTGCGACTGAGAGATCGGGTCAAGTGAGTAACTTCTGGAGGAAAGTTTTTTGTTTTTTTCCCATTGTAAGATTGTTACACCACTTTTTATTATGTCCCAGAGATAATATCTTAACAACTTTGATTCGATTGAACCAGCGAGGGTTTTTTTTGCGCCATCCACTTTAAATTAATGGATTAATTAATATTTTTCAGTGTTTCGTAACACTGGTTACTGAATACTTATCTTAAGCAACTATGTTTATATAATAGTGAGTACACATTTAATTTATTATTTAGTCGTATATTTCGACCAATTTATATAGTTAAAGGTTAAAGGGTTGCAAGTTGCATAATTATTAAAGGACTCTAAATAGGTCTTCTATAACCATTAATTTTTGTATGAGCACGAACTGTTTCCAAAAATTAATTTAATTTTAAACATAACTTCCTTTACCATAGAATATTAAAATGCTATCTTACTTTTCTACTTTATGAAGTTGTACAATATTTTTTTTATTTGAGAAAGTGGCAAACGAGCTTGCGGTTCACCTGATGTTAAGTGATAACCGCCGTCCATGAACAGTTGCAACACCCGTAGGGTTGCAAATGCGTTGCCACCCTTTAATAAAGTGGGCACCGGCTACTTCACTCACCAGACGAAACGCTTCACTACTTTACTCTTCTACTTATTTCTGTGAGTTCGTGGTACTTACCCGGACGGACCTGACACTACAGTGAACACTGTTGCGAGGGCCTACCACAGTTTTTATTTAAGAATAGTCGGGTTTCAGAGACAAAAATATGTACTTTAAACGATTTTTTGCCGTAATATTCTAGAAAAGTAATTAACCGTTACGTTTTTACCAAAATATATACACAACCCTGAAGAAACTAAAAATATGCAGTTTATATCCCTTTAAAAGAATATAAGTTTTCTGTCCCGCTACTGCTAATTGTAATTAAATGTTGCTTTTCATAGTTTATATAAACTGTGTTTCTGTGTTTCTCTATTTCTTATTTTGAGTTGCAAGCATTAGTAAAAAATGATGAGTTTCATTAATAAATTAAATTATAGATGGTTTAATACAGTCGGTTTTTGTGTAGACGGTTATTAAAGACTGTTACTGAACTGTATTTTTATTTTTTTACGATATATACATTACAATACAACAGGTAATTAAAAAGATTAGGTAGATCTTTTTAATTACCTGATTAAAATACTTAAAAAATACACAACACATATAAATCCCCCATACAAGAAAAACATACATAAAACAACACACAATATTTTTCCTACGGTGGGATTGAACCGACACACTTTGGCACAAGGAGACAGGTTCACTATCCACCACGCAAATTGGTTCATATGTACCGATTGTTAAGCCTAAAGTCAACAAGCGATAAATTATTTTTTCTAATATGTCTTAGTAGTTGTCCATGTTAGAATGATGGTCAAATGGTTTGGTTTCAAATTCAGGACAGTTTCTGAAGTGCTATGAAAATTACTATGGAATTAAACAATCATGAAGTGAAGCTTTATAAGATATTTAAAGTAACAAGATTTATTTTTGAGGGCAGGTAAACAACTAAGAACAATCAGTGTGCGTGCGTGTGTGTGCGTGTGCGTGTGCTTGTGCTTGTGCGTGTGCGTGTGCTTGTGCTTGTGCTTGTGCGTGCGTGCGCGTGCGTGCGTGTGCGCGCGTGCGTGCGTGCGTGCGTGCGTGCGTGCGTGCGTGCGTGCGTGCGTGCGTGCGTGCGTGCGTGCGTGCGTGCGTGCGTGTGTGTGTGTTTGTGTGTTGATGTTTCAGAATCATCATAACTTAGCGAAAGCTATCAGTGCTTTGCGTTTCCATGCTGAATAGGACAGATCTTTGATATCGCATTGTTTTATAACTGAATTGTAAACAAGCGTATGTAAATAACCTGGACAACATCTAGCGAATAGGGACTTAATCCGTGTTTGGGAATACTAAATACTCTCTTATACATTTATAATATATGTATTTGTCTATAATGTTTTTTTTTTAATTTTATTTTTTTATGTGAAAAGTTGCCAAACGAGCTGACGGTTCACCTGATGGTAAGTGAATATCGCCGCCCATGAACATCTGCTACACCCCAGGGTTTTCAAGATGCGTTGACAACCGATGCGTTGACAACCTTTTTGGAAATTGGGTTCCGGCTACCTCACTCACCAGACGAAACGCGAAAGTATTTCTCATACTTCCACTTTACGCCGATCTTCTGTGAGGTCGTGGTACTTACCCGGACGAGCCTGCCCATTCGTGCAACAGCTGAGGCTGCTGCGTGGCTCTACCACCGTTGTATTATGTTTTTATGTGTTTAACTACTAATTACATGTTAATATACAATATTGTCCATACATACAAATAATTAATATGATATTTGCACTTACCACGATTTCTCACCACGCCCCACGCCCCGGGTTGACTAGGAGAGAATGCCAAAACACTTTTTAATGACAAAAGTTTGCCCATGGTTAATCCTTGTTTAGAGTAATTGTCATAAATAAATAAATAAATTCGAAGGGTGGACATGACAGTCGACGGTGCTGTACGCGTGACGAACGCTAAGTACAACATAGTGCTGGCGTTATCGCAGTCTGGTGCCGCCGCCGCGCTCATTCATCCCAACGGGCGCGTTTACAACTATCGCTCGAGGGTGGAGATTCAGGCGCATCATCAGCAAGGCAACAACAAGTCAGTTTGAAAGTGCTTTGAGTAATGAGATGCACGCGTCACTCGCGGCGCAGTGCTCTTAGACTGCCTACGACGCGATGCGAGGACGTGCTCGGTGGAATAACATGTACTTGCGAGCATTCCTCTTGTTATGAACACCTTTAAATGACGAGTTCAATTAAACTATGGACACGACCAATGTTACTTTTTAAATCGGATAAAAACGAAAATAGGTAAGATCCTATCCTACCTATCTTTATTTTTATCCGATTGCCGAAGTAGGGCAAAGCTTTTAGAGCGTATGTATGTGTGTATGTGTGTATACATATATATGTATGAATGTACGTATGTATGTCTTATTCATGGCACGCCCTGAATCACATAAACGATTTTATGGATTTTACCATTTATGGTGTTATTATTTGTGGGAGTGACATAAAGTGCAGTTGTTATTTTTGCTTGTTAATGCCGTAATTTGAATCACATATTGTATATAATTGTGCGCGCGAAATCCGAAACCTTTAGTATTCTGCGCTGCAAACCCGGCCTACGAGCCAGGAGATCCGCCTCGAACAGTAAAATTAAGAATTTAGTTTTAAACGCAAACACTGGGATTGAAACGCTTGGGTCTTGATGAAGTTTCCTGTTGGAACTTTGGACGCGTCAATTTCGGGTACAGATACGCCAAGATGTGGTACAAGGGTGTGTCATTCACGGCGGAGCAGTGCGCGCTGGTGTACCTTGTGGACGCGGCCGGCACACGCACCACCACCGACACCTTCCTCGACATGAGCCAGGACTTCACGCTTAACGTCTTTTACAAGTACGAAGTTCTACTCTAATTTTTATGTTGCAAGGGAAGATGGATGGACACCTAGTAGAATTAAGGTCGCTAAGAAGTACCTATATTGCGATTGTGATGTCTGTTAACAGGCACGTCGAAAAAATGAAAAAAAATGAGAGTTCTCGCAAATTAAACGTAAGAAGTTTTACTTGCGAGAACGGGTGCTAAAATCGGTTGAGGACAGTATCCCTAGAGAAAATTATTAAGTCCCTTGCTGTATATGTGAAAGGATATTTAACATAATATAATAATTTGAAGGATATGTAACAATTGCTTTAATGCCAAACGAACATTAGTCGCCCGTGGGAATCGAATGCCCGAACTGAAGCACTTAGCCGATGAAGCTTAGCAACTACTGGGCCCACAGCCATCGACCGTATTGGGATCATACTGCGAGAAGGCCGGCGTAAAGACTATTCGTAACCGACATAAATTATGGAATTTTAATCTCTGCCTGTCGCTATGGGTGAATGGTGTTAGGTTTTGCATGCAATGCTTTATTCGCAAACTGCACACAATGTTACAGACACAGGTCCACAATATAACATATTCTTCAATGCATATCACATGGTTCTTAAATTATTGTTTCCTTTATACTTTAACTTATTTGTCGTGGGAAGCGGATATTGCGAAAATTGTAAGACCTAATGATGATGCAAATTTGGCCCTAGTAGGTATCTATATCCAGCTGAAAATGCAAAGCAAGGGACATCGGGGGATGAGTTTCATTATTTCAAATGAAATGTTTGCAAGTTATGATTGGTTATGTTCATTGTTATGCTCACCTTGGGCCTGCTGTGCAATTTACAAACTACTTTAAATAGGTGTCAGTAATGAAACAATATAAAACCCAATGTTTGACTAGTATTGATTGATTATTATTATGATGACGTTAGTTTACTAGTTTAGTATTTATTTTGGTAGTTGAGGTTGTAGTTGGTTAAATGTTCCTCAAAACGGCTAACGGGGGTAAAGCGTTAATGCACACTTTAATTAAGCTCTTAGCACCTTTGCTCCTTATTTTCGTTACACGCGCTAGTTGTCTGAATGTGGTGGGGATTATTATATCATTATTATATATATAGAAACGAACCGCTGCACCACTTATTTCTTAGTACATTGGAAATATTGGAAGAAATTTTTTTATTGCCGTTTCTCTAGTGAGTCGGGCCACGGGCCGTCGTACGTGAATAAGGCTCTGTCACTTCTGCAAGCGATGCAGTACTGGCTCACTGATGATGGAATCGACAACTGGATTATCAACAACGTACGTGTCAGCCAGACTGCCGATGGGCTCGTGCGGTAAGGTGTCGCTTGTATCACTCCACCTTATTTTATTGTTTACAGTCAACATGTTAGATAAACGGCAATACCCTTTTACTTCTACCATTGCGTGCCGTGAGATGAATGTACAGGACAGATCCTTGGTGAAGGCTGCGAGTATTTTTATTTTGCGTACATCTCCAAAAAGCGAGGTTTTTACTCAGTAAACAGCTTTAATAAACCCCAGAAACAATATGAAGAGATATTTTAAATTGAACCTAATATGGGGGTCGAAGGTTATTGTAGTATTACGGTGAAACTAATGGTATAATATCCCGTTGAAAGCCTTTCCGAGTATGTTGGGCACGCGCTTCGAAAGCTTTCAATTCACTTAGCTGTTATTCGATCACTTTGTAGTCGCCGTCGGTTTCATGATGGAATTCGCCTGCCACGCAGGAAATCTCTGTCGGGCCGTTGACAGCAGTTATTAACCTAACAACGGTAGTGGCAATTATTGGACGGATGTCCATCGTGAAACGAGATCATAACGAAGTCAACTATCTGGCTTTGGCAAAGTATTATGTAAATGGAAGTTAGTTGCATTAATATGCAATCCCTCCCGAGTCTAGATATAATATGTTGTGCTTATACGTACTGTTTAATTATCGGGTTGACTCGATGCGACAAAATGCTTTGAGAGATTATTCTGAATATATGATAAATGTGTGTTATTGTAATCTGAATAATTATTGTCACAGGCCTTTATAATGAATTTCTTTTTCTTTTTTAAACACATTGCCCTTACTTTGGGATAACATTATCCTGTGTTGTAGGGACGTTTTAGAAACATAAATTTCATGTGGACAAACACCCAGATGCGAAACAACTATCTGTGGTTCACACAAATAGTTGTCCCGTGTGGGAATTGAACCCACGACCTCCGACGTCTAAGGCAATATCTTGGCAACTGCGCCACCGAGTTATCAAATTAATAGAAATGGCTGTAACAATAATTAATCAGTTTACAATGTAAAGAATACAAATAACTTTACTATATTTTGTTGGTTCTATTACTACTGTACTTCGATATATATAAAAAAATAGGCCCTCCATGATAATTAGTCGATTGATTAATGAAATGCTTTCAGTTTGGAGTCATATAAAAGCATATTTAAATTGTATGGAATAAAATCGAAAATTAATCATGGAAAAGACGTGAGAATGAATATGGTTATGTTATACATACTAATTTTAAAGTGTAAATCTTGTTGTAGTACGTCTTATTTTAAAATCACTGATTTATGATATGCAGACTAAGTCCTTCAGGGCGGCTAAACTGAATAGTTTAGGAAGGTGACCTAATTATACAAGCTTTTTATTCACTCTATAATTGTACCTAATATGTAAGTTTCTATATTTACTTAATATCTTAAAAGTGAAATTTAAATTCGACTTAAATAGACACACATAAATGAGGAAAATAAAATACGATACGATCGGCAAAAGGTCGGTTGGTAAAAACAAATCAATAGATACTTTTTATTCCTAGTTTGTTCGTTTAAAAAGAAATTCACCGAAGTTTGAGTTCCATAAAATTAAGGCGCGAAAATACATACTATAATTTATGTGCGTTCAATGTATTTCGCGGTATAGTAATGAAAAAATAAGTAGAAAATTTATTCTTACCACCTTCCATCACCTCAATACAATTATTTGAGCGAGAAAGAAACTTACCAATATCCTCTAACAAAATATTTTTCATGTCTAAAAACTGATCACCAATGAAGAGTTGAAACTTGCAACCTTCAACTCTTCGTGGTCGGAAAAATGTGTACTTAAGTATTAACGCCACCGCAGCAAAATAATTTGCGATTATGCGCGAATAAAGAGAAATCTTGTTGTACGCACGTGCAAATAGTGTTTTAATGATAAAATGTTAAAATCGAAACATATCCTTGTCTTTTTTTTGTTTACGTGGTGGAAATGCCTTCGCATGCCTGCCCTCGCAGGGGCAAGAGCGAGTTATGTCGGACCGCACCGACTAAATCCCCCACGATGTTCCACCTAGGAGCAATAACGGCAGGGCCACGGGAACGCTTGCGCACACTTCCTCGACTGGCGACACTGAAGGTGCGCTGGAACATTCAGCGCACCCTCCTACTCAGCCCCTTTTTCACGCCCAACGAATTCCCCCCGAGTTCGCTGACCAGAGGCCATGGGAGCCAGGAGAACCAGTACCAATAAGCAGCAAGCCTCCCAGCCCTCAGCGGCGGACCTGGTCTGTGGCTCCGCCGCTCACCACGTTTCGGCCATGGAAGGTAGGGAGAACGGTGCACCGCAATACCGACACTCCTCTCCCCGTACGGCCCCACCTCCACTGCATCCACGGTGCAGCCCTACCGAGTCGCGGAGGATAGGGAGCGCGGTCAACGCAATACCGTCACTCCTCTTGCCCGGCGACTCCTCGGTAGCAGAAGACAGGGAGTGTGGCTCCACTTCTACTACTACCCATCCCCCGCACCCTCCAGCACGCATCCAGAGTGGGCTCGATGAGCCCACTTGGAGCGGTACTCTCGGGCCGGCCTTACACCGCAGGGCGGCACAGTGTGGGTTCCTCTTGGCTTCACCGTGGGTAACCAAGCCACGGCTACTAAACCCCTTCGCCACGATAAGGCGGGAATCCGGTCGGAGGGGAACATATCCTAACCTTTTTTTTTACGTGGGAAAAAACATCCTAACCTAAAATAACCTAAACCGGCCAAATCTGTATCTGCGGTGGCGTTAATACGTAAGCATCGAAAAATGATTACCTCGAACATCTTTCTTGAGGTTGAGGGAGAAAATCGACAAATGATTGATATTTTCAAATCCGCAATCCTGCAAGGGCAGCCTCGGCACCGCACGCTTTGTGAATCCTACACGTTGTAAAGCAGCAATACAATTGCGGTCAGTTTTTCACGTCTTTTTCTCTTATTGCCTCCTTTAAATTGCGTAGGGTATTTATGTGTACGTATTTTAGTAAGAACACTGTGGCCAAAAATGTATTTAAGTATTCAAATGTCGCAAAAGTCGTTTTTTTACATTTTTCAACTAAATGGTAAATTTTATCAAAAAAATAGCCGAGACAAAAATTATTCATTAGACGATTATCTATAAAAACTGTCTCTATACTTATTTTTTTCCTAAGAATCACCATTTCACCAATCGCCAATGTGTTGTTCTTCATAATGTGTATGTCAATGACCGTTATATGCATTACAGAAAAGTAAAAATATTAGTAAATTTCACGCGGAAAAACACCAATATGTGAAAAAACTATCTGTGGGTAACTTAAATAGTTGTTTAGAGTGGGAATAACAAGAATTACCTGCCTATTTATTTACTATCTATGTATGTATTATCTATGATAAGATATCCGTTATAAGATCGGATTAATTTTGTTAAAAAATTGAAAATTACTGATTCAAACTATTTATTATGGGACTTCTCAACTTCAAACCTCTTAAATAGCTACAAAGCGTATTTTTAAAGCCTTTAGGATTTCCTCAAGGGAAATAATAAACGCGATAAATCCGTAAAATTAGTTTCATTTATCAGCAATAAAAATTGTAAAAGTAATTATTTTCCTATGACATGAGTGGAAAATGTTGCGGAAAAATGCATATTTGTGCAGACTTATTTGTGCACAGAATAATTTGTGGTTATTAAATTTAATATTATGACATAGTTGTGCTTTGGCTTTCTTGTGTATTTGGTGTGTCGTGAATGTAGATGTACGTTGTGTGCCTTAGGGCTCTACTTTTTTTTAATGGTAATAAGCAAACGAGCAAGCGGGTCACCTGATGATAAGCAATCTCCGTCTCATCCATGGATATTTGCAACATCAGTAGAACATTTACATCTACTTATGTAATAGTGTGTGTGTGTGTGTGTGTGTGTGTGTGCTGCCATGCCTTTTTCAATTTTTTTTTGTAATGTTTTATAAAAGTGGACTTATCAATCTCAATCAAAAATTAATCCACCCTTTGTAAAAAAAGGAGTATTTACTATTAAAACTTGATCGACGATGGCTCGTGAGCTTATCACACACACAGATCACAGCTTATTATATATTTAAATTGTGAGTATGCCTCTAGCATTCATCGCTGCAGCCACAAATACCAGTTACGCACTAGCCCCAGCAACGGATCTGCTTCCATCACCAGCCCTTTTGTGCATTGCACCGCCTCTCTTGGTCAGACACAGCATTTGTTTGTGCGGTGAGTTTTATTTACTTCGATGGGGTATATCACAAGAGTATATCGACGCAAGAAAACGTATTTGCTGTAAGTAGCTGAATACTAACTTTTCACTAGAGCCAAAAAACTTTTTTAGAAATTGAAAAAAAATTTCATATCTTTTTAACCATCAGTGACAGAAACATGATTTGTTGAACGTAGTTTCGTTAAATGGTGGTTAATAAAGTTACGAGAAGTGTGTTTTTCGCTACTTACAGCATTCTGACTTATACGGGGATAGCTCATCTCTATATATTTTCCGACATCTGAAATGCTGTAATTAGATTTTTTTTATGAATTGTGTATCATTAAAAAGATTTGTCTAGCTAAAAAAATATACTGAACCAGAAATTATGTTGCAAATTGAAATTGCTGGATTTGTAGTACAAATAAAATGCTGTGTGTTAATAATCCTTAAACCAAAATGTTGATTCCCAAAATGTTAGTTATTACACGAGACCTTTGTTTCGTTTCTACCCATGGCGGCTGTTATTACACTTTGCAGAGGTTATATTTTGACAAAACGTTCAATGATAATAGACATTTAAAAACAATCTGATTGAATTTATTCTTTTTTTTTTCAGACTATTACTCGTTTCTATGGTACATCTGTGGTCACTTGTGATTTTTTGTTTATAATATGCAAAAACAAATTCCACCAAATGTGAGCCGTGATAGCTCAGTGTCCGGGCGCTCGCCTTTAATTCAATATACTCGAGAAACCTGAGTTCGATCCCCGGTGCCGGCACCAATGAAGTTTTTAACTTTAAGTGCTGACTTATCACGTGCTCCGGGGTGAAGGAAAACATTGTGAGGAAACTGCATATTTTCGAAATAATAACAAAAAAAATATATTTCGAAGATATGTGAAGTCCGCCAATCCGCAGTGGGAGGCTGCGTGGTGGACTATACCCTTATAGCTTCTGTATAGAGGAGTCCTTTGCCCAGCAGTGGGATATGTATAGGCTGTTACTTTACTACTACTTTACCTATTGTGATGTGCCACTGATATTATTATTTGTCGCTATTCCAGTTACTAGGTTTAAGTATTCCTTGTTGTCAGGAATAGACACGAGGGTATTAATAAAGTAGAGAAATGTATATTGATGCGTCGTTTATACTTTGTTTTAACACTGGCTTGTCTACAGCCGCGGCGAAAGGCGTATGCACTTTGACGGTAATTCGTTCATAGTGCGTAACGCCGGACATTCGGCCGGCTTCGATGACAAAAACCAGCTGAAAGTGTACTGAAACAACCACCGAACACCACCACTTCACTCAAGCTGTGTTCGTGTTCGCAAAACGTTCGCAAGAAGCAGTCAAACTATCGTGTTGCACAGGCTATTGCAGCAGCGTCGTTTAATGAATCTATTAGGTTTCCCGAGCCGGACAAGTCTGAGAAAAAATTCATAATTCTAATTTATTTAGTAGAAAGGAGTTTTGATATATTTAATTTTATACACGCTCGCCAAGCTTGGGTTTTTGTCTATCAACGCATATTTTTACATAGTGACGACGTCATAGTTGTTAAGGTTACAGTTGCTTGCTAAGTGTTAGATCATCGGCAGTGAGGAATAGAGAGGATATTTTTTTTATATATATTTATGGCGTAAAATGCAATCACTCTATTGATCACGTATTCCAGAATCTTTTTTTCCATCAAGTCAACAGAGCCTTTGTAGTATACGTTAGGTATATTGCGTGCAGAATTCAGTTTCATTAAAAACAAACAATATCTATCATTATTGTTGACACGCTACCTGTGTTAATTGAACATAACTGAACCGCATACTCAGTATTGTTATATGAAAAACTACTTGGTGTTATGATCATTGTTAAAATGACGTCGAATTATTTCAGCGGGCTTGGCAGTGTTAACAGATTCAATTATTTCGCAAATGTTTTCGATTTGACTGACTTGTCCCAATTGTTTGTGTATTAAACTTCAAGTGGTGTAATTTCAACATTAAAGTAATGAGTAAAAATGACTTTTATTGTTGTTGGTGACCTCAACGGAACTAAATTAAATCAAACCAATTTAGTACATATATTGCACAATTTACTAAGAGTTGCATAATTTATAGGAAACTTTCTTTAGATATATGATCAGTAATATCAAGCAAGACTAATTAGTCTATCTGTCTGCACACTAGTACGCTAAACTGTGGAACCCGACCCCCTTACATTTATAAGGTTATACCGCAATAAGGTTATTGGTCTGGTGTATTCTACGGTATATGTACCCGTGTATTGTACACGTGTATTCTACTACGGCGTGTATTCTATCTACTACCTGTACGGTGACAACTAAATGCTCTTATTTGATCAGGGTAGATCGAAATTATCTTTCACCGCCATTCAGTCCGTGCTTTCACTGCATAATTTGTACTTTTGACTTTGTTAAATAAATCGCGCAATACCTCCCTGTGGTCACCTTTTCCGAGTTTGGCGAGGGTCTCTGGTTCCTGGACAGCTTGAGTCTAATCGAGAGTCTACTTTTAGTTTCAGTGCACCCATAACAACAGTGGGTGACTTAATGACGCCGCGCGAAAAATCACGATATAGGGAGAATTGCGCGTGCCGACCAAGGCGGTGTAAGAGATCCACCGAAAAGACATGCTTCTACGTAGTGCCCTCGATTGGTTACACGAACTGAGGGAGCTTAGTAAGGTGTAGGCACTTTGTGTACTTTATGCTCAGACTTGTCTTCAACCGTTGCCCGCGGGTGAAGTCAGGAAGAATAGACAACGGAAAGAAAACTGAATTAAAAAACCTCCCTTCACCACCTGAACCAGTAGCTCAGGTGAACACCACAGTCACTCGTGCTTAATGATTAAGTGCTTAAGCACGCTGCAGCCCAAGACATGGCCGATATCCTGGCGGAATACCTTGAATGGCTATTTACAACCAATTCATCGGCACTCTGATAGGTCCTTCTAGACATGGAGTAGGCCTTCGACAGAATGTGGCACGAGGCTCTCCTGTATAAGCTCTTTTATGATTCTGCCACCCACCGCGCGCTTATGCGGTAAGTATCGTCATTTCAGTTTGTCAAAACGTATTGAAGGAGTCGAATCAGCGGTACGATGTAAATCCTGTGTACCGCACCAAGCCGGTCTTACTCTTTGCTTACATTTGACTATGACTTTCCACCTCGCAGAAGCGCAGACTCAAGGTGCAGCAGAACGACGCCAGGTCAGAAATGACATAATAGAATAGCCCGAGACCTAAGATTGGAGTGCATAAGCGTTTTTCTGGACTAAAATATTTAAAAATAAATTATATGGGCCCATTTCGAAATGATTTTATTTCGAAATGGTCCCATACCGAAATGAAAGCATTTCGAACAAAAAAAAAAAAGAATTTTTCAAATCCATCTATATGTGACGAAGTTATGCTCGATCATACATTAAAAAAAAAACATTCGAATTCATAAAATCCTCATTTTTATCGAATAGGAGGCAAACGAGTGGACAGGCCACTTGATGATAAGTGTTCACCTCCGCACATGGATATTCACAACACCAGAGGGGTGACAATTGCGTTGCCGTCTTTTAATGGTAACACTTCATTGTATGCGAAAAGTAAATTACTCCCGCTTCAAAATTAGAATTACAGAAAACACCTTTAGCACAGCGCTCAATTAAGAAAATATTTTTTTTGGATAGTGTACATCTCTAATAGATTTAGAGATTTGACTGTAAAGCAACGCTTATCGGATACGGCAACATGATCTAGTTACGGTCGAAGGTCGATTGCACAATTACGAGATGGATTGTTATGGTTAGGATTATATTCTATTTTTGCCTTACTATTGCGTGATTGAACATGTCCACCGACGTTGCTGCGTCGTGTTTTCAGCTGTTTTCAAACGTCAAGAGACCCCATACTAAATGCGAATGTTGCACTCTGGCTTGTCCTATGCATAGGTTTTATATCATTGACGTCATTTGATTATCATTTAAATACCTTTCAGAAAATAGTGTTGTTGCAAAGTGTCCTTTAAAAGAGAGACTAGTATTAACTCGTACAGCACTGATTCTTTATCCACAGAAGTAGGTAGAAACTGTTTAGCTAAACTTTATCGATTTACCGATACGTTACTGGCTTTTTGTATTTTACGCAATACAATATGCCAACGTTCTTAATTGACGGTAATTTTGTATAACATTTATTATAAAATCAAGCCCGTTAAGTTCTCACGGTCACCTCATACCAAACGAATTTCAAAATGATATACGATTACTTTATATCTTTCTGTGACTAGTTCATACCTCATGCAACAGTAGACTGAAGATTTTACGTAACTCTGCCACAGTTCAATAATCATTTAATCTTTCAGCAAATGTCGGTGGGTTCAATCATCGTAAGTAATAGGATTTCCGATATAAAGCGCGCTGAGGCCTCCTCCCCGATCGTGTCGGTGATTCGTCCTGTTGCAATTTTGCACAGGAAATTGCCGGGGCGCGGATGGCTTTGTGCCTCTACATGTTTAATATTTACTATTTAATATTGTGTTACGTTGTAAGTTCTGTTTACTTGCTAACAATAAATTTGGCATTATAAGACCTTATTTCTATTCTATGAATCGTAGAAATTTATTTGAAAATACAGACTTTACCGAATTCCAAGATGTTTTGCAAATATGATACTTTAGTAGCTTATCTTTATATATACATAAGGATTATCAGAAAAATGTGTATATTTAGGAATAATGTCAAAAATGTCGTTTAATAGTGAATAATATGATGTTTTCAAATGTTAATGTTCTAAATTCAAATTAAATTTTTATTGGTTTCGTATTTCGTTTAAAAAGTCATTTTTACCCTGTATGGAGTATGAAGGAAATTGATAAAACAACACACGTAAGTGAAAAAAAAAAACCTAAGAAACATTTATTTAATAACCTGTATTCCCTCCTCTAGCTCTTATTACTGATTCCATACAGTTCTTCATCGATCGGATGAGAGTCACGATCAAATGTTGAGGCATTCCATTCCATTCCTCTTGGATTGCATTTTGCAGCTGGCTATGTGTTTCTGGGGCGGGATCTCTTGCACGAATTCGTCTCTTTGATTCATCCCACAGATGTTCAATTGGATTCATTTCCGGGCTTCTTGATGGCCATTCCATAACGGAGAACCGACTTCGGTAACAAAATCTCATACGATGCTCGCTATGTGAGCCCATTGTCGTAAATGAATATGAAACCGTTGCCAATAATAAGTGCATAGGGCATCACGTGAGGCTCAAGACACTGTTCGATGTACCGATGACTGTTTAGTGCAAGCTGAAGTGGTCCAGATACAAAGACAAGCTCTGTCTTACCGTCGGCGCTGATTCCTCCCCAAACCGTCCACGAACCGCCACCATAGCTGACCTTTTCTTCAATGCAACTTTGTGCAAAGTGTTCTCCATCTCTTCTGTAGACCTTGTTCCTTCCGTCGTTACCATACAGCATAATTTTACACTCATCAGAAAAGAGGACTTTGTTACTCTTTAGGTGCTCACCTGCATTTAAGGTGCGCTCTTCGATGGTCTGCAGTTAATTCCGGGCCATTTGCTGGCTTGTACGGTACCAGTCCACGTTCCTTCAACCTTCTTCAGAGTCACTTACAGCCACCCTAAGTACAACATGAAGCTGCTGCTTCAGTTGAAAAGCATTAAGGCGTCGATTTCGTAAAGAAGTTGTTACAATAAATCGATCATCTCGCTCAGAAGTGAGCCGATTCCTGCCAGATCCTGAATCAGTCTCCCGATAGCGTTTATATACTCTACGAACAGACGACAGGCTTAGATACAATCTTTCAGCCACAACGCGCTAAGTCCAGAACCCTGCAATGCCACCACTTGGGCGGCTTCTGCGGGCGAAGTATCCAATACTTTAGAAAAAAAAAACTTTTTAGACGTCTCAAAGTCACGTTACATATAGTATACAGAGAACAAAAAGTTTTAAGATGTGTTAATTTTTAGTTTTGAAAGCTGAAATGTACTCCAACTCTAAACACACATTTGTCTCAAAACAGTGAATCATTTCATTTATAGGATTAACAAATGAAATTCTAAAATAATTTTTTAATATAATAATAAAACCTAAAATGGAAATTAATACTCCATCCAGTACCATTTAAAATACGATATGTTTTGGGAGCGAGAAAAGAAGAAAATATTTTCAAATGCAATTTCATTTTCGGTGGTGATAATAGATATATTTTTACCTACCGTAAATATAAATTGAAAGGTAAGCCTTAAAGCTTTTGGGTTTCAAATGTTATTATCAATAATAAGATTTTATTACTACATAAGACATCTACTGCGTTTTTATGCAATATATACCACATTGTGTTGAAACTTGAATGTAAACGTAAAATAACGAGATCAGCAAATTATGCACAAATCGCAATGACGATCGAAGTAGTATATCCTTAGTTGAATGTTCCTTATGGTATATTTTATTACGAAGTTTTAAAATATTGTTTATAAATACTATTATTAATCTTGTACTAGGTACTATGTTATTTAACATAGTACCTAACACTAAAATTATGCTCAGATAACTCTAAAGTAAGAGTTGTCGTAATAATCTCTGTTTACTGTCCCATAATTCTCTAATTCGACGATGTTATAGCTGTTTCACGTTCATTTTCTATACAGTTCACTTGCTGCCCTGTTCAAACTTTGTCCGACTGAAGACATCATGACATGATTTATGTAAAATTCATGGAGATGCAACATAGATGCGAGCTGTACACCGAAGCGTTTGACGCGGCATGTCGTAGATAGGAAGGCGGCTGAGGATCTTGTATGACGCTGATGCGGTGCGCGCCGCTATCGATCGGCGCTAGTGGCGCCGCGGCGCGGTGGGCGGCCGCGTGCCAAGTCGCGTGCGCCAGGCCAGCTGTCAAAGTTGCGTGACGTAACCACTAGGGAAGCGCACACACGGCCGTCGGCAGCCGCCCGTTCAGTACGTCCGCATAGTACGCTCTGCGCCATTGCATCCGTCGCCGCTCGCGTTCCGCCACGCCGTGCTCTAGCAACGGGCGCGTTTCCCGCGGCAGGTGAGCATCGGGCAAACGTCGCGGGCCCGCTGCAGCGCTCCCGACGCGGTATTGATCGCATCCCGTCCGCTCGCCCCAATGTTTATAAACAGCCGGCCGCATCCATTTGCTCCCTCTTGTTTTTGATACGATAGCCCAACTGCCGACGATTCGCAGCGCTGATCCTGATTGCGTCGCTTCCACCGGCATCTTGGATAGAACACAGTGCAAGTATGTATGTGCACAGTTTTTCTCAGTTTAATTTGTCTACGCGGCATTTTGCTGACGACAACAAGCAGTTGCGTCGTTACGCCGGCAGCTGTGAAATATCTGACGCCTTACAAATTTTCTATTTACTAAACATTTTTAAGGCTCTGTGCGACATTTACATAAAATATATCAGATATCTGCGTATCTTGCAATCGTCTGATTTTGCAGTTCCACTTAGATTGGGCTGCATATGCATGTCGCATTGCTCTAATCATACAACAGTCTGTTCGTACAGCCCTCGCTAGTCCTTCGACAAATTGCACAACCGATCACCTAATTAGAACTTAGTATTACCACATATATCAGGGACATAGTGGACACGTGTTAGTGTTAGAAATGCAACGTTAATAATGTAACCTGAGATAATTTGGTTTCAACTTTGTTTTAATAAGAATGCGTCCAATTTACGAACATACCATAGTTGCTATTTCTGTACAAGAATTGGATAAAAATTTTATAAACACATCGTTATCTGTTATATGATTGTGTCATTTTACCGCAACGTGATATGAAGCGGCACAAATTTCTCTATGTCGCCTTTGTAATCGCAAATTGAACATTCCGCTCTCTGGAATTTAATACAGCTTAAAAATTCTTTGAACAGAACAAGATGATTAACATTTGCAAATTTTATTGAGCGGATAATGTCTTGAACCATGTCTGGATTTTATTGAAGACAGGAAGCATGTATTTTCTTCCGCCGACTCTGAGACTATGTCCAATTTAAATGTAATCAGCCGAGTCCGAGGCCGTCTCACGGAGGTTCGTAATAGATTAAAGTAGTTCGAAAGACCTTCATAACTTAAATAATTGGTCATTTTATAACTCGCGTACCAACAATCTTAGGTTCAAGGTTGTGATTTAAATTCGTGCATAATATGGACAATGACTAAAACTAAAACATCCTTATAAAAGTTAAATTATTTATTGTGTAGACCTTTGTCAATAATCCAGATATCATCAAAACCATTCGATAACACGTATAAGAAACAAATCAATAACTGGTAATAGTTTTAGGGTAGAAATTTATTTTAATAAAGCGAGATATCATAAAAATTAAAATTGATTGTAAAGTCAATCAAACGATCTGTAGTAAATAAAATAATAAGTTTTTGTTGATGACGGAAGTCAGTTTGGTAAAAGAAATTAGGCACAGTCGAAACATTCTTTACAAATTAAAATGTAACAAGGCTAAGCTATACGCGTCTTGGAAGGAATAAAACAAGGAGGGGAGAGGAGATTTACAATTTAAAGAGCTGAAAAGATGTTATCCGAGGCTTTGTTACTGTGTATAATGGTACAGGTAAGATTTCTAAGTCGTGCTGTTACGTTTCTAGAACAGCCATTCATATCGCCTCAGAGCCAATTTACTGTTCCCCTTTTTTGTTCGGCCATATCAAATGGGCATAAAGTTTACAAAAACGCAGCACGATCGACTGCTTAGAAACAAACTCGTGATCTATCCGCACCGGCGCCGGCACTGGTGGTCTTGATGTGCGCTGCGTTGTTCCCCTTTTATTGCTAGGTTATCTCCCCGCGTTGTTATTAATGTGCTTGTAGTTGAAATGCATCGCTTAGCGTCCTTGCAGGTAATGTTATATGACAAAGCGATATAAACGATGGAAGCCGGACAATAGAGTAGCCGGCTCACGTCACTTGGGTGCGCCAAATACCCACCTACAATGAGCTGGTGAACTCGATGATCATATGGGAGAGGTATCCATAGTGTTTTATGCGTGGAATTTCTACAATGCATGGAAATAGTTTCGAAAGTGAGCATTCATTTAACATGTGACCATTATCAAATAAATGCAGAGAATAAATGGTGACCTAAAAACCGGTTTTTATTTGATTTTATATTTGATGGGAATTAATTTAGTAATGTTCATGCATTTAACATAATAATAATGTTTTGCTTCTGGTATGCGCACTTATAAATAATGAAGATAAAAAAGTACTCGAGGGCATTGTAAACGATAAATGTCCATTAACAATACTTCGTGTATCGAAAGCATTTTTTCTAAGAATAACACCAATTTACAATTTACAGACCTAAAAATTGTAAAGCTATATAAGCTGTTCAATGAATAATTGACTATTAATTATAATTATTAAATTAAGTTCTTATGGTAACTTTTTTTAAATTAATTGCAAAACGACGCGCAAAACTTATATGAACGATTTTATAATGTCAAACCTGATAATAAATATGGTAATAATTAAATAGGAACTGTAAAGTGAAAGATTTTCAAACAGATACATACTGTCTTCTAACTGTATATTTACCTATATAAAAGTAATAAAATAGGTATCCAGAAAATGAAATTAGTCATCTATTGTGATGTCATTAAAAAATTGTCTTTGTAAGCATTGAACGCACGTGCAAATTTTTTAAATTATTTCAATGATAGACAGAAGTAAGTTTTACATCATCTTTTAAATTCTTCAATCATTATATGATTTGCAGCTATTGAAATAGATTAATTAGACTATAACTTTGTAGTTAGTATGTCGTGCATAATGTTAGGGATCATCTGCCGAGCAACGTGGTCATGAAATTGTAATAGATCCATTATACCATTAACCATTATCTCGTTTTAGCCATGAGCATTCAGAGGTACGGGAATAAACAAAATAGTGAATGAAACTAGCCAAAGATTAATCGGTAATATTCATGATCAATTTCCTTTGATTTTTAGTATATTACTTTTGTTATGCAATAAGATGTATTCCCGCAACTAAGCGCTTTCGTTGCTTATAACTTAAAAAAATGATTACTAGAACGTCCGTTTGGATTTTATAAGCTTCATCAAATTCACATCTTCATGTATTCACTTACAAATTATACTGAAATTTAAATTTTATATTAAGTTTTTATAGTGCTATTCTCTGCGTAAGAAAACGTAAAATTTGTAGAAAAATGGACAAAACTTTTTCGAAGCCGCGGGAATCAAACCCGCAAACAGGAAGTCGCTCCTGAATCAAAAACTAAACGGCTGAACCAAAAACATTGATACACGAACGAAAATCTGAAACTATTTTATTTATTTTGCTTTTTCGCATTGCAAGCAATGCTTGGCATTTATTTTTTTTATGTGAGAAAGTGGCGAATGAGCTGGCAGCTCACCTGATGTAAAGTGATAACCACTGCCCATGGATATTTGCAACGCCCGGAGGGTTGCAAATGCGTTGCTACGCTACCTTTAAATAAAGTGGGCCCCGGCTACCTCACTCACCAGACGATACGCAGAAATGTACTTCTACTTTTCCGGTCTTCTGTGAGGTCGTGGTACTTACCCGGACGGACCTGCCCATTCGTGCAACAGTGAACACTGTTGCGTGGCCCTACCACCTAAATATTATATATTGTTATTATCTGTTTCAGCATAAAAACAATTTCAAATTTAATACCTTTAAACGAGCAATTCTTGAATATATTTATAGTATGTGGGTGAGGCCTATGTTCATCAGACTCAGACAGGCTGAAATGATGATGATATAGTTATGATACATTGGTTCCTCTTTGCAAATTTTTTCATTGTTTGGAACCATTGTGTGAAACAATGGATCTTCCAGTCAGGAACTCTTCAATGACTTCGTGGACGCCATACGCCTCTCTCGAACTTGTAAATCATAAATCTTTATGGTCAAATTATTAAATTTAGCATAGAGATTTATGATAAGACAATTATATCAGGTATAAAAAGAGGTCGCAAAGTGGCGACTGCGGTCATGTGTGCGGAGCGAATGCATCATCAGCTCTACATTTGAGGCCTTCAAGTACGCATTCGTTATTTTAGCGGAACGAGCCGTGTTATGCCGAGATTATTGCGATCTTTTTCTAACACTCAAAGCAAGAAATTGTTCATGTAGCCATCTGCAGTAACTGTCTTTAGTTTCTAAACTGACTCTAATGTCATATGGTTTAAAAAAATAAGTTACCGTTCGTAGACAGTGCTCTGACTCCTGAATTAGGTGGGATAAGGGCGTGTGGGAGAATGATGAGTACCGACAGGTTTCGTTACCTGGCACGATATAAGAGACCTGAACACACCAAATGAATCTCTTCCATTAAATTTTTAACATTTTACGGTACATCACGAATTCTGGGGCCGAGAGATCACCTGCATTATATTTAATTCTTCAACATTAAGCCGATCTTCTAGGAAGAAATCGAATCACAGACGAACATCTCCATTTGTTTAACCGTGCAAATTGTTAGCTACAGCGTAGAGCTAGACAGCAGTCATTAACTTTTTTTTTCTATGGTTAAGTAAAACTATTTCACGGATTTTATATCGTTTTATTTCAGTTTTATAGACCGTCCCGTGACAATGAACGATGTAAACAGTTCGAAACGTCGGAAATCAAAATGAAACGTGTTAAAATCCGCAAAATATTTTATGTAACCATTTATATAGTATTCGCGTAAATACAAGAATGTTATTAGTTGTAATTCATATTAGTTTACTTTATCTATACATATAGTAAAAATGTAACTGGTCGTTGTATGTACAGAGATATTTGAGAACAACTATTATTAAGAAAGGCCCCCAATAATAGTTCTACTGCGTTGATAAAAGTCAATGCAGGAGAACCCAAAACAATGATTGTTAACATTTTTGTCTGTTCGTCTGTTTGTCTGTTTGTCAGATTGTCTGTGCGTTTGCATGAATCTGAAGTGTTAACCACAGAAACGACTTAACCGAGTTGGGTGCAACTTTTAACAATGCATTGTAGTAAGCTTCACTAACATTTAGTGTTAGTTTTTTCAAATCTGTTCATAAATAAAATAGTTATATCAACTTATAAGAACCACATTGAAAAATAAACATAATAATACATACACATCAGACATATTTTAAACATAACATATCAGACATATTTTAAATAGCTGTAATAGGGATTAATTAGTCTAATTTTATAATAGGTTAGTGATTAATAATTATTGCGATCTCGCGTTTAAACTTCCTATTGGTTAGGCCTTTGTTCTCGTAACGTTTTATTAATGATGGCCGCAGATAAAGTTCGATCTTAATAGCTGTGTTCCGATGGCAAACATTTGTAATGAATGTACCTCTATTCCGATGTTTCGTATAGGTATTTGAGTAAATTAAAAGTTGACCCTAAATATTGAGTCCGCGGTAACTGAAAGTTCTCAGACATCAACTGGGGTGTACTTGTTCTTCTTTTAACGCAGTAAGATGCCATATCGTACTGCCTCCTCTATCGGTTGTGGAACTGATAGAGGAGGCAGCACGATAGAAAGATCCCTCTATCCCAACGACCGGTTCCGTCAAGCGACCGGTTCTGTCAAGGGAAGGCATGGATCTTAAAAGACACGATTTACTTAACGACGGATGATCGTTTTCTTGGCAGTCTATTGAAAAATTGCTAGTATTAATATGTGGACTTCAAGAATAATTGAAGGGTAAAATAGGGCGACTATGCGCTGTCAAATTATGCAACCATTCGTCCGGTCCGCGTGACCATGTTTCGCTCGAAATAGTTTTATTGATAAGAATGGGTTATAAGGTATTGTCCTCCGATGAAACCAGTACGAAGAAGACCGACGTTGACGAAAGCTACGAGGTACGAATGCTTCGCAGAGGAAAGTTTTGAAGAAACTACACTTTATTATAATTGTTATTTTAATGTGAGAAATTGACAAGACAGCTGACACTTCATCTGATATTAAGTAATAGTCGCCGCCCAGGCAACCCTACCGGATTAGGATGTACAGATGTATGGACATCTGTAATATCGGTAGGGTTGCCTATGCGTTGTTGCCTTTAATAAAGAGGGCCCCGGTTACCTTACTCACCAGACGGTACGCATTAGTTAGTACCTATGATACTTCCGCTTCACGTCGACCTTCGTTAAGTTCGTGGATTTCCCCAGACGAGTCTGCACTTTCAGTCAATAGCAAAGACTGTCGCGTGGCGTTACTATAGTAACATTATGGAGGCTCTGGTACGGTTTGGACAGGAAAAATATTGTTGAACCATACGAAGATGGTCTGATGAAAGTTATTCTTTGCTTAGTTATTAAAAAATCTGCAGAAAATAAGTTGTTTACTTATGAACCTATTCTTGTTTTATAAAAGGCACAAATATTTTGTATAAAAATTCATACTCTTAATCATTCACCTGCCTGCAGACTCTAATGTATATAGGCCTCTGTTTCTTACAAAATACGAGAGGTATATATTTATCCGTCTCTATCTACTTATATTAATTATGCAAATGCAAATTTTGTTGTCCGATTCAGATGGTAAAGAGGTTAGTTGGGAAAAAAGTTACCAAAAAATTTTTGGTAACTATTTTCACCAAACGGCACGGAACCACAGGCACTATAAACAGACAACTTTATAGAAACTAAAGTGCGTCGAAACGCCATAACAGATGGCAATGTAAAATTCGTGTCCCGTGATGTATGTTATGGTGCAAGCGGCGTTTTTGTTAATATAATAAGCAACAGAGACGAAGTGGCGAGTATCAGCTTGTTGCAAATAAGGAGTAACGTGTTGCCGTGTCGTGGACGCCGAGACCGTCAAGTTTAGGGGAAAACATTTTTTGAGAATTTTTTTTTTTTTTTTTATGCGAAAAGTTGTCAAACGAGCAGACGGTTCACCTGATGTTAAGTGAATACCGCCGCCCATGGACATCTGCCACACCCAAGGGTTACAGATGCGTTGACAACCTTTTGAAAATTGGGCTCCGGCTACCTCACTCACCAGACGAAACGCGAAAGTATTTGACACACTTCCACTTTACGCTGGTCTTCTGTGAGGTCGTGGTATTTACCCGGACGGGCCTGCCCATTCGTGCAACAGCCGAGGCTGCTGCGTGGCCCTACCACCGTTTCCAAGGCCGTACTCTCTTGCATTTCAAATCGACGCACGGCAGTGGTGTGAACTGAATACTAATGCGACCGCGGATGTGTTGCCGCTACGGAGACTGGACATTCTCAAGAAAATAATACTAAGACGCCTCAAGGTCGTTATTTGTAACACAATTAAAAATAAGAACTACGGAGATCACCACTATTATTGTTTTATTTAAGGATTTTGTGCCGGCTCAGATAAAATTGAATGCTCTAAGAAATAATAATAATTTTCAATACGAATAAATTTAAAAGTATTTCGTGAACTTTTTCTAACAGGCTTGTTCTAAAAATTATGTTTTCCAAAACTTAGTTTTCCGTTTAAAGATGAATGAAGAAGAAATACGTATCTACATATTACTCATGTAGTTTGGCGTAAACGAAGTAGAGAAAACGGAATCGGTTTCTATATTCAATTCGATGGCGTGCTGCTGCTCTGTCGTCATGGAGCAAATAGAATGCTTCTGACCGCTGTAAAAACATTTTTTGCGTGAATGAAACCCCGCGAGCTCTCGGCTGCGGTAGCGTTCGAAACCGATCATTTAATTCAAACATGTTATTGTGGAAATCCTTAAGTTGCAACTGTATGTCATGTATGAACAGATGTGGTTGATGTCTCGCGCTCGAGCTTACGCGGCACATGTGGGAAAGATAGGTGGTGTTACCTACACCAGTTATTTTAAGGTAATGGTAAATTTCAACGCCAATAATTGGATTTCTATTCAAAAGTATCGACATTTAAATTAATCGGCTTATTATTTTGTCATTGTCAGTTTTATTTCGATTTTTTAAAATAAAAATCCTAGGTTGACACTATCCTAGGTTGAAGGACGTTTTACATACATACATTTCGTTTTAATATATTCATATATTTTAAAATAATTGACATAATTAAAATAATATGTCGTTACTTTATGCGGTTTATGTTTAAGTACTACGTTTTGTAAAATTTCATGGTAACCAAAAAAATACATTAGGATACCTAATGTTACTAATTAATAAACGATTGTGATCGGTACTGAGCACACGGAGTCATGAGTTCATAGCGGGCGGCTGACCTTTGCATGACTGAGAAATGCTATTATGTTGTCTTTCCCACACGACCTGGAACTGGCTATATCGGTCCTCTGTAAGTCTTGCGTCGTGATGTAACGGTTCCGTACGTATTTTTCATCACATCCGGAAGTAGAACTGCAATTTGTTGGAGGAATACAACATACTGAGTACTTTGGCAATCTTCTTATGATTGAAATTTGCCTAGAGCTCGTTAAAGCAATAGTTATATTTAGGTTACAGTCGACCTGCAATCCGGCAGCCAGAATCGGTTTGTTCGAGGCGCCACTGAATGCGTACAGTCCGAATCTTAGCGTAAAACCAATGCCGTAAAACACCTTGAATAAAGTGTTGACACCTTTATTTATATTTGTGCTTGTGTTCAGCGTTTGTGAAAAACTAAAACATGTCTTTGTAAGATATGACTGCGTTAATATTTTTAGAACCCTAACATTCTCAATACAGTGTTTCGCCGTCGATTCAGTTGACTACTGATCGAGGAAAAAATAAATGCTATACGTCAATTCTAACCTTGAACTTGTATATTATTAAAGAAAGTTTCCAAATAAAACTAATAGATTATTTCAATTTCAGATCAATTCGTATTGGAAGTGGACGCTATGATTGGAAGAAATTCGTTGGCATCGTTCTCGATGACATAGAGATTGTAAATTAGGTACGTGTGTACTCGTTTAAAATAGATGTTGTTATTGTCGACTCACAGATATGCGAATAATTTGAATGACCTTGGCGGAGTCAAGAAGTGTAACGTTTTCTTGCCGCTTTGATCGATAGCAAATTGCGTCGATCCTGTCTTCTATTAAATTGTATTCACACCAATAAATAGCTGCAACATAATCCTTTAATATGAATTAAATCTCCGCTTTACGCAAATATTGTCTCACTGTACCGGTTTTTTTATTGGGATGATTCATAATATTTATTGAATAGCTTTATCGCGGAGGTAATAACTCAACCAAGGCCAAGATGCACGTAAAACGTGTTTTTTCGCGTGATCAAAAATGCGAACGATTGCGAATAGAGACTATAATAGTCTGGTAGTTGGTTTTGGATTTTGAGTACAGTTGTCCGTTGTATTATGCTGAAGTTGTTAATTAGGTCGTGGCAAGAGAGGTTGCGGATTTGGTTCCCAGCGTGGGCGATGACTAGTGAAATTGTTGAGGCCAAATTAGGACACAACGCGTCTGATGCAATGCAGCTAAAATTGAAGCAACAAAAACTTTAATCTAAAGCCTCGGAATAAGTAAAAAGCAGGGGATTCATGCCGTGGGAAAAATTGTCCAGGTCCCAATTTAACGCTTCGTTAATTGTCAGTTTCCTTTCTTACTTTGCTTTCTCTTCAATAAACAGCGTATCGAAGATTTGTTTATTTACATCGGAACACTGTTTTCGTTGAACTCAATAATTAACTTAGTGCATAAAAATAAATTAACACATTTTTTATCTTTCAGATCTCGCTGGTCCGTGGAGAAGGTGTCTTCCGAGTTTATGCACGCCGTAAAGTAAGGTGTTATTAAGCCGATTTTGTGTTTTTAATATGGACACGAGAGGAAGCTTTTCATTTTACGAGCATACCTAAATTAGGACGTTAGTGCCTATTCGATGTCGTAAAAGTTTAGAAGTCAGACAGCCATGCTGTCGTATATGGTGCCCGTTGAAGACAAGCCGCCGCCGGCGCCAGGTAAGGCGCGCCTTGCTCTCGAGCTGGCTGGCAGCCCGGGCAGCCCTGAGACCGCAGCACGAAAGACAAAGAGTAACATCTCCAAAGATTCCTCGACCAGCTCGTTCGCGAGCGATCTTACTATATCGTCGTCTACTCCAACTGGAGCTCATGACAAGCCCAAACATAAACTACTCAGCAATGGTAGTAAACACACCTCACTTAAAAGGTTAGTGTTTTATGAATAATTAAGTAACAATATCGTATAAAGTGTAGAAATAAGATACTAAAAATATAAAAAAATACAAAAAAAGATAGAAATAAATAATATCTAGACATAACATCCCTTTTTTTAGTTGCCATTCCGACATGGTATGTTTGAAAAACATAAGACTCTACCGAAGAGCTCCTCCGTCTGTGCCTTTAACAATACATATCTATATATAAGCCGCCAGTCATGACTTCACGTATAATAGAGGTAACAGACAGTTATATGGTTATCAAAAAATAACTAGAGTTGACCCTTAGTTAACTTTTTTTTTTCATAAAGACGTTTAAATATACTTCAATTTAGAAGGCAAAGCAGACATTGAAGAGCCCGCAGGTCCATTGCTAAACTAAGCGAACTAAGTTTTTAATCGCTCTGCTTAAACTCAGTTAAGCATTGTAGCATTGTAGCTGTACTCATTCTTTGCTATTGCGTGGTATTTTGATTTTTATCTTTGTCTCTAACTCTTTATCATTAATCTTGAAATCAAAATAGTAAAACCATATATCAGATTCTTATTTTTAATTCGCTCCAAAGCCAATATTAATCCTCAGCACTAAGGTCCCAAAAGTAACTAAATCTGTCAATAAACAGTTGCTTTGATGCGCCGTAAGTATATACGGTAAAACCTTGCACTTATTTTTTTTGTCATGCTTATCGTATACTATCTGATACTCCAACTAAACAATCGAACGTCCAGGACGCAGGTCGTCTTCCATTAATTAATCTGTTTGATCTTGAAAGTGATTTTCATTGAGCCACGAACTTTACCGCAGCACGATGTTTAATTAGTTGGTTGAATGATTTCTAAAGGGTACTAAATCTGGTAAGGCATTATCATATTCTTTCCGCGGATCTCAGGAGTTCATAAAAAAATGCGCGTACATTATGGAAAAGCATTCGGATTGCTGTTGAGTTGTGATTCTTTTGAGGCTGTTCGCTGAGGCGCGAACAGTGCTTTCACGCGAAAGTGCGCAGCGTTGGGAATATGGTGTGAATGTTTCGGTGCCTTGGCTGTCTGTGTTTACACTGTTGCTGTATGTTTCTATAACAGGGATTTAAATCAAAAACAGCTTTTTATAAATAAACTTAAGAAAAAGGTTTATATAATTATATAACTTATTTATTGCTATTACATATTCACTTTATTTAATAAAAATAAGCCTATATAACAACCAACATATTACTTTTTTAAAGCACTAGCCCGAGGTGTCTATTTTCAATAATCTGGTTCTCAGCTTATATTATAAGATCATCGTGCTCGGGTTGTGAAAGTAAAACTTAAATTTCCTCCAGCCCAATGGATGCCAGAGGATGTTCGAAGGGCTATAGCTAGGCGAAATCGAACTTTCTCACGATATAAAAAACAATGAAGGTAACAACTGATCAGTATTTAAGTTGGCTAGTAATAGGTGGATTCATATTGTACATGCTGATAAACGCCGATATATCCACTGTAGTCTATATAATACGTGAAGCAAAAACTTAGTACCCCTTTTTGCGAAAATTGCCCACGACCTACACTTATAGTTTATATAGAGATGGAGTGTAGAATGCTAATACCTTTTTAAAATTTTGCATAAAAATTACATTACATCAATAAAAAAACATTACATGCACATTATTTATATTACACAACATTATGGTCGAATTTCGACCACTGGCTGACCACTAGTGTAAATAATTCTTCGCCAACTGATATGTGGAAATTTCTTAGTTGTTCCATCCGTTTCTTCCGGGTATATTTCCTCATATTTACTTATCATATTATAATCTTAATTTTTTAATGAAAAAAAGGGCAAAACTCACCCGATGGAAGTTTATCTCCTCCGCCACCCATGAACATCTGCAACAATGGAGAGCTATGCTCTCTTCTTCAAGTTTGAAATGAAGGCTTAACTATCATTAAACTCTGTTTCTTTAATGGATTTTAACTTCACATATTTTTTTTTATTTATTATTAGAATTTCATCAATTTTTCATACTTGCTTTCGTTCTCGCTTAAAATAATAAAAAACTCATAAATCAAAATTTGTGAAAGGACAGCATGTTAATCGAGGTTAATTTATAATTGAAATATGCTCCCAAGGGTTTTGTTCGATGTAAAATATATTACCATTTTAAGCTTGCTGATTTCACAAAAGCAATGAAATTATTCAATAGTAAAGATATTAACACGCGACTTTTATAACCGTGCTTGTTGCTAATTAACAATAACAAGCCAATAACGTAAATAACTGCCAGACGTATTGCCAGATTACATTTAAATAAGTACTACCCATTTCAATTCGGACATACTTTACAGTTTTGCCTCCTTTAAATATTAGCTTTTATTAGTTTCACCTTTATGTATGAAAGTAACGGAATCTATAAACGTGATTTTGGCCAGATTTTGAGCGATCAGATTTGAATAAAGGCGAGCGCCTGGATACTGAGCTATCACGGCTATATATACACTTTATACATATCGGAAAAATGTGGAGTAAGAAAAACATTGACGGATACTTTACGATAAAGTCTCTTTTAGTTAACTATTTAAGAAAGATATGTTACTTAATCTAGCCGCGTAACTAGATATCTTGACTTGACATTATAAAGCTTGTTCACAAGTATTTTGGTGACATAATATAGGTCTATAGACCTTGGCAAATTTTGTGCCCAGGTTTTGCCATATTTATTATTTCGTGGTATAATTACGAAATACTTTTCGTCTTATAATTAGCTAGTTAATAGTTTACGTAAAATGTAGCAAAGAAATTGATTAATTTTAACACTAGAGATGTATCAATTTTTAATTCTAAAATATTCATTGTGCCACCATACGGCATTAAATGTTCTAGTCTATACCACATAAAAAATTTAGAGAATTTTGTGAGACCTATTTCAAAGATTGTGTGCTTATAATTACAGGCCAAGTATATTTTATGTTTATACATTAAAGCGACCAACTTTACTGTTAAGTGACAAGCGCTATCCAATGACATTCGCAACTTCAGTTACTGATGCGTCGCCTTAAGAAAAGATAAGGCTCTCTTCAAAGTCCTTAAGGCATCGCAGGCGAAGAAAACTTCTTGAGAAGAGTAATATAGAATATGCTGTATTTTTTATTTTGTTCCAATGTACAAGGAACTTAATTATGGACAACCGCAGTAATTAGAAAACATAAAATAAAACATAATATTAATTATAAATATATTCACATTAAAACAGTCGTAAAAGAAAAACTAAGTTGTCTGCGATTCGACCACCTACGATTTGGATGCAATCATAGGGAAGAAGCTGGTATTGCGATGCACTAGTTTATAGATGACAATTGTACGGCCGAAACGGCGCTGTACAAAGTTGTAAGCGATGGACCGGCGGGAAATACTGTCTTGCTCTATTGAGCACACAGAGCTTTTTAGAAACAATTTTAACGTTTCCTTCTTAAGTTACCGTGAAATTTAAGATGGCTCGACATATCAAAGCTAATGTCGCTACAAGTTGTGACGACAAAGGATTTCTTTGGGAAAAGATTAATCTTCATGTGTTTTATATTGTATGGTATTTTTTTGGAAACCTAGTGTTTATCAGTATTATCGAAAAAAATAGCTAAAGGTAGTGAGAGAATGAGGCAAGTTAATTCTTTGTTGATAAAGCAAATTGATATAGGTAGGTAATCAAAAAGTCTTATATTTCGAGAAATATCGATAAAAATATGCAATGTGTATTTTAATTAAAACGGGAATATATACAGTTTATGTTATAAAATAGACGATAATGTGCATGTAAGACGAATAAAACTTCTCTCATATTTCACCAAGTCCGTTTTGGTTCGAAAATGACGGCCACAAATATAGTGTCAATGTTATTACTAGATACAAGTGCAGCGCAGTAAAAAGTAACAGCCTATACATGTCCCACTGCTGGGCAAAGGCCTCCTGTATACAGAGGGTATCAGGGCATAGTCCACCACGCGGCCCCACTGCGGATTGGCGGACTTCACATATCTTCGAAATATTTTTTTTTATTATTTCGAAAATATGCAGGTTTCCTCACGATGTTTTCCTTCACCGCGGAGCACGAGATAAGTCGGCACTTACAAGTTAAAAACTTCATTGGTGCCGGCACCGGGGATCGAATTCAGGTTGCTCGAGTGTATTAAATTAAAGGCGAGCGCCCGGACACTGAGCTATCACGGCTCATTAATCTATGTAAAATATATACATTGAGAGTCAATTATAATAAAGATCGCAGCTCAGCTAACACTGCAGGCACTGAGGCACATAATATTTCACACCATACAAAACAATCGACTTACAATTTATGTAGGTGACAGAGCAAAAGTGGAACGGGTCACCTGTGTCAACATCGTCACTCATTTCCTTAGCCAAAGGAAGTCTATGATTGGATCGGGGGAAAGCTAGCGCGATTTTCATGAAATAGAGCGTAAAAGTCATCACGGTATACATTGGGAAACTAAGAATCCCATCAAATAATTATTTTGTCAATAACTTCGCCATGAATTTTGTCTAAATCACGAAAATGATGATATGACGTTTGTTACGATGTATTTTCACAACCTTTTCACTAATCTTACGAAAGAAATCATAATATTTTTTTTTCGACTTCTTTATAATGCAGTTAGAATCAAGTAATAAGTAAGAAAATATTACAACCATTTACACATACAAACATTTTTTTTTAGCTTTCTTGTGATTCATTTAAATGAAGTGATTAAAAATAATATGTTTTTCACACTATTATAAAAAAGGCCGGATCTCCTATTAGCACAAATAAAATATTGTAAACAATAATAATGGACAGTTATTATGGTATTGGAAGGAAAAAAAGGAAAAAAAATCACAACTGGATACTTCTTATTTTTTATTTTTAATTTTTAAAAGCAACTATTGTAAAGAAGTGGATGCTCAGTTGACTGGCTTAGTCAGCTGTATAATATCTCAGAGTAATTCTCTTTC